AAGCATATGATTCAAAAATTAAAAATATGATATAAAAACATGCAGAATTTAATTTTAAGCTTTTCCATAATATTTTAGCGTGTGGTAATACTATAGTAGCCCGGACAGAATTGTTCAATGGTCACTTTTTCCTTAATAACTTTTTTAATTTTCAGTATTATCATAGTCTGATCACATATTTGAAAACTAGAGTAAAATTCTGACATACAAAAAAAATATTTAGGGAATATCTCTTAATTAATTGAAATTATAGGCCTTCATAGTATGACTCATATTTGTTCAAAATGGCGGCATATTTTGTGAATTTGAATGTTCAGTTGAAAGTTAATATTTAAAGATTGTCATAGAACTATAGGGCCATGCTGCCACAGTTACAATCCTGATGTAATGCAGCAGCAACTGACCTTCATCAAATACAAGAAATTAACTCCATCCGAGGGTATATTGAATCAATTCTATTGAAATGTTCGGGGTTGTGTTCAAGAGGATTTGAAAAGGTGGCGCCCCAATGTGTGGGATGTGATGAGAGTAGGTCCTCAATCTTTTCAAGAGCTCCAAACAGCCATCTCAGAGGCCATTGAAAAGCTGAAGAAAAATTCACATGCATGTCAAGGATGGATTAAGAGGCCTGTGACTGAGAAATACATTACAAACTGTGGCAGGATGACCCTATAGTTGCACAGGTTAAACGAAACTAGGGTTGCAAATCCACTACGAGTAACAATGGAATGGCCAAAAAACGTTAAGTCCTGCGACCTTACCAATATACTGTACATACAATGTAAAAACCTTTTTAAGTACTGGTATACATACAAGTCAATTAAAAACAAAAGGTTATAAATGCAGTCATTACCTCATACCATGGCAGCAGTCTACATGATTTCGTAGGCCTGTGACATTTCTTAAATATTAACTTTCAACTGAACATTGAAACCACAAAACGTGCCGCCATTTTTGAACAAATATGAGACAAAATGGTGAATTCTGTATTTGCGTCACTCATACTATGAACACCTACAATATCAATAAATAAAGAGATGTTCCTTAAATATTTTTTTGGTATGTCAGAATGTTACTCTAGTTTTCAAATATGTAATCAGATTTTGATAATACTGAAAATTAGAAAAGTTATTAAAGAAAAAGTGACCATTGAACAATTCTGTCCGGGCTACTATACAAATGGAATAAAGAAATTAACCAGTATTGTAGTGTATTGTAGTGAATGTAGAGTGATACAAACTCCAAAACATTTATTACTGGACTGTAAGATTGTACAAAATATTTGACAAAAAATTAGAAATATCTTAAGATGTGATATCTAATGAAAACATTGTATTTTAGGGTTCTATATGTTGGAAGGCAATGTCTCTCAGTCAAGAAATGTAATTCTCACAAAAGGTTGGATACACAATTTATTCCAATTGGGTTAAGAACTCAAATAATATGGACAGATACAAGAATATAAATTTTGAAAACACTAATCAACCGACTGAAATTATACATAAACAATTTAGATATGATGAAGAGTGAAAAAAATGTTGTTCTAAAAATAGCTTAGGGATCTTTTAAAAAAATTGAATATACTATGTATGTGTATTGATGTATTGTCATGTATTATAATATATTGTATAATTATGTTTAATTTGCAAACAAAATAAATAAATAAATAAAAAACGTAGAAATATATATTAATTTTACTGTAGGTGTCGGTGTTTAATTAGTGTAAATACGTAAGTGTGTTTTTCAGATTTTGCTTGATTTTTCGAATATGAGCCAAGCAGATTAAACAAAATTGTGTGGAATATTTAGGTAATTTATGATTGGGAACATATTAGTTTTCTTACCATTTAAAACATTTTATTACCAGATGTTTTCCATATAATCGCAAGGGGTCAAACAACAAATTAGTAATAGTGTTCATGTTTTATAAAACATAATACAATAACAAATAGGTAAGATTTATATCTAATTGATTGTTACAGAGGTATTGGAATGTTCATATATTCCAAGGGCATGTCCAATAATCAATTAGAGTCATATGCAATCGAACGCCTTACAATTCTTCCTCGACGTTACTGCTGGCTATCATCAAGTTTTCTGATGGTTGTTTCTTCTTTGACCTTACCGCTGGATATAAGCAGGTTTTGGAAAGATAATAAGAGCAATAGGCCCTCCTTTATTTTTAATGTTCACCGCTGAGTAAAAATGTATTGAGAACCATTTGTGAAAAACTAGCATAATTTAAGCATTTGTCATTCTAACATAAAAGTGATTCATTTGTAGCATTAATTTTATCAATACCTGAGAAACAATACAAAACGTCGCTACAGTGATTACATAATATTTTCGTAGTGATAAGAAAAATAACCTCAAATGTATAGCTTAGAAACCTAGATCATATATTTAAAAATTTTATGTATTATTTTCTGTTGCATTATGTTCTCCAAATTGTGAAAAATTTGGATTTTATTTTTTGGTAATTTTTTTACCTCTGTTAATGGCAGGCATAATTTAGCCCCTTATACCTAACTTCGGGTCTTTGTGGTTTAGTATTCCCAGCGTTAACATGTATACAAGTCTTGCAAAATATTATTATGAATGAAAAAACTAAACAAAGGCAACTTGGAAAATGTATTATCAAGATGTTAGCCAAAAGGCGTGAAATAGTAACAGTCAATGGTCTCTCATAGGTCGGCATCGGCCAGGCGCTGTTTTAACTTATATTAAATATGTTTTGTATCTTAATGTAACATTTTTACTTTTTAGTGCGTGAGACTTTAATGAATAAAGGTCAATGTGCAGTATGGCAAGTTATTGTAGACAGTTACATCTTTCACCATGAAAAATTCTCTGAAAAATTATGGATTAGGACCCAACCTTGTCACTTTTCTAAAAATGCAAGGCTTATTCTCTAAAAGAGGATCTTGTTTTTCTCAATTTAAATATATCAAAAGTTTCTTCTACACTATATTAAAAACTTCTGAAAGGGGAATGGGTATTGAAATGCGATAAAGTTAAAAACCACATTTCCCATGTTATTTTCCCATAGGGAAAACTCATGTTATCCATTGTTTTCAGCATGATTTTGGTCATCGAAAATTGATATCTTCAAAACTAGACTTTCAATACCATGCATTCTACTTTGCATTCTACTACTAAGATGTTTTGGACCCCTTGTTGAATAATCTTTTCATGCAATAAAAATCAGAAAAACAAGATCCTCTTTTGAGCAAATAAGTTCAACATTTTGAAAAAATTGTTGACGTGGGGTCCCCATTTATAGTTTTTCGAATTGTTCGATCGATATGTTTATCATCATGGGGACTTCACTTGAAGGAAAACATATTGTTTTAATAAAAAGAAACACTGTATTTATGCCTTGAAAGTAGTCATGGTGAAAGATATGACAGTCTAAAATCACTTGCCATACTGCACATGGACCTTTACTATTACTACTATAATTCTTTCTCCTGCTCATAACATTCATGCACTCCATCAATTCTCCTATTTTATATCAAATTATTTACCACATCAGAATGATGATTAGTGTACTGTAACACTATTTGATCATATCATATTACTACTACATGTATATCCGGTAACATGTATTTCCAAGCATTGTTATCCAGTAATGAGCATTTCCCAATATTATTTTTACTTTCATTGTGCATCTTCACATGAGAAAAGACAAGACAACAGCTGCCGTCTTTCAGATTACTGATAACATTCTTGGTTTCAAGCCGCGTTCCATTTCATTTTTCTATTGAACTTCTAACAAATATGGCTTTTGGATGTCCATTGAGTTAAAGTCTCAAGTGACTTTATCAGGTGAATATGGGGCATTGTATAAAAAGGTTCAATGTCAAGACATTCCATTGTAAGATTTGTTTTCGTTGCTTTGTGAATTGGTACATTTATAATGTGCAATATATTCCTATTGATTCAGGGACCATTTTTCTAAGCACGTGTATAATATTTCTAATACTGGTTAGTAACATTTCATAGTTTTGATATGTATCAGTGATATCATTATACTAGAACTTAACACTATAGCAACAATAATACAATATTGAACAAAACAAAACATTGATAGGAAATACAATAATAAACACTCTTTCAAATGGTTATATTCTAGAAATTTATCGCATTTTACCGATATTCTGGAACTGCTCCGTATACTTCTCACCACCGTTACCATGGCAACCATAACTTTAACATATTTAGATGATATGGGATGAAAGTTGGTACACTCCCCTCCATAAGTTTGGCAACCTTAGCTTCCCCATTGAACTACGTGTTAAAGCCTCTTTACCTTTGCATTTTTATTTACTTAACCTACGATGAAAATACTTATACTATTGATGGAAACGTAATTTGACTTTATTTCCAATACCTCCAAATTTTCTCAATTTTTTTCCATGTTAACCAATGGGAAATGGTAGGGTTGCCCCAAGTCATTTGACAGAATACCCATCGACCCGAGTCCTTGCAAAAATACAAGTTAGGCAAGCAATTGAATTTGCTAACTTTATTTAACAAAAAGTTGATACGTTTCTTCAGTTCAACAAAGTTATAAGTCTCTAAAGTCAAAATTGTTTTTCAAAAAACCTCTTCCATTGACACAGGAGCCGAAAAATGCTTTTCAAAAATGACTTTGAAGCTCTGTAACTTTAGTATTTACCAAGTAAACTAAACACTTAGTGTACAAAAGAGTTAGACAATTCAATTTTCTATATACATATATTTTTTGCTGAATCTTTTACTGAATAGATATCTTGATTTCTGATTTGCCCCAAACCCACCATTTTCAATTGGTTTACATGGGAATGACGATTTTCAAAAATTCATCAAAATCATCAATTTTCGACCTACTGTAATTGAGGAAAAAATTGGGAAAATTTAGAAGTATTGGAAATAAAGTCCGTTATATTACCAATGTAACAAAAGCGATGGTCTAAATGCATGAATTGCAGCTTTATTTAAAAATCCAGTTCCAAACTGAGAGCATTCCTAAAACCTAGACTATACTGTCTAACTTTGTGCCAAATGATGATCCGCAACATGACTTCAACGTAAGTTTAAATCGAGAAAATATCCAGGAAGTTCATCCATTTTGTTACATTGACGTTCCGTAAAAGCAACTAGTTGTGGAACAGTGATGATGTCCGTACAATATCTAGCTATAGCGACAAAAGAGCTCTGCTTGAGAAGAAATTGAGAGATGATAGCTGAATTCAAAATGGCCGCCTTTTTTGTAAAAAAGACGATCTTTTATAATTCAAATACCAGTGGACAGATTTGGTTCAAATTTTGTATGCTGATACCTAGATATAAAGGAACTCAAAACATTATTTGAAGCATATTTTAATCATTATTTTCAAACGCTCCAGAAAATTGATATTCATACAGAAATTTATAATTTAAGTTTTTTGGTATTATTCAGCCGCGGAAAACGAAGAACATTTACTGCTCTGGTTATACCATCGTCATGTTTCACTATGGACAGCTGAAGGAAACCTTTCCCATATTTACGGTGTTTGATGATACCGTGTCCTCCACCAAAGGGCGTCATTGGATTGTTGCGAAAATGGATCACATTTAAACCACGTGGTGTCGTAAAGATGTAATCTCCCCACAATAAATATTCTCCTGGATAAAGAGTCTTGTTATATGTACCTCCTGCTTTGAATTGCTCATTTATCAGAAGAACGAGTATAATTTCTTTTATCAATGGCGGGTTTTCGTAAAAGCGCGCCTTTTTGCCATTTGACTCCATAACCAAACGATATGGATTTACATTATATGCGACAGTTAGAGTTGTGAATGTAACATTCCCAAGGACTACGTCAGTGCCATTGTATATCGCGTCATCAGTTATCAAATCACTCAGATCCAGTCCAAATTTATTCTTAAAGTGATCAAGTGCTCTTCTTCCTGAAAAATACGCCATCTTGATAAACGCCATCCTTTACCATTGACGGGTACAGGGGATAGCGAGACAGGTGTGTAAAAATATGCACAAATATACGAACAATCATAATGTATACATAAAGGTACTGGGAGGTTTTTGATATAGGGATTATTCTGATGGATATGTTTATTTATCCCATACTTGGACGTGTTACAGGTACATGAAGCCGGTTTGTAAAATCTTATATTTTCATCAGCGGGCAGATATAGCTTTACGTCCCGCTCCGAGCGGGCAGATATAGCAGTGGCGTAGCTACGTGTACGCCAAGTACGCCCAGGCGTACTCTCAAATTTTAAGAAAAAATAAAATTTACCTGATTAATTGTATGGTGTTTAAACTGCTTCTTTATTCGGTACATTAATATTCCATGAATACCAAATAAAACAAACAATTTACCAAACCTTTACCCAATCTATCGAATGTTTTTTATTTTATCAAATGTAATAATCTATACAATTTATATTCGCTAAATAGTTTCACTTGTTCTTTATATTGACATTCACATTTGATATTTATACATGTATTTGTGTGATGCAGCGAATCAATTTGTTTTCCTTAACGCACGTTTAATTCAATTAATTATTTGTACATTCGGTATTTAAATTATTTATATTCGGTAAATACCGAATGCCACATTCGATAAATTTCGTTATTTTTTGATAATTTACGAGGTTTCAGTCACGTGATATATGTGTACTATGAAGAATAGCTGCGCGGCCATTTTGCAAATCTCGAAGTTACGTGACAAAATATCGAACAACAACGCAAGTTATCGAATATTACTTTATTGCATTCGGTAAATAGCAAATTATCTTTCGGTAAAATGCATTAACTATGTCATAGAAAAATAAAACATTTGGTAAATATAGGCAAACTTATTTCGGTAGGGTTCAAATAGAAATTCAATATTGTGCATATAATGTGTTACTCCTAAGGAATACCATAACAATTTACGCAAAAAATATCATTTAACGAATGAAATATGTAATTTAATGCACATAGTATTAAGTGATTGGCTATTTTGAAAACTTAATTTGCTGTAACAAACAAATAAACGTTTTTACCAAATGGAAAAATGATTTAGCGAATATAAATATTTCATATATCAAATATATTTGAATTTAATGAATAAAGAAGCAAAAATAATGCCATATAATTGTGATGAAAAATAAATATTTTACCAAGATTCCAGGCAATCTGCCAAATTTGAACGTTGGGAACTTGTTCGACGAATTCGAAACAGACCTTGAGGCTGGAGATGTACAAGAGCTTCAAAATGAAGTAACACGGTGGAGCCATAAATGGCAACAAGTTGCTCAAGGGAACATCCCAGCAACTCTTATTGACACTATTCAACAGACCCCCCAGCCTCTTTACCCCGGTGTCTACACGTGTTTGGTCCAGCTGCTAACATTGCCAGTATCCACTTGCGTGGCTGAACGAAGCTTTAGCAGTTTGAAACGCATTAAGCCATACTTGCGTTCCACAATGAACGAGGAAAGACTTTCTTCCTTGGCCATAATACATATCCATAGGGAACAGGATATAAACATTGATACTGTTATTGACATGTTCGCAAATGCAAAAAAAACAGAAAGATAGAATTTATTCTATAGAATCACGTACAGATTGTTAAGATCCGAAATGGAGTTGAAACGGTCGTGTAACTGTTCTTTTATTGTTAATCATCTTGTGAGCTAGATAAAAACAAACACAGAAAAATAATAATATTTCATGGAGAATGACCACAAAAGCTTAAAACAATGAGCCTCATACATACAGTTTTAGGTAGCCTAAAAAATAAAATCGCCTTGATAGACGGCTTCGATCGCCGATGGCATGATTATATAGAATCTGTCTATTTTGTTTCCCGAATATTATCTGTTAATAAAGTTAATTCAATCCCTTTAAAAAGCTATGTCAAAATGATCAAACAATACATATTTCCTTCATTGAATTAATCTGTTTAGTGTGTCCCCTATCTTCTGAACACCCGGGATCTTCCTATTTTATGGAACCATCGTTTTGTTAATTTTGATAAAACCGGGAAATCATACGGGCGTACACTCGCAAAATGGGCTAGCTACGCCTCTGTATAGTATATCTGCCCGCTACGTCACAATCGCCGCTCGCATATTTGTTCATAATTTGTAACGTTCGCGTAATGACTGTAAACGACAATGGAGAAAACACAGACTATCGGGATCTGTTTGATGGTTTAAAAAAGGGGAGCATCCACTTAATCAATCAAAAAATTTGAGAAAATAAATGTGGGAATATTTGAGAGAACAGGAAAATCCGCCCACGGCCAAGAAAACAAAACTGGACATGAATATTCTAAAATATTTCCACGATTGAACAATGTGAACCAGATGACCAAGATTGGTATGGGATAAACATATTATCCTATAGTCGGTTCAGGATATTGGGATTATCCCTTGGCCAATATAATATATTTTCCCTCGGGACCTGCGGCCCTCGGGCAAATATATTATATTAGCCTCGGGATAATCCCAATATCCTGAACCTCATATAGGATAATCTCTATATCTCCCCGAGGGACCAAAGGGACCAAGGGAAGATATAGATATTTCCCGAGGGACATACCATATATACAAAACCGACCGTACATAAGTCATGCTATTATAGCATGACGGTAACGCCACCTCTGAAAACGAGATTGGACTGCTACGTTCACTGATTTATCCAATAAAATGGCCACGGTGGAACAGAAAACTAAGGTTGGTGCATTATTTTCTACTACTGTGTATCAATGAAAGGATGAACGATTTATGTTAGCGTCGCATTCGGTGATGCGTTCAGTAATGTATATTTTGAATGTAGTCTGCAAATTGATGCCCGGAGAAAACATCACCGTGGAGTGACAACGGTAAAGTCATATACCGTTGTCCCAAATGGCGGGCATAATCGTCGCTTCAATTAGATTTTCATGAACTGTATGTTTAATAGAGCACCTAGACTAGATTCCTTCGGAACAACAATCAATCAAAGTGTCTCAATACTCATTGGACAGTTAATAATGTTCTATTATCGAGATAAAGTCTTTAATCTAACCGATCAAAATGAGATACGGGACAACGGACACTGCTTTTTTGTCTTTCTAAATTACTCAAATTCATATTCCGTTGTCATTGACGATATCGTAGACGCTATATTGTGGCGATTCACGACCCAATTTGATAGAAATTGGAATTTCATATGAAACATCATCACAAGAGCATAATTCATGCACAGAGTTAGTGACGACAAAATCCTATGAAATGAGGACCAAGTGATCAAACAGTTGAAGTGACGGTTATGTCCGCCATTTGTGACAACGGTTTCTGACTTTATCGTTGTCAGGCTATTCCGGTGTGAACATGAAATGAAATAATCGAAAAACTGTCAATTTGAAATTCAAAACTACACAAAATTAGGAATTTGTTTATTTACGTCGTTAGGGCATGGTCTACATTGCCTAACCCCCCTATCACACCAAACTAGTTCTTACCCGTTCTTGCCAGTCCTACGAAAAAATCGTAAACGGGCTCAATCTGGCTGTGGTCGGGAAATATGTCTTAAATAATTAGCTACTTCGTTCATAAATAGTCTTCAATACGTCCATCTGATTCGCAGTTTCTTCAGGTCGCACCACGTCGGTGTGCAACGTTGTATAAAGCGTCCCTTAGTCTAGAAAGTCATCATGACCTGATTACAGAACGGTATGGTCGCCATCGAATTTTGAATCATTTCAAAATTCAAAAATTACCTTCCCGTCTGAGAACGTTCATGAAGTTCGTAAACAGTCCTTAGAAAGTTGCAGCTACGTTCATTCCGTTCGCACACAGTTTAAAACCAGTTTTGAGGAACGAAGTGGCAACTTGTTTGGTGTGATAGCTTTATTTTTGCTAACTCGTTCATAAGGAGTCTTTAATACGTTCTTTATCAGTTTAAACCCGTTTGCAATTAGTTCTACCTCGTTCTCAATACGTCCTCAGACAGTTCAACTCGTTGTAATTACGTCCCTAGTAGGATTGAAGCACGATGGTTCCGTTCGTAGTACGTCCAGCTCGTCGTTAGTACGTTGTCACTCGTTCTAATTGTAGAACGTGACGACCACGAGAGCATTTTGAACATGTTCCAAGTTCTAGAGGACCTATCCGTTCAAGTACATTCGATGAAGTTTGTAAATAGACCCCAAACGGTTCTAAGAACGTCCAGTCCGTTCGTACACAGTTGAATCCCTTTTTCGAGAACGTAGTGAGAACTAGTTTGGTGTGATAGTAGGGTAACAACCTTGGGGTATGTAGATGTAACCTACATACGATCATACAAAGCCAATTAAGCATTGGAAACCACCTAATATGTTTTACTCAAGCCATCGATAATAATGTATTTTGATGAACGGTTACGCGAACCATGGGCTCTATCGTTCAAATATGAAACCACGATTCATTGTTATTAATTTTGTCATCTTCATCAGGACTTGACGCTAAATCTTCTTCTGCCTCTTCATTGCTTTCTTTTTCACTTTCATTGGTTTCATAAATAAAGCAAGCCACTTTTAGTTTTTCCTTGCCCTATAGACACACCCGGTGATCGTACAAAATGGATGGAGGGGGGAGTAGGGGATTTCTGCAAAAAAACTCAAAAGATTCATTTTTTCTAGAGGACCTATCCGTTCAAGTACATTCGATGAAGTTTGTAAATAGACCCCAAACGGTTCTAAGTACGTCCAGTCCGTTCGTACACAGTTGAATCCCTTTTTCGAGAACGTAGTGAGAACTAGTTTGGTGTGATAGTAGGGTAACAACCTTGGGGTATGTAGATGTAACCTACATACGATCATACAAAGCCAATTAAGCATTGGAAACCACCTAATATGTTTTACTCAAGCCATCGATAATAATGTATTTTGATGAACGGTTACGCGAACCATGGGCTCTATCGTTCAAATATGAAACCACGATTCATTGTTATTAATTTTGTCATCTTCATCAGGACTTGACGCTAAATCTTCTTCTGCCTCTTCATTGCTTTCTTTTTCACTTTCATTGGTTTCATAAATAAAGCAAGCCACTTTTAGTTTTTCCTTGCCCTATAGACACACCCGGTGATCGTACAAAATGGATGGAGGGGGGAGTAGGGGATTTCTGCAAAAAAACTCAAAAGATTCATTTTTTCGAGAGAAAATTTATAACTGAATGGCCAAATGAAGAGGTACAGTGCATGGCAAAATATGTTAGGTCTTCTAGTATTTTTTGAACTGATACTATTAAAAAAGGTGCATCATCACCAACGAGCAAAAGTCAATGCTTTTGCTATAAATCAGGCAACAATGGTCTACACGACCTGTAATAAATAGGTATAAGGGACGTTATTATCACAACACTAATGACATTGCTCACTTTTTAAAGTTAGTTCCCATGCGTTATACAAAAAATAATCGAAGTAAATTAATATTTGATGGAGGGGGTGTGGATGAAGGGAGGGGGGTTATATGTCTTTACAATGGAACAAATTCACAAGAACTCGTGTATTTGAAAAAACTAAACTCAGTACTCAAGTAAGAAACTGGATATTGTATCTCTGGAGAATGAAAAATGGGAGAATTTGGAGTTATAAGAATAAATTGAAGTGGCTTGTCTTATCATGTCTTATATACACGTTACTCCCCCCTCCATCCACTCCCCCCCCCTCAATCCAATATTAATTCATTTCGATTATATTTTGTATAACGCATGGAAACTAACTTTAAAAAGTTAGCAATGTCATTAGTGTTGAGATATTATGCACATATTTTACCATACCATGCACCTATTCTTTTAAGAATTCAACAGTAAACTTTTTCTTGAAAATCAAATCTTCCAGATTTTTGGAATTTTCCAGCAGAAATTGCCTGCTCCCCCCCCCCCCCCCCCCACACTTCCGTCCCATTTTCCCGATCACCGGGCGTGATTGAATTTCTGATTGGCCTTTTTAATATTTCAAGAAATATGCATTATAACGACAAAATGAAGTACCCTGCGCGGGAGTCTAGTTATAAACACTACCTACCACTACCGAAGACGAAGCTCTCTTTTACGAAGTGAAGTCGAATGCAAATGTTAATAATCAAGTTGAATCAGAAATTGTCAATTATTTAGTTGCGCGTTACCTTGAATTTTGTTTCATTTGAACCATAATTGACTACTCTTTGGGGAAATATGCAACATTTTTGGCATCAAATATATTTCTTTTAAAAAAACAACAACAATTTCACAAAATGTCAATAAACTTCACCACCTCGATTTGACCTTTGTTGACCTACTTTTTGAAAAAACAATACCTTACAAAAAGGTAGCAAACATAAGGATTAATGGAGGTAGCGATGAAAAAAGATGCAGCCTTTTTAATTGATTATATGTATATGCAGTAGTCTTACTCTGTACCCCTCCCCCCATGTACTAGTACTAGACTAGGCAACAATATAGTGTTGAAAAATCTACATCGTAATGGGTACCTTCCTGTATAATCTGACTTCTCGTTTCCCTTCCTGCCAACCTATGAAATTCATGCGCAGTTTTTGGAAATGGCTGTATCTTTAAGGTCAACTGGTCCTTGTATTCCCCGAAAATCACAAACACTCTTTCACGTGTACGATTGTTCACAGGTTCCATTCCGTGACAGTGTGTTGTAAACAATGCAATCATAACACCGATGAGAAGTGCTAGATGTCTAAGAAAAACAAAATTACAATCATTTCAAATGAAAGGGTACTCACATTGCATTCTCATAATGCTTATTATGTGTCTAATTATTCCAACTAAACTTACCCCATGTTGCCCATGTCTCAGTCAAACGTGTTCTGGTCCGCAAATATAATAGTAATGACTTTTTTCTTTAATCTCATCCCCTCGACAACTCAATAGATAAATCGACATTTCCTGTTTATTTTTTTGTTTACATATTATGCAATCTGATGTTTGTGGAAAACTTTAGGATACATAAATTATAGAAATCTGTTAACGTTACACACCTTTGCACGTCAATATTTATAACGTATACGTAAAGAAATGTATATTTTACTCGATCAATACTCTACTGTTCTTTTCACCGAAAATTCAAAATGAAAATTTTCTCTTCCAAATTTTTGGTTTTTAAGGTGGATTGGAAAGTAATACGTGTAATATGACTTCATGCCTATTATCAGTATGATCCCCTACCAATAACTATGTTTAAACGATCAAGATAATTATTTACTCACTTAGTTATAAAATATTATATTTAAAAATGATATAATAAAAGTGAGTTAATGTTTCATGATATGATATGGATTTCATAAAAAACAACCGGCAGTTCAATGAACTTGGATTAAAATTAGTTTCTCCATTTTCAACTTTTGAATCATGATGGAAGAATGCCTTGTCTTTGTAGAAATGAGAGTAGTTAAAAACAATAGAAACATAGTACTACATGTATGTACTGAATCTAAAAACTAGGAAAGAATGAACATAAACCATTCAACATAAACTGCCGTATGATAATTGACTTCTTGACAGGTGTCTCAGAGGTGCGATTCGTTAATAAAATCATCTGAAAAGTGCTCAACATGGTAAAAACCGCGTGATTTTGAAAGAACCTAACCCCTTGGCTTAGGGCGCCTGAGAAGAGGTCGCTTATGAGTCGAAAATTATGATTCCAAAGTAAACATCCCTGGGACTGGATCAAGGCTTTGATTCCTCTGAATGTCTTCGTCGAAAGTAGGATCATCGATGTTCTCTGGGGAACACGATTTATCTCCTGCATGACTATCAGGTCCGATCATAAAACAACATGTTCTTTATTCGGCTGACTAGAGAGATGATGGGCACGGTCGATAGATGGTGCTAATGACGACTCGGTTTCAGACCTTTAGCTCTATTCTACAGCTGAAAGGGGACTACCCATACATGATGCATGGCCTGAACAACTCCACATGTATTAGCAGCTATGGTATTGGTAAATTCTAGAGGTTTATTTCTTTAACTCTTTCGCCCGGTTAATTCCGTATTTTCCATGTAGCTTAAACCGGTTATTTTTTTGCCGAAAATCGACGTTTTAGCAGTTATAAGTTTAAATTTCCAATATCTCTAAAAGTACTAGACAGAATTACTTCAAATTTTCAGTGTTTATAGTAAATATATTCATTTTCCATTTCTCAAACTTTTGCAGCTTAAGTTTGACATTTAGAATACCAAAGGTGGTGTAAAAGTTAGCCAACTAATAAGTTAGCCAACTTATTCTATATCTAGATTTTCAATACACTTAATATCAACATTTTCAATACACTGTACTTCATAAAAATGGATACTAAAAGTCATACAAATATCAGAGACAAGTAGCAGTACATACAAAGTACATTCAGTACACTTTAGTATATCCAACTAAATGATTTTATCAGATTATAACTGTTTGTATCAGAATAAAATCATCACATTCCGTATATAATTTGTCCTGCAGCAGCACGAAAGTTTCTATGTGTATGATAGATTTCAAAACATGGGGCTGGATGCATAGGCATATCACACTGCCTGCAGAAGTAGGTGCATTGCTTCCTACCCCAAGCAGGATCAGTCCTGTCACTGCACACAGTGCAGTCAGGCTTATACCTTGGGTTATCATACTTAGCGATGAAGTGTCTTCCAGTAAGACGTAATGGTTCAGGTTGTGTTGCTTTTCTCCCTTTTGTAGAAGCTGCTTTCATTTGACAATCTGCTAGTAATCCATCTATTATTTTATATCTAAAATCCTTTGATAACATCACATTACCATCTGCTTGGTGATCTGCTTTATATAATACATAGGCATTGACACACGCAGTTTGCTGTATTCTGAAGTAGATAGGCATGTACCATTTCAAACTTTTATGTGAATACTTGTATGTTGTACACATTTGGTCGTACATGTCAGTACCATTCATATTTGTGTTGTATTTCTCAATTAAAACAGGTTTCTCTATTGGGTTCTGTCTACCCCTTATTTGTTTTTCAATAGTATTGTCATCATCCACACTTGACAAGGCAGTGACTCGCTTGGTGTCGTGCCAAGCAACAGCAACGAGATCATTGGTATAGTCATGGGCAAACACTGGATTATCCCCTTTATTGAGATGAAGATTTGCTGGCTTTAAAATGTTTGGCATATTTTTTCTATTCGGTCTGACGGTTCCACATAATCCGATTTGAAGTTGTTTTAACTGTCGAGCTAAGTTGGGCGATGTATAAAAATTGTCAATATACAGAACATGTCCCTTATCATGATACCTTCTGTTGTTGAGCAAAGATAACACTACATTTTCAGTGACTAAGTTATCAGGGTTATCAATAATGTCAACAGTAGTTTTTCCAGTGTATATTGCCTGTTCCAATAAATAACCAGTACTGCTATCATTCAGACAAAATTCTTTGATGCCCCATTTTGTGGGTTTACTGGGGATGTACTGTCTAAAGAAGACTCGGCCTCTGAAGCCAATCATTGACTCATCAATTGCCAAATTTTTGCCTGGTTGATATGAGTTCCTGTATATTGGATTAACTATATCTAGTAGGGGTCTTATCTTATGAAGTGGGTCATATCCTGGATTTCCACGGTGAATATATGTATTGATATCATTGAAGTGAAGGAATTTAGTGATAAGTTCATATCGCTCAAAGCTCATCACTTTTGTGAAGTGTGGTGTACAACAAATCCAAGAGGTAGTTGACCAATAATCCCTAAGGCTTGGCTTAGATACAATGCCCATGGCCAATTGTATCGCTGTATATGCTCTTAGCTCATCTACTGTCACCTCGTACCATTGTCTCAGCCGAGATCTTGGGCTGAAGTTATCAAGTCCACCAGGCACATCAAAGTGGCTGAACGCATAATTATTGGTCTCATCTGTTATCTTTGTCAATAGTTCATCAGGATAAAATATCTTGAAATAGTCATAAGGTGTGAAATTGTCTGTATTGACGAGAACACCACCACGGCGTGGAATATTGAATTCCTGTATCCAATTGACTTCATACGGATCAGTGGAGTCATACAAATGCCAATCATACTGGCCATTGTCTGGTGGAATTGCATGACGACGTGGTCTGTCAGGTACAACTTGATCACCACCAACTGAAAATCAAAGCGCATATTCATAAAAATTTTGGTGACTAGGCCTACATTTCTGACATTTTTATATGTATATATTAGGCTAGAACACATTATTCATTAGGGAAATGTACTATCTGATGATTTGGTGTAAGCCCATTTTACATTTACTTACCTTGAATAGCTTGATCTCTGTCATTTTGTAAATTTTCATTTTGATCAAAATCATTATCATCGATATCTGAGCCACTTTCAGAACCAGAATCAGCAAAGATAGCCCCTACATTATCTTCATTTATTCTTATTCCTCTGGCAGCCATTTTTAAAAAACAAGCTAGACAATCTATCGTGAAAATAAGTAAATAGTGGCAAAATTGTTCGAATTTTACTGGAATTTTTCATAATTTTACCGGATACGGAAGTTATGTTGACAGTTTAGTTCAGTGTAGAAATGGTAGGCACATTTTTAACCGGGAACTGTACTGGTATGCCATCTATTTAAATGAAAGAAAATGATTTCCATAAATGTCGACCTACGGTCGCCTAACCACGTGTACCGATAAGTCGACTATAGTCACCTAACCAGCTGAAAGAGTTAAAACGTCGTAGAATGCCATTTTAACTGGTTTGTTGATGGACTCAAATAATTGAAATGTAAACTAAAATATTTTTTAAATTATTTATTTGGATCTTCATTGAATGGAATATGGACGGTATCTCAGCTGACCCCAACCAGTCACATTTCAGATTGTTGATTTTTCTGATCATTATTCAAAAAAACATTCACTCCCCTCCATAAGTTTGGCAACTTTAGCCCCCCCCCCCCATTGAACTACGTGTTAAAGCCTCTTTTTACGTTTGAATTTTTATTTACTTAACCTGCGATGAATTAACTTTATAATAATATAATAATGATATTGATGGAAACGTAACTTGACTTCATTTCCAATACCTCCAAATGTTCCTAAATTTTCCCCTCGATTACAATAGGTCGAAAATTTATGATAAATTTTTGAAAATTGTCATTCCAATGTAAACCAATGGGAAATGGTGGGTACGGGGCAAATCAGAAATCAGGATAGCTATTCAGTAAAAGATTCAGCAAAAAAATATTTTTATATAGAAAATTGAATTGTCTAACTTTTTGTACACTAAATGTTTAGTTTACTTGATGAATACTAAAGTAACAGAGCTTCAAAGTCACTTTTCAAAATCATTTTTCGCCTCCTGTGTTATTTCAATGGGAGGGGATTTTTGAAAAACAATTTTGACTTTAAAGACCCATAACTTTGTTGAACCTGAAAAAACGTTTCAATTTTTTGTTAAATAAAGTTAGCAAATGCGATTGCCAGGACTCGGATGGATGTATATTCTGTCATATGACTTGCGGCAAACCTACCATTTCCCATTGGTTAACATGGGAATGTCGATTTTCAAAAATTTCTCAAAGGAATGGTATCGATATGGTGAACTTTTTGAACACGCGTTTCTCTTAAACAAGTCGTCAAAACATTCTGAAAATTGTACACATCGTCGGTTTAATGGTCATCTTTTGGATGGTATTATTATAGTTTGAAATGGGAGAGGATTTTTGAACCTGAAGAAACGTATCAATTTTTTGTTAAATAAACTTTGCAAATTCAATGCCTACCTAACTTTGCAAGGACTCGGATGAATGAATATTCTGTCATATGACTTGCTGCAAACCTACCATTTCCCGTTTGTTAACACGGGAATGTCGATTTTCAAAAATTAATCAAGTTTATCATCAATTTTCGACCTATTGTAATTGAGGAAAAATTGACAAAAGGAGGATTTGGAATTTAAGTCAAATTGCGTTTCCATCAATAGTATAAGTAATTAATCGCAGGTTAAGTAAATGAAAATTCAAAGGTAAAGAGGCTTTAACATTTAGTTCAAGCTATACCTTGGATCACAGCATGGATGACAGATGTTTTCCACGTTTTATTTGTTTATATTTCTATACCAGACATTGAAAGGTGATTCAAAGGATAAACATAAAATGATCAAAAAAGCAAATTGCTTGGATGATTGACCCTTTCTTATCCAAAATGCTGATAATCAAATACACCATCAAATGTACATATGTCACAAAATAAATCAATTTGTCAATTAAATAAAAGGTCAATGTCATCAAATAATTCCTGCAGATCAATTTTTATGCATATCAAATAATGATTTCAAAGATATCACCAACTGGTAAAAATACTCTTCGCATTCATTTGACTTAGTTTTGTAAAATGTGACTTGGTGGGAGAACTAAACTCAGGGTAGCAAAAACTTCGTAGAGACATTGTTCACATAAATAAACAAATAATTGGTAGTTGTTTTTTTATTATTCATATTTACATATCGATAATATCATAAGTTAGCCTTTTATGTACAAATACAGTAATACCTGTACAATACCTGTGTGCCCATCCCCAGAAAGAAAGTCATCTACTTTCCAAGCAAACAAAGCTTGCAAATTGATAATACGAGGAATATACGCAGTGTTAGGCTACAGGCCCGTAGCCAGGATTTGCCAAGGGGGGGTTCAGTTTTCCAAAATTTCCAGGGGGGTTCACATTTGACAATTTTGGCCCAAATATGGCTAAAATCACTTGAAAAGTGCTCAAAATGGTGAAAAACTGCATGATTTTGAAAGAATTTTTGGCCAGGGGGGGGGGTTCGCCCGAACCCTGCGAACCCCCCCCCCCCCTGGCTACGGGCCTGGGCTAATACAGGTTTTACTGTACTTGCATATTCCCTTAGTGGTCCCCTAAAGATTATCTCATAGTGATCTATTTTGGTACAAAATGGGCAACACATACACCAAGACAAATCATTATAGATATTTCTTTGTTTATCTACATAATTATGTTAAAATATACAGGAAATGGAAAACAAAGAAACCTGGCCACTAGTTGCTTCATACAGGTGGTTCCCTTAATTCAGTTGAGGCAATAGTCTAATAGATAATCACAGTCAGCTACAGGCATTCCAATAACGCAGATGTGAGTAGGTAGTTAGTACTAGTTACCAGTTTCGCCACCAGGTGGCTCATTCGGGTCAGATAACATGGCGGGTATAGTAGAAGTTTCCTTTAACTTAAGTTACATCTGTTTTGGTGGTTCAATTTTTATATAACCCTTATGTATCTAATAGTTATGCAAATTAAAATATGTCCAGTAAAAGAAAATGTTATCTGTCCAATACAAGAAAAGATATTTTACTTTTTGTGATTTTGTAACATGGGGTCTATGAAGAATCAACCCGAACTAGAAGTCACATTTTCAAAAAAATTTATTGACTGAATTTTGACGTAAATCAAGATTATTTCTATTCGCATCTAGTCTATTAAAATGTGCCAAGTGCAATATCTGATCCTAAAACTAGTGGGCGATTACAAGTTCACACCTTAACTAATGTCACAAATTGCCACCTTAAAGAGACAGTAGTCAAGCATGTCAAGTGAGACATAACAATCTGACTGTTTCACACAAAAGCCTAAGTCAAATTTATTATTTTTATACTCAACAATGATTAAGCAATGATATAGTAAAACAAATATTTCATTCTATGTTAGGGCAATACCTGTTCCATTTTCAATGATTGAAAATCACTGAAAGATGAACAGGTAGTGCCCTCTATAGAATGAAATATTTGTTTAATATTTCATGACCAGGTGATACATATACATTCCTTTTAGAATCCCTATTTGATTTACCTCAAATCTATATCAGAACTAATTAAAAATTCAAGTCAAAATATGCTGAAACCATCCCTATTATCAATAACCTATTTATAGAATATGAAATAAATATGAATAAAATAAAACAAACTGCCCTTGGCAATATCAATATCATAGTTTTTATTTTATTTATTTTTATTTATTTTTTATCTTATTTCTATTTCCCGGGGAAAATGATATTCATTAACAAGAGACTCTCTGATCGGTATATGATAAATAAAACTTATTTAATCATATTTAATGTAATAAATTATGAAAATTATGCAAACAAAGACAATACTGAAATGTTGGTGTGCGTGTATGATATATTATATAACATGGAAATACTACACCAAGGTACCTGTAACTTCCCCATTGAAGTCTTAAGCATAGTACTGTACATTGGTTCTATGTACTGTACTACTATGTACTTCTATGTACTGTACTATTATTGTGGCATCTCCAGCTCCAGGTAATTCTACAGGTAATTCTCTAAATAATAATCCTTAATCTTTTCCATTTTTTGATTATTTGACTTTTGATTTTTACTATTGATCTTTTGGACATTTCATGGTTGATGAGGTGACCAAAAAATAACAATCGTTTTCCCCTTAATTTTACCACTCTGTCTTAGTTGCAGCACAACTCATAAATTTTAGATTAGTAAATTCTGCATGTGCATTTCTCTCATATATTAATAATAATATTATACCTTGTACCTGTACAAGAATACACTTACATATTAGATAGTTATTAGGTCGTTCTACAAAGCATTTACCAATATTTTACCTACTTTCCCAGGATACAGAAAATATATGTAATAACCACTATGGACTATTGCCGGGTATGGAGCTAGTCAGAAGCATACATTAATGTGATACTATTATTCATTTTGTAAACCCATTAGACTGATCGGACAGGCGTTTCGTTGGATTTCCACGTTTGTTCCTTATTTGAATCAGGTTTTGGGGGAGTAGGTACAAATTTACTGTACAAATATACTGATATGATAACCAAGGTAGCTCCTGCAATGAATTGCCAGGATAGCTTAAAATCGAAAAAATACATTGATGCAATACAAGAAACTACGATAGCTGCACTGGTTGCAAACCCTTTGAGAATATTATCTGCATATTTCACAACAACAGCAACTAACAGACCACCGAAGGACTGTAGAAATATCACCAACCAGACCATAAAGTCGTATCCATGGAACATTCCTTGTTGATGCACTTTAGTACCATCATTCATCTCCATGGTGATAAGTCCAAACACAACTCCCAGAAATCCAAGTTGGACGTTACGTAACCATAGTGACTGCGATGTGCCTTTGAGTATTTTTTCAAAATAAACGCCTGCGAAGCCTGACATGAGACAAGATACTATAACGGCGATAAGTCCAAGGAAAGGATTTTGTTCAGTCGCTATTTTTGCAGAGTCCTTAGTTGAGTGTGGTTGAAGCTGGACAGTGCTGACACCTACGAAGAGTACAACCAATGCACCCCACTGCATTTTGGTCAAATGTTTATTCAGCATGAACACAGAAAATAGGGCAGTGGTTAAAATTTTCAGCTGATAAGTAACCTGGAAATACAAAATATTCAAATATATTGTTTATAATTTACAATATACCATGAAAAATAGCGACAAAGTATTAAATCCCACAAAACAAAACATCTCAAATCACTTCTTGGTATGATTAACCAGACATAAATAATGTCTCCTTTTAACAAAAACTCCATGTTACCTATAACCCAAATTAGACATCTACATTCAAGCAATGAGTGGAGCCTAAAATGACAATTTTTCAGGTAAATCTCTCTTGAACAGTCTATTAAGCTGTATTATTTTAAATACAGTATGATATGATATGAACCAAATAGGCAAAGGGGCATCATGACAATCTCATGACATCTCATTTCTTCTCAGCCTGAAATGTTCAAGTGAAACAGAGAGATGCTTTGAGTATCAGAATGGCAAAGAGAAGCTATTCTTTTCTATTCTTATTATACCCACAATATTTTTACAAAAAGCAGACACATTAGCTGAAAATTTCTACTTGAGTGAAAATTCCTTTTCAGAAGGCAACAGTATGAAATCAATAAAATTATAATTTTTTGTAAATTTTTGTAATTTTGCCTCAATTAATGAGGAGGAGAGGTTTAACATATATTGAACTTTGATTTGGCTCATAATATGGATAGAATATCTATCAATGATTTCTCCAGTTTTTTCAACCGGATGTTAAACCAAGATCATATCAATTCATTTTATGCAAATCAGAAACATTGCCTTATAAAAATGAATAATGACCTTAATCTCAACAATAAAATAGACCAAACAAACAGACTGTTGACAAAATCAATCTTAACTCAAAAACTATTTGTTTATCTTCTAAACTGTTTAAATGTGTTGTTCGATTTGACCTTTTACAATGATGGATGAAAATGCCATTACAAATAGTCCTCATGGCTATTAATGTTTTTTCACATTAGCAACTGGGTTATTTTCCACATGTACGTACATACACATGTACTTAACCCACATGGCCTTACTTTAAGAATGTCATAGACAAATGAAGATATTGTAAGTGAACAATTGTGATAAGCAGGTACATCTAACTGACAATACCTAAATAATATATGAGTACTGGTATACACTTCACAATGTCACTTTGTACTTTGACATGTATTCTATATTCATGAATTATAAGTACAATGTAGAATGTTTTTTAGCGGTCTACAGTAAAATAAGACACACGGTGAGAAATATCCCACTTTAAGGCTAAAATGTTGAAATATAATTTACCCAGCATTCACAAAACCTACTCAGATGGTTTGCAAATAGTCTATTCTTGCATCTGTAGAAATTTCAAGTTGATCTTGAGCAGCTTTTCTGGAATTTTATAGCAAGATTTTGCAGGCCCTCAAAAATGAGCCTTTTTGGCAAGAACTTGGCCTTATGGGCCTTTTCAAGGCCAAATTATCAAAAAGTAGGCATTTCATTTTCAAAAATTTGAGCCCAATTTTTGGTTTAAGGGCCCCAAATCCCCAGTGGGGGAATTCGAGACTTGATGCAACTCAATGATATTAATGCCAATTCAACCACTCGTTACAAACTTATAGCTTATATTTGCGAATGCAACTAATGGCTTACGGCTACTGGATTAATCTACTATTAATTTTATGGGTAATTTAAATATGAATAGTACCTGCCACTATTCCATTCATATTTAAATGAGTTGGTCATAAAATAGTATGTTAATCTGGTTGCCAACAGCCGTTAATTGCATTTGCGCATACAAGCTTAGATGTCCTCCCCTCCTGTTGAAAGGCAGTTCTTCATTTTTATCGTATTTGTATCTACACGTAGTTGTGTTTGAACATATGCACTTATATTGGCAATATTGCTGTTATGCAAAGTCTGAATAAATAAAGTGGATAAAGACTTTTTGTAAAGAAAAGTTTTCAAAAGAAAGAAAAATATTGCTGCAATGTCTGAAAATGAAAAATTTATAATAAACATTCTTGGTTGAAAACTGTTTTGTGAAACGAAACTTATTCACCTAATAACTGAATATTAACATGTGTTAAATTCTGAATGTAAATGAATGAAATAAAGAATTACATGTAATATGGTTGTTCTTGTGAATGATATAAACCTACCTGAAATGTGGCTGCATCTAAATTGGATACGGCAACATAGAGTAGATTGTTTTGTAGTGTATAAACAATAGATGGCACTGAAATCTTCAAACAATCTAGGGGTTGTTTAATAATGTCATCGTTCAGGCGTTGACCCCATCGTAACAAGCTTCCCTCTTGGACGAGAATGATTCCAAGGCATGATATGCATTTCAAGGCTTCCGCTATAACCACCGCAGTGCTCGACATAAACATGTCCCCAGCGCGTGTGCGCACATATCGCATCACCAGAATAAGGCATGTGTTCTGTAGGGTTAGCGTCACTAAGCTGATATACTTCACTGATGATTGTAAGCCTGGAAGCATAATTACAAAATATTTGAGCTGGTATGTTCAGTGAATTCATTTAATGCATGCTGACAAGATGAGCTTGTGCTAGGAAAGATTCTGGGAGGTCAAAAGATCAAGGTCACTCAACATGTCAAGAATATTTTCATGAGTATTACTTGGCTCATATAATGAGGTGGTAGCTAGTGTCAAAAAATTGCACCCACTGGAAATTTAGCAAGAATTTCTGAAAATTAGTCACTCCTTACTTTGAATTAAAATCAAAATTCTGCTTTTCTATACTGAATATTCACATTCAAGCACAAAAAGGCACTGGGCATACATGAATATTAAAGAGTTGCAAACTGGATATTGTAACTCCCTTGGCAAATGCCTTAATGTTCCTTGAATATGAAGTGAAAAAGCTAAAAGGCCCCATATCACACCGGAATAGCCTGACTACGGTAAAGTCAGATACCGTTGTCACAAATGGCGGACATAACCATCGCTTCAACTGTTTAATCACTTGGTCCTCATTTCATGGGATTTTATCGTTGCTAATTCTGTGCATGCATTAAGCTCTTATGATAATGTATCATATGAAATCCCATTTTCGATCAAATTGGGTCGTGAATCGCCACAATATAGAGTCTTCGATATCGTCAATGACAACCGAATCTGAATTTGAGTAATTTAGAAAGACAACGGCATATGGTATTAAACAGTTTCCGTTGTCCCGTATCTCATTTTGATTGGTTAAATTAAAGACTTTATTTCGATGGTAGAACATTATTAAAGGAATATTCCTTGCCAGACCCTTTCTCTCTTGATATGGTAGCTATAATCATATATATAGTTTCCATATTTAGCAAAACATGGGAAAATGTTTTAATATGGTCAATATTGATCATTTAAAAATCTAGTGCTTATTTCCAGTGAGCTGCCATCTTTTAAGATTTCTTGCAGGAAGTGATGTCATCAACTCTCAACTTCTATAACCTTGCCTATAACGTTACAGTATAGGAAAGTAGCACAAAATCACTTCTAGACAAGTGATCATTAGTTTCTGTGCAAAAATATTTACAGGGCTTGTCAACTTAGAATAAAAGAAGAGATTTTCAGATGGATTAAATAAGATACAAAGTTGAAAAAGAATATTAGCTGGTTTTGTAATTCTTAATAGCTCTTCACCTAATGTTATATGCAAAGTTGAGAGTCGATGACATCACTTCCTGTGTGAAATTTTAAAAGATGGCAGCTAGCTTACTGGAATTGAGCATCACATTTCTAAGTGATCAAATTTGACCATATCAAAACATTTTTGCGTGTTTTGCTAAACATGGCAAGCATATATATGGTTATAGCTATCATATGAGGAGAGAGATGGTTTGGCAAGGAATATTCCTTTAACTGTACAATGAGTATTAAAACACTTTGATTGAGTGTTGTTCCAAAGGAATTTAGTCTAGATGCTCTATTCAACATACAGTTCATGAAAATCTAATTGAAGCGATGGTTATGTCCGCCATTTGTGACAACGGTATTAGACTTTACCGTTGTCAGGCTATTCTGGGGTGCATATTAAGTTTGAAAAAGTTTTAACTATTCATTTACTATTTTTCAAAATAACACTATGACCTTAAAAGATATTTCAGAGATTTTTGAAACGAAATTTTGGGGAAAAAGTTGAATTTTTTTTAATCATCAAATATTCCACTTTACAGTGCAAAACACATTATCTCTACACCATTGTGAAGATTGAACAAAGGACATACTATTTCAACCAGAACAACGGCAACGCCAAAGCGTAGCGAATCCCATCGAACAGAAATGGCTGGCATTTTTACAAACGAATAGCAAATATCATAAAACAACACACCAGAAAGGCCACCATTTTCAAAATGGTTGCTCACTAGCCAAGTTGTCATCAGAAGAAATAATGTGCTTTTAAGTAGCCACCTCTAAAATTTTTGAAAAATCCCACACGTACTTGTAAAATAACACACATAAAAATGGTGGCCATTTTTCAAAATGGCCGACTACTCCCCAAAGTTTTATTAGACAATGTGCCATGCTTAAAGTATTCACATATCAAATATGAACAAAATCGCTCCACTACTTATCGAGTTATAGTAAAATACGTTAAAATGGCAGCCATTTTTCAAAATGGCCACTGTCTACCAAAAATGTCATTAGAAATAGACAGTGTGCCATGCTTATAGTATTCACATACTAAATATGAACAAAATCACTCCACTACTTTTCGAGTTATAGTTATAGTAAAATACATTAAAATGGCGGCCATTTTTCAAAAAATTTTTCAAAATGGCCGCCTTCTACCAAAAGTGTCATAGGACAGTGTGCCATGCTTATAGTATTCACATACCAAATATGAACAAAATCGCTCCACTACTTTTCGAGTTATAGTAAAATACATTAAAATGGCGGCCATTTTTCAAAATTTTTTTCAAAACGGCCGCCTTCTACCAAAAGTGTCTTTAGACAGTGTGCAATGCTTATAGTATTCACATACCAAATATGAACAAAATCGCTCAACTATTTTTTGAGTTATAGCAAAAATCGTAAAATGACGAGTAAAGGCCGCCATTTTTCAAGTGCGGACGGACAGACGGACAGACGGACGGACGGACGGACGGACGGACGTACGTACGGACGGAGGCGTTCCCTATATCCCTCCGAACTTCGTTCGATGGGATAATAATACGATGTCATATCTAGTCGTGCAGCTTAAATGTTTTAGCATATTAAAAGAATTCAAAAATTTGAAAAAAATTTCTATGTTTATCTTTTCTAAATATGTAAAACCTTCAAAATAAACCATTGTTCACTGTCTAACTAGGTTGAAAAGAGCATTGAGTAAGTCTACAATATAAGTAAATGTGGCCTTTTCATGAGGCCTTTAGGAGAACCAGCAGGTCATATTGAAATCAAGCTAATAGCCATTGCCCCTTGGGGTGTTTTGGGACATTTGTATAAATTGCTGTATACATGTACGCAATTATTAATAAATAAAATTCATTTCTACTCAGTTGGGTGATAAGGAATGTTTATGAACCTGTAGGGTTCTAATCGCAACAGATAATTAGAGAATTAGTCTTGAGTTATAACATTCCCAATTATTACTATACTGTACTACATCTGAGAGAGTTTGTTTGTTTGTTTGGTCTGTTTATTTCACACAAACATAAATCGTTAGTTTATGTATCTATGTGTCAAATACATCCAAATCTATTTATAATTCACAATCAAAACAGCATACCAGTTATATCCCTGCAACATCATTTTCTGAGTCTCGTTCCAGGGTCCCGTTATACGACCCATAGGCAATATACTGATATTATTAATAGTAAATTGTTGAAACACAGATTGATGATTGATCACATGGAATTGAATTGTTTTCAATGCTAGACTAAAATATTTTTTCAGTCATAATCATTATCTAGAATATATTGTCTGGTATTATATAGTATGGTTCTTATTCCAAACTGCGTTTGCCACTGACATAAAATCTACATGCTCTCTTTTTTATTTTGCCAGGTGTTTTTTGCCTTTTAGTAAAACATTTTGTTGGATGGTATATGTGAATTCCCCAAGACAAGATCACTAGTCGGTATAAGGAGATGACATTGGCCGTTACCTTCTCTTTCGAAGTAGTTTTGGATGGCAAATGTCAAAACTGTAGGCTTTGAAACACTGACCATTTATCAAGCTTGTACGATAAAGGAATGCAGTAATTTGATTTATAGTTCCACTATCGTGTGGACGCCACAATCAAATGATATATTCTGCCACTACCAGAGGTACAGTGTACTGTAATATATGAATTGCAAATGATACAATAAGGTGCATAAGCCTGTATTGCTTTCTGAATTAGCAAATCTAAGACTCCATTATAAACTCCAATCGAGGCACCTTGTCACACAAATGAGTAACTGAGTTACTTCGTCACTGGTGAACTGATGGGATTCGTGTTAACATTCCTAACTTAGCAGCAGAATATATTGTAGGAATGATTTATCATGTTGTTAAGTTTTTATGTCATACAAGTGAAGCTTATGTGGTTGAATGTTTAAGATGTCTACAGCGAAGTAGTTTAGTTCAATGAAATCTAAAAATATCGAAATAAACACTACTCACCATATGCCATTTTGAATGAGGAAGTAACAATACTAAAACTGACCACTAAAGACAAAATCATCAGCCAGAATTTGATTTGATCTGAGCTGATATGATAATTGACATTGAATAGGTGAAACACAAATTGCTTTCTGATTGGTAGTTCTACTATGTTGCCCATGGCCATTTATCAAAAATATTTCAAAAAACATGTAATGCATTTGGGCATTATTTCAACAAGAGTTCTCAATTGTTCAGCAAGTCTGTTCAAAAATACAGCAACTCCATTATCTGATCTTACATCTACATGTAGTTGTAGTTATTTTTAAACCAGAACAACGGCAACGCCAAAGCGTAGCGAATCCCATCGAACATTTTTCAAAGCGGGCACCTTCTACCAAAAGTGTCATTAGACAGTCTGCCATGCTGATACGTATTCACGTACCAAATATGAACAAAATCGCTCCACTACTTTTCGAATTATAGTAAAATAAGTTAAAATGGCAGCCATTTTTCAAAATGTACACCATTTTTCAAAATGGCCGCCTTCTACCAAAAGTGTCATTAGACAGTGTGCCATGCTTACAGTATTCGCTCCACTACTTTTCGAGTTATAGTAAAATACGTTAAAATGGCGGCCATTTTGAAAAATGACCGCCCTCTACCAAAAGTGTCATTAGACAGTGAGCCATGCTTATACGTATTCACATACCAAATATGAACAAAATCGCTCCACTACTTTTCGAGTTTTAGTAAAATAAGTTAAAATGGCGGCCATTTTTCAAAATGTCCGCCATTTTTCAAAATGGCCGCCTTCTACCAAAAGTGTCATTAGACAGTGTGCCATGCCTATAGTATTCACATACCAAATATGAACAAAAGCGCTCCACTACTTTTTGAGTTACAGCAAAAATCGTAAAATAACGAGTAAAGGCCGCCATTTTTCAAGATGGCTGCCATGTGCTTTTTTAATATCTACATTTCTAGCTTTATTAATGTCCTATATAATTTTTTTACATTTAAAACATATTGCTATTACAGTTTTACATATTGCACCTAAATTACTGTAAAATCGGCACTAAAATAGCCGCCATTTTTAAATGAGTGGCCATTTTGAAAATCGGCTTTCGAGCAGAACTTCTACCCCCATAGGGTATACGTGTACAAAATATGAATAAAATCAGGCCAACGGTATTTGAGTTATTGCCCGGACGGACGGACGGACGTACGGACGGACGGAGGCGTTCCCTATATCCCTCCGAACTTCGTTCGATGGGATAATGAAACAATAAATATAGAAAAATTAGTAACGTGGGTACTGGGCTCACATGGTGTTGCTCAAAAGTGAAAAAAAAAGAAGGGTATAATTTTTTTTTTGTGACAAAATTATTTCATACAACTACTCTTTACAAAGACATGGCTTTTTACAATGCAGGACACCTGAACTTATTTGTAAAGCTAGGAAATGGGCCAAAAGTGAATTTCCCGAGACAAAAATGGTGGCCATTTTGAAATTAGGCGAGATTTTGAAGCAGGAGTCACAGGTTTTTTTTCTTTATTGATGTTGAACAAAATTATTTTAAATCGGGAATCCTATCTACAGAGGATTTAAAAAGTGTTGACAGAGATTTAAAACTTGCCACTTTTTTGGACTGACTGAGAGACAGATGGACGAATCAATGTTAACTAAAATGGCTGAAAATAAAAAAATTGATATAATATTTTGCCGATTTTTTGTAACAAAATTATTTCATACAACTACTCTTTACAGTGACATGGCTTTTTACAATGCAGGACAGCTGAAATTATTTGTAAAGCTAGGAAATGGGCCAAAAGTGAATTTCGCGAGACAAGAATGGTGACCATTTTGAAAATAGGCGAGCTTTTGAACCAAGAGTCATAGGAGAGTTTTTTGTATTGATGTTGAACAAAATTAACTTAAAACAGGAATCCTATCGACAGAGGGTTTAAGGCAAATGGTCCAAAAGTGGATTTTGCAAGACAGATGGACAAATCAATGTTAACTAAAATGGCTGAAAATAAAAATAAAAAACGGATATAATTTTTTGCTGATTTTTCGTAACAAAATTATTTCATACATCTACTCTTTACATTGACATGGATTTTTACAATGTAGGACACTTAAAATTATTTGTAAAGCTAGGAAATAGGTCAAAAGTGAATTTCGAGAGACAAAAATGGCGGCCATTTTGAAAATAGGCGAGCTTTTGAGCCAGGAGTCATAGGGGAGTTTTCTGTATTGATGTTGAACAGAAATAACTTAAAACAGGAATCCTATCAACAGAGGTTTTAAAACGTGCCACTGTTGTTGACAGAAAAGTGGATTTCACAAGACAGATGGACAAATCAATGTTAACTAAAATGGCTGAAAAATAAAAAATAGATATAATTTTTCGCTGATTTTTTGTAACAAAATTATTTCATATATCTACTCTTTACATTGACACAGATTTTTACAATGTAGGACACCTGAAATTATTTGTAAAGCTAGGAAATGGGTCAAAAGTGAATTTCGCGAGACAAAAATGGCGGCCATTTTGAAAATAGGCGAACTTTTGAACCAGGAGTCATAGGGGAGTTTTCTGTATTGTTGTTGAACAGAAATAACTTAAAACAGGAATCCTATCGACAGAGGTTTTAAAACGTGCCAGTCAAAAGTGAATTTCGCGAGACAAAAATGGCGGCCATTTTGAAAATAGGCGAGCTTTTGAACCAGGAGTCACAGGGGAGTTTTCTGTATTGATGTTGAACAGAAATAACTTAAAACAGGAATCCTATCGACAGAGGTTTTAAAACGTGCCACTATTGTTGACGGACAGACAGATGGATGGACGGACGGACGGACAGACAGACAGAAAGACGGACAAGTGAGCGATTGCAAAAGCTCACCATGTGAGCTAAAAATAGCAATTCATGAATATAATTTAGCTTAATTTTTAATTGAAATAGGTTTGTACTTCGAGGAACGGATTCTGAAAGTTTCCAAAATAACATTTTCAATGCCATTTTAATGTTAAATTCATTGGCACTATGTGTTGAAATAAATTATATCATCAACAGTTATGTGTAATGTTTACTCTATTAATTCAAAGAAACAGCTGATGCATTAAAATCAATACAGAACGTTTCAAATCAATGATTTACTTTTTTCCGATCTTGAGCACATTGAAGAAAAAATATTGAATTTCTCTCTTTCTGGTTACAACTAATTGATGAAATGTTGATATACTGTTTCTTGAACATAAAGACTACAGTGTTGGACTCTTAACATTCAGGTTTTCGTTAATAGCCATAAAGAGGGTTGTGTTGTTTTGAATTTCAAAGTAAGTAGAAGTATTAGTAAAATTGAAAAATTGGGGGGTAGGGGAGAATAAAACAAGGCATTAACATGACAAAATGTCACCACCTAGTTGCTCACAATATCATTAGTTCACACATGTTAAGTCAGATTTGAATTTCTGAGAACTCTGTATATGATTTTGAAAAAAATGGGTCAATTTGAAGCAAATTTTTTGACCCGGAGAAGATTATTGAAGGTAAAATCTCAAATCTGAATCTGAGAACTTGTAGAAGATTTTAAAAACAAAATTGGTCAGATTTGAAGCAAGTTGAAAAAATACCTTTGTGACCTTGAGAAGGTCATTGAAGGTCAAATCTTCTTTGACCTTAGGAATGCCATTGAAGGCCAAATCTATATATAGTCAGATTTGAACTTTTGACTAGGACTAGCTCTAACATAAAAGAATACATATATTTGAAGTTATCAGAAAATTAAATATTAATCTATGAGAAAATATGAGACTAATTTCAACAAATTTGTGTCTGTTCTGAGACACTGATGGGAGTTTGTCCAACTTCTGATTCCCTCCATGGGTGTAAGGCCTATTAGGCACAGTACACCCGTGCGTACCAAATCGATTTGAAAAAAAATTTAAAATGCATTAATTTGTTTTCACATTTATTGATGATTCTGTATTTGTATATTTAACCATTAAATTTTATCAAAATATAACTATTTAAAGTTGATAAAAACGCTCAGATTACATCAAATAATGTGTTTGAAAAAGATTTCCCAGGGAAGCAGGCCCCCAGACCCCTAGTTCAACGTCGTTCAACTCATTAACGGCGTTCTTTACTATTAGGAATGTTCTTGCCCGTTATTGAGTTGAACCTCCTTACTATTCTTTCCTTTATTGCTAGTTCTTGATCCATCAAAACCATTTTTCCATTAATTGCAAACCTACTGTTTGTTTTAAATGCAGTGCCGCAATGACAGTTAATTTCTGATAAGGTTTGCAATTTCGATGTTACCAGAACTGACCAACATTTTTGTTATATTCCAAACCTGTCTCCAATATTTTCGTTATGATGCATCAATAGGGTCTAAGGTAACCAAACCCGTCTGGCCAAGTTATCTACTCCTGACGTCGTAGATCTGGGCCAGACGAGGTCCAATGCTAAAAGGGGGGATTTACTCCGGAAAAAACATGTCGCTGAATCATCACTTATTATTCATTCCCTATTAGTATTAGCCATCCAACCAAAACATCAGGCTCCATGTTATCAAAATGTAGATTTCTTTATAAAACAGACGTATCTGTGTTGTATTTAGACTTGAAAGAAATATTGTGGACATTAAATACGATTTTTCGATTTGTTGAACTGACCGAATGTAGTACTGAACGAAATATGCAGCCGAGACTTCTCGATATCCTACGAGATCACGAACAGATTACAGAAGAATTTTTCTTTTTGCTGCGTTTAATCGTTTCGTTCTTATTTATTAGCCGTCATCCAGCGATGGAAACCTAATATAAATACAAAGTTTGATACAAGGAACAAACACGTACGTGTTTTTTAGGATGTTTATTCATTTATCAGCACGTATTATACATTGAAAAACCAGTGTGCTTTTTCCGGAGTAAATACCCCATTTTTTGCATTGGACCTTGTCTGGCCCAGATCTACGACATCGGGAGTAGATAACTGGGCCAGACGGGTTTGGTTAGGTCTAAGGGGGATACGGTATGGTGTATGTATTCATATGCATGCTTGAATCACATTCTTTATGCAACATAACCATGTTTTCACAGTTTAATTAGTTTGTTTGTCAAAACCTGCGGAACGATTTAATTAACGCATCAAAGGCAAAATGGAGGTTAGACCCAGCCAGGGCCATAAGACATGTCAGATAAGAAACGGGGCCCAGGCTACGGTCTAATGTTGTTGGACTACCCCCCAAGATTCGTGGCTTTTGGCCACCCAGTCAGACATCATCAAGGGAGCGTACCAACTCAAAATATAGGCCTATGCCCTCAAGACAGGGGAGGCTGTCAGCCAGAGGGGGGTTCAATGGGTTCGAGCGAACCCCCTCCCTTTTTTAGAAAAAGTTTGGTCCTTGCCTCAAGGGCACAGGTACAGTCAGAAGGTGCGCGTGGCAATGGTATTTTTACATTTCAAAAACAACTAAAAAATGTTCATAGTTTACCTGAACATACATTTCCCTTTCCGTCAGTCTCACTTCCTGAACTTGAGTTTTGTTTCTGCATGACTTGATCGACTCACTCAATCCTAACAATGTGTTAGCCTAATGTTAACTTAGAAGGAAATGAAAGGGTTAATATAATTCTAGTAAGTACCTTGGAACACTCCACGACCGGTGTACTTGCTCATCTTCTGTTCTAAAGTTAAAACATTGAAGCAGTTTAGCAAGTAGCAACGTTGCACAGTAAATCACGTGAGACAATTGAGGCGAGAGCTCGCTCGAGAGGTGGTATAACTCCCCTCTTTTCTGGAAGAAGGAATGGCAGCCATGATTCACATTCGATCCTCCTCTAACAGGCATGGATCAATGTGAATGTTTAAGACTATCACTGTAACTGAACATTACCATAATACTCGTACACTAGGCCTGAATATAGAAATATAATTACCAAAGTTTTCAACTAGACTTTGAAGATTCCATTTTTTGGTTCGGTTTTTGGCACATGCGTATCAAATCAAGCAAGTTCATTGGTTCAAATAATTATAACGCATGCGCAATGAGTGACTTAATAAGAAAATTTAATTTGAGATAGATCATTTCAAAACTAGATGTCACTTACTTCATTATTTCACAGCAGTCCTTACCCATAATACACCATATTTTACGGGAATATTTTTCTTTCGTGTCAAAACAAAATGTATACACCAAAAACAAATGTAATGACATAATATCAACCTGTCCCGGATTTGTAGATGTTTGTTGTAGAAACTTAAACCAAACCGATGGCAGAAAAGCACTTTGAAATTGAACCAAGTAAAACCTCGCGCAGATTGCCCCGACTCAAGTTTTCCATGTCAGTCAATGGATGATCACATTTGAATCATGGCTGTGATTCCTCCTTTTCTGATCTACTACTTCTCCAATGCGAGGCAATCACAAGACCTTGTAGGGGTGTATGTTATAGGGGTCACAAGGGTTATTGCTTGACGGTAATGATGCCTATATATGGCAAAATATCAGAATTGTACTGCAAGGAGAAATCGATCCCAGAGTGAAACATCGATATTTTGCCATATATGGGCATGTTGCGGTTACAAAATTTGAATTCAAACAGCCGCCATTTTGTTCATTTCAATATTTAAATTGTGAAGTTTGGTCTCAGTTCCAAACGAAAAATTGCAAAATTCACAAGAAATGATTGAGATGTTGGTTTGAATCTTTTGGACTGTCCACTTTGAATTCATAAACGGGTAAAATTTCAGAAAATAATGACATTTCGACACTTTCATTGCTGGAAAATATCGAGTTTCGATCCTGGGAGCCAATTCTCCTTAGCCTATATGTAGCACAACCAAATGCCTTAACATGCATATTCCCATCTAAATAATTTGTCTTTCAGAGAAAACTAAGATGTGTGAACATGTTTTGCTATCGATGCCATCATACCCAAGTATGTGATCTGTCAGTCAAAAATGTTTGAACTCAAATTCCCCACGAAAATCAAAAGATCTCACCTGTTGAAAATCGATCTTTAGAAAATGTCAAAAATTGTCACTCTGATTTTGACAGATGGAGGCAGGTCAAAAAGGTCAAATTTCTATGCGTGGATCATTGGTCAGTCAATGTTTTACAAAGTTGGAGAAAATACAACGCATTGCATAGTTAAATGACCTACCTCGATACATTCATGACTATTTAGGAATCCTTTTTATGTAGTTGAACCGCCAATTGTATGGGTTAATCGGCAGAACGAAGAGATTTTCGTAACCCCAAAAATGTGCGGCCTTTGGCCACGTAAGTTGTTTCCGTGCCACCTATATTTTCGCACCCCCCCCCCCTTTCAAATATGATCCGCACCCCTTTCTGCAATTAGATGTTTTCCCGGGATCTTGTTGTACAACATATTTATTTTAAGCGTAGTGATACCAGCTTATCCATGTTGGGCGATAATAGAATATCAGAGTCTTGAGTCTACATGAAATATCTTATCTACTCGTTCTCTACACTTTATTTAACATTTTCAATCGACGATGTCATACTGCAAGGATGAAGGTAATATATTCTTAAATTAGGGTATCACTGGTGGTTTAGTCTCGTCAGGATTTGGCCACACAAATTGTTACATGACCATTGATTCTCGCCGATCTTGGCTTGTGTAACTCCGGGGTGTACATGTAGCCTAACTTCCGAATCCTAGCTATGGTATACTTTTGCGACGTCAAATTGATCCGGGGCTGTCAACCCAAATATTTTCTGGCCTAAAGTTTTTATTTACTAGATCTAGAGCTACAGTTGGGGACAAAAATAAATGACAGGTCGATTTTCGATCACCATTTCCTAATTATGGTGGTCTGAAAGCCCATAATTTCCAATATTGTCTAGATATATATCCCTTAAAATTTGTATATTTTACATTCTGTATAATCTCATCCACTGATGTATGGCCTCTTGTAAATTCTCTTATTTTTAACATGGGAAATCCTCACTTCAGCAAATCCACCTGTCATTTATTTATGTCCCCAACTGTATTGTGTGTCCAGAATTTTCTGTGTGTTTGTTTGTTTGTATCCTTTATAGCGTTATAATGCCGCTTATTGGTCACGTGTTACTGGTTATTCCCTTGTGCTTGCTCTTGATACTTATTCACTTGTTCTTTATCAAAAGTCTAAAATTCCTTATACTATAATTATATACAGTTTTTATATGTGCTCATTTAAGGTGCTATGGAAGTTAACAGGAAATGACAAAACAGGAAGTGACAAAGCCATGCTGGATTTTGAAAATTTTTTGAACCAAGATAACAGAGTTCTGTTTGGACCTCCAGTCAGTTTTACTAGTTCCACATATCATTTACATGACCGGGAACACAACGGAAATGGTCAGAATGACCATAAACATGAAGAAATAACCTTTTCAGCCCTCTGAAAATGTGCCTGAAAAACAGCTAAGAGTAGGTGCCCAGGAAATGTCACTGAACAGAATCTTTTGACTTTTTCAGAAAATCTGCCCAATATATTGCTTAAAATGATACAATTTAAAAAAATTTGATATCATACTTAGAAAAAGAAAAAAATGAAAAAAACTGAATTGAAAATCGATCGATTTACCTTTTTACTACAGCCATTATAGTTTCAGACAATTTTTTAAAATTTCAAAGATTGTATCATTTAGAGCAATATATTGGACACGTTTTCTGAAAAAATCGAAAGATTCTGTTCAGTGACCTTTCCTGAGCACCTACTTTTAGCTATTTTTCAGTCACATCTTCAGAGGGCTGAAAAGATTATTTCATCATTTTTATGGTCATTCTGACCATTTCCATTGTGTTCCCAGTCATGTAAATGATATGTGGAACTAGTAAAACTGACTAGAGGTCCAAACAGAACTGTGATATCTTGCTTCAAAAATTTTCAAAATCCAGCATGGCTTTGTCACTTCCTGTTTTAGTCATTTCCTGTTAACTTCCATGGCACCTTAAAATCTCCTGGTTTGCCTAATGTAATTGCAAAAGGCATGAAATATTGTCCTGTTTGTTGATTGTGACAGGTTTATGTTACGACCACTTAGATAAAATAATTTATAAAAACACTGCGACCTTTATGAAAGGAAATGTTCCTCACTATAAAATGTTACTGACGAATATTCATGAATGCAGAGCTGTCAAGTGTCCCGCGAATGGCGGGATTATCCCGCGAATTTGATCAAAATTTGGCCAATTCGCGTGTCCCGCAATGTCCCGCGATGTCCCGCAAATGCCGGCTTTGACCTCCGCGAATTTTCAAAATTGTAACAATCCCCGAGGCTGAATAATTGTGATTATCTTGTGATTAAGAAGCTAAGTTTTTGCGCTTTTGAGGAGTAAAGTTTACCTAATTTGAAAAGTGCTGCCATTTGCCAAACTCCCAGTGCATCAGATCATCGAAGACTGCTTTTGAAAATAGCATATAGTCCATTTATAAAACTGTGATTTTGATCCAGATAACACCATAGTTGGCTTCCCTAGTATCTATGCCGTTATTTGGTATCGAAATAAAGAGGAAGAGTGCAATTTTCATTTTAATTACGAAAATAGGGATGAATGTCACGTATAGTTCCAACGTTGGCCTTTTTACTACGCGTGTCACGGCCTTCATCTACGAACTGAGCAAATGTTAGCAAACGCGAATTCCAATAAATGGACACTGATATCTCGAAAAGAAACCTGACTCCGTATAATTTGATTTAGATTAATCGAACCCCAACATGAATAGGTACATTTTAATATGTAACACTATGGGGGGTAAATGTTTCATAGTTGGTCACGAACACCATAAGTGCAAAGTATTGTTCAGAATTTTTGAATTTCGTGTTGGATTACAGTACTCACAACTAAAGCGTGTTTTTTGATACAGGGTGGTCAAAAAATGGAGCCGAACGCATTCCTCAGCAGGTATGGCCTGAATGACAATAATGATCTCACTTTTGAGGTTTGCAATTGTCCCGAGGTCATTCTCATATACTCTATCTCTGCCATATCCCCACAGGTAGGGACATTTCAGACGATGAGTCAAGTTTCCTCACAACCCAATAGTGGCCACTGGGCATGTTCTTTAGAGTACTGTAACATTGTGACTATCAATCTGATGGTCGTGAAATAATTTAGGCTGGAAGCAAATTGAATGATGTACAAAAGTGTAAAATATCAGGGAGTTATTTTTTAAAATAACAAAGATATGAGGAAAATGGTATTAGGGTTTCCATATTTTTGACCACCCCGTAGTTTAATAATATTTCTATGCGTATTGTGTGGAATTGTGTTGACGTTTACTTAAGTTAAGTGCATTATATTTGATAAATCAGTATCTGAAAGTTTGATTTGAGAACTTTTACATTAAGCCCCAATCACGTAAATCCCTTTCAAGAATCTCCTGCGACATCCCGCAAATTTAGGTATATGTCCCACAAAATCCCGCGAATTTAGGGCACTTTGTCAAAAAAAATCTGTCCCTCTATGAAGTCTTTGGTGGTAACCCTGTTAACTGTCCCGCAATTAGCGTGTTTGTCCCTCGAATGGTCCCGCGAAATCCCGCGAATTTGATCAAAATTTGACCTATTAGCGCAATCACGTAAATCCCTTAAATGTCCCGCGAAATCCCGCCAATTTAGGTGGATGTCCCGCGAAATCCCGCAAATATTTGGCACTGGGTCTAAAAATCTGTCCCGCGAGAAAATCTTTGGGGGTTGACAGTACTGTGAATGAGAAAAGCTTGGTACATGTACATGTCGAAATTTTGTCACTTCAAAGACTTACAAGTTACACAGGGGAAAGGTCGTCATGTGACATTCGCAGTTGATGTCGATTGTTCAATATAAGTAGATCTATTTTTCAGGATCACAATGGGGGTTTGTGTAAAAATTGGGTGACCGGGTAGCCGGGAAACCGGTTTCCCTACCTTCCTACCAGGGTTAGGAATTTGATTTTTTCATTTTATGCCAAAAAATGCCCAACTGAGATCCCAATCAACGTACCAGTGAAACAACCAATCAAGCAAACAACCAAACAAGCAACAAAATTTATTTACCAATAAATTAACCCGCAAAAAGGCAAACAAAATTAATATAATGTCAATCATCGAGGCAATAAATCAATCAACTAACGTTGTATTGTACATCATACACTAATAGATAACGTTTCAATTTACGCGTACGTTAATCTTCCAGATTTGTTTAATATCTAGTAGAAATCGCCATCATAGAAAACAATCAAATAATCAGGATACTTTCTCATGTATAAAGCCAATGGAAGGTTTTGTGATTGTGACGCACAACCCATCCAAAAGTTGCCCCCTCCCTTGGCAAATCCTTCTGACGCCCCTGTATGGCTATATTATACTCAAATTAAAGGAAGTTTAGGTTAGGTCATAATTACAGGTATGGTATGGTCTTTCAGATTTGTGCCTCGGAAAATTAAAAATGGCTGTCAACAGGAATTTGCATTCATTTTGAGGTTCTGAAGTATAGCTTTATTATACTCAAATGAAAGGCAATTTAGAGTAGATTGCAAATGTTGTATTGGTTTTGTAGCCTTGTAAAAATCAAAATGGCCGCCGCCTTATGTGTTATTTCGCAATAATTTTCTGATCTCTTCAAAGTATGGCAATATTATTCTCAAATTGAAAAAAATTGGTATTGTTTTCCTGATTTGTGCCTCAGAAAATTCAAATTGTCTTTATTATTTAAATGGTCACCCATAGGCTTTTAAAATTGTTAGAAATTGTGATAAATCTCTAATGTTTCCAATATTTATATTTTTGTTACAAATACAGATTCATATGTTATAGTGTTCATTGGGATTTGCTACCCTGTGGTGTTGCTGTTTTCTAGTTTTATACCCAATGATATAAAATTAGAATTAACATCAAATTGCATCTTTTTTTCAAAAGTCTTCTTGAGTGTAATGTTTAAATAGTTATAAAGTGTTAGGACTGCTTTTGTATTTTCAGGCAAAGACAAAGTGATATTTGTAACTGAGAAGGACCACAACACACCAAGCACAGCCAAACTTGACTGGGAGGATGAGGAAAATGATGATCAGCCAGGTAAATATGCTCTTGGGAATGTGGATATTTTTGAATTTAAGATTCTCAAATCTTGGCTGCATTAACCTCTTGACTATCCAGAGTGACAAAATTTCTTGCCACCTAAGAAATGACTTTGGAACCTAGAGTGACAAGTCGATAATCTGTCAGAAAATTTTTCAATAAAATTGCTCTAATTTGAATTTTGAACAATTTTCTAAAAATATGTTTTAAAATTTGTAGAGTTACGGCACTTTTTATTCAATATATATTTTATAATTATCTAATTATCCAAACAAAAGATTATGAAATACAGTGTAGGCTTATTGAATATAGTTTCACAGCAACACTTGTGAAAAAATACATAAATAGTAGTAGTAGTATACAAATACATGTTGCCCAAGATATTTCAAAAAAATGCTTTATGACACAACATGACTTCAGTTAGAAGCTAGAATCAGATAATCGCCGTTAAGGGACTCGTCCTCTGATAAGTGCCCAGCCTGCTCTTCAAAAATCCAAGACATTGAAAAATGACCAAAGTTTGAAGAAAAGGTTGCGTCCATGAATATTGTACTCTGACATAAATTTCCATGTGTTTCAGGACTAATTCTGAATGATGGTTCAATAAATTGGGATTGTCCATGCCTCGGTGGAATGGCTTCGGGACCTTGCGGAATCGAATTCAGAGAGGCATTTTCCTGCTTCCATTATTCTAAAGAGGAACCTAAAGGAACAGACTGTTTAGATCAGTTTAGAGGAATGCAAGCTTGTATGCAGCAGTATCCCACCCTATACCCAACATCACAAGATGAAAAGGAGGAAGACCTGGTGGCAGCGGTAGATGATCTTGAGAAAGATGGAACATCAAGTGCTGGAAGCGGAAGTGAAATAGTGGACAATAAGGCTAAAGAAGATATAAATATTGAACAACCTGAAAAGACTGGTAGTGCAAGTTGATGTTAGTTAATTTAGGGAAATGATGATTACCTATGCAGTATACATGTATAGTCGAATGAAGGCAAAGTCTAGGCCTGCATGATTTTGTGTGGTTGAAAATTGATCATGATAATTCTTGAAATTTGTCCTTTTGCCATCCAATTGTTTGACTCATAATATTCCAAAACTTTATTATACAGAGTAGACCAAAAAACGCCACTTTTTTCAAGACACTATAACTTTTTTTCCAACCTACATACACCAAACTTTGCAATTATATAGTGCCAGGGGTCCTAAGTAATAAATAATGTACTGAGTCCTTCAACTTGGATTATTTCATCTAAAAGAGGAGTTCAATTGGTCCGCCACCCTCTTTATGATAGCCTTTCATCTTAATTGCCATGCTGATATAGCAGTATCAATGAATTGTTGACTAAGTTTCTTTCAACCTGTCTTTATATTGCTATCTTAAGTTGAGCAATTTTTGAGATTGGGGTGTTTATACCATCTCCTGGAAACCTCCCCATACCCTATACTCACTGGGGTTTCCATCAGGACTATTTGCTTGGTGGTCAACAGACTGTATCAGTTCAGGAACATTTTGCAAATTATGTTTATCTCTCATGGTACACCACATGTTAAAGTGAGACGCTGGCAACATATTTTATTCAAGTTAAAGTGTACAAATCATAATGCATGGCTAGATTGCAACTTCAAGTTTCATTTGGTATGCAAATCATGATTTTTGATTAAAAATTAAAAAAGTTGTAGTATTTTGAAAAAAGTGGCATTTTTTGACGCACCCTGTATATACAAGTATCATATAGTAAATAATTTCACACAACTGGTGTCATGAAATACTGGCACATCTTTTATCTGGCAAACTGGACTTATATTTAATTTGGCGCTACTTATTTTTGCGGATTTGCTGTTTTGAACATTTGGCACATACTTAATTTGGCGGACTTGCAATAATACAATGCCTCCACTAATGGTACTAAGGCCATAAGAAGTAGGTTCTTTGTTTTGCATCCTGGCAAAATCCAAATCATGCAAGGGTACAAGGAAAACAAACACAAACTCAAGAAAAAACACAAACTTGTTTGCTTAAGAAATGTATACATTTTGTGGGTGTAAAAAGGGATGACAAACCAATTTGCAGTGATTACAAACACATATCTATACATCATATACAATATATTCACTGGTCAGTATCAAGATGCTGTAACGGCCGTTACCTTCTCATCTAAGAAGGCGGATGGAAAGTGTCGATTTCGATATTTTTGGTTTTCGTCAAATCAAACTACTTTATAATTGACGTAATGCTAAGATATTTGAACTTGATAAGCCTTACATATTATGGAAACTTTTGAGTATGATCATTTGTTCGTAAATCATACGTGGACGACATAATGCAACTATATGTTACACCGCTTAGGGGAAGGTAACTGGAAGTGCATGATACGATAACTGACACGTCTGTTTCCAAGATGATGTGGTCACTGTATGAAGTTAATAATATAACACTGTCCATTTTGACCCACATAAATTGTCCGTCATTTCTGATTCCGACTGAATGAAATGCGATAGTACTCTCAGACGCTTGTGTTTGTTTTTTCCGATTTACTCAATATCGTGCAAGCAAGGGGATACAAAACAAAGAATCTACTACTTATGGCTTAATTAACATGGTACTACAGTTACCTGGGAATTTGGCAGACTTTAACAATTTTGCGGATTCGCCAAATTAGAACGGCCACCAAATTAAGTAGAAGTACAGTATGTTCTGTTATTTTTATCTTGAATCATTTAAAAGTGGTGCCAATACGTTAAAAACTTGAAAAAAACTTAACCATAGATTTTAGATTTTGATCTAGAATTAGGATAAATAATTTCCCTACATGTTAAATCGAAATACCAAGTACATATCTAAGTGTGATCGTGGTTGAAAGTAAGTTGGAAGCATTTGTAGGAAAAAAATTCATGTAATAATAAAAATAACTGGAAATTAACTTTGACTTTATGTTCATAATTCAATCCAATTGATAATGAAAAATCAAACTTTGCAACAGAGTATTAAGCTTCTTTGGATTGAGTGAAATTGATTACCATCATCAATTTCATAATTTTAAGTAGTAAATTGAGAGAAGAATTATAAATTTCCTGAATATTACTCCATCAACAGATCAAAATGAATAGCAAGGTATCTTATTCAGGCCAAAATGTTTTTGAAAACCTTGCAAAAAAGTTTCTGGCTTTACTTTTTCATCCATTTTAGTGGTACTTAATATTTGCAATGTGTGAAAATAGTAATTACACAACTCAATGAATCTTGGGTGATCTGATGCACTCATGTTTTGTACCCCAGCCTTTGAATTCCGGCTACTGCCCTCATTCAAAGTCTTGATTCAAGACATTCATACTTACATGGCATAATATGATGCACAATTCGTTGAGCTTTTGGTATTTTCCAGGGTGGTGAAGATTTACATGTGACAAGTTTCATAACTGCCAACTTTTACTTTCTCAGGCCCTTAATGTGTCTTGAAATTTGTTTAAACTCGGCATGAATCAAATTCACACATTTCTATACATGATATATCACATGCCAGCCAATCAGAAGTTCAGAACACCGTATAAAATATAGCCAGTGGTGGAGATAGGAAGAAAAAAGTGTCAAGGCAAAAAAATAATTCCAAACCTGCTTCATCCTGGCTATATTACAAGTTTACCATTATTCAGATTCTAAATTAGTGGCTATGTAATAAATTAATTCTCAGAAATATAAATGCAAAGTAATACTTACGAAACACCATTAAAATATGAACTTAGTACGATGATGGCAATAGAAGAACATGATGATAACCTTTATAAGATAGATTTTGCACAACTAGATCTAAAATTGATGATTTAAGATTAAAAATCAATGAAAATTATACAATTAACTTACAATCATCATTATGGAAGAATAAATGTTCAAAGGATGTTCAAAAATTTGCCGCGTCTTCGTCTCTCTCATACTGGCTGCGCTACAGATAGTAAGCATTAAATATCATTGGCAGGTGAACGAAAAACTAAAATGATTTTCCTTGAGTATAAAAAATGTGCTCAGAATTCAAATACCTCATCTGCAAACAAAAGCAAATTCAGTCCTTGGTTTAAGGATTTAAGCCCTGATCTAAGTGCAATTTGGAAATGACCATTTCTTGAAGGTGTTGCTTTCCAAAATTTGCATGAGATGCATAGCATCGAGTGTTAATTTAAAGAAACAACACCTGAGAGGAATGGTCATTACACAATGTTGAGTAGTGGGCTTAAATTCTTTTAACAAAGTGCAAAATATTTTCTACAAAATCAGAATCAGGACCAAAATCAGGAACAGATTTTCAATGAAACTTCTTGCAAGGGTCAAGGTGGCAAAGTATCAATTTCAATCTGTAGATTCCAGTTATCACCATGACAACCATTTACTAGAGATATCTGCAAACAAAAGCAAATTCAGTCCTTGGTTTAAGGATTTAAGCCTTGTTCTAAGTGCAATGTGGAAATGACTATTCCTAGAAGGTTTTGTTAAACAAGGGTCAAGGTGGCAAAGTATCAATTTCAATCTGTAGATTCCAGTTATCACCATGACAACCATTTAACTAGAGACCTTGAACTTGTAATTGGTTATATAACGAAATGCAGTTACGTGAAATTGTAAATCTCAAAGATGTTTTGTAATGCAGATAAAATTCCCAATGATTTCATGATGATAAAGATAGTAATTCAAATAATAGAGAGTTGTATTGTTTATGTTACTCATACCAAGAAAACCGTCTCAATTTATTTTTTATATTATATTAGATGATATTTCCAATAACTGCAAAGTTTCTGTCATCCCATTTTACCAGTGACTGGATTGGCAAACCATACTTAAACAGGAAGTGATGTCACTCGAGAATAAAAACAACATTGAAGACACGGACATCTAATACGTTCTTCGAATTGCCCTGGAACTATATTTATACCAGGACTGGCATCCAGATCCAAGTATTTTTTAAGACCGCCGACTCTCGTTGGGCTATTTATCCCTATTGACTCAGTTGTTCATATAAATTTACGTACCTTAGATGCTTTGTAATCGACGTAGATAGAAAATATTGTTTCCTAAATTGTTCTGGAAAGCGATAATTATAACTAAATGTACTTTGAACAGGTCGACTGACAAAAAAGCCGGGCTTCTGACACGTCTCGTTCTCGCTCTCAAACAAAACGTGAAGAACGTGACGTCACTTCCGAATCATAGCATTCAAAATAAGTAGCGTTTAAATCCCAATACCATATGTAATATATCGGTGGTCTAGGGGGAGAATCCTCGCTTAGCACGCTGGAGGCCCGGGTTCGAATCCCGTGCTCGCTCTTTTGTTTTTTTTCGAGGTCGTTATCTTCATCGTCTAGTTTACGAATACCAAATGTCGATGTGATGTTTTAATTGATAAATACGAATTCCTTACACATTTCGTTATCTTATTGTGAAATAGCAAACTAAGAGATATCTTTACTCGCTAGGAATTAACATAATATTATTTGAAGCGATTTTAGAAAATTTTGAAACCGCCATCTTGGTAATATTGATGACGTGATCAAAATCGGTCAAGGTCAGGTCAAAAGTCATCCATCTTGCCATTAGCCCCGCGGATTGTTACCAGTCGACAAAAAACGATGAAATCACGTTAAAAATAAAATATACACTTTAAAATTGAGGCTGATCGAATATGACAAGACTCCATTGAATACAGCTGTGCAATTTACAGTCACCAAGATGAGCTAATTTCGGAGAGATTCGGGAATTAAAAAAGGTAAGCACTTCCGGTTTCCCAACTTAAAAGTATTTGAAGTCCCAGAATTTCGCCAGAAACATTCTCTCTGACTGTGATTGAAGAAGAAAATTCTGCATTACAAATGATTCATTCATGATTAATCATTTCTTAATTTAGCTGTTCTATTGCTATAAATTGAAATGAAGGGCGGCTGGTGTTATGTTGTGTAAATTTGTCGACCAGGAAGACACCAAAAATGACGGTAAGTAAAATTTAGTTGATCTTTCATTCTTCTTTCAAAGAATCTTTGCAAAAAAAAATCCAGTCAATATTTTGATTTTGAGTTTGACTGCTGACAGTTTCTGAGTTTGATTGACACCATGATTCATTTATGATTTAGATTTTGTGAATGCCCATGGTTTTATCTTGTTCATAGAAGTTAGGTCTCTAATTAAGATTTATGAAAGTGTGATTTTGATTGCCTGTAAAAAGTGGTTATTTTTTTATAAGTCGCAAGCAGAGGGGTCATTCATCAAGCTATCACAGTCACTGCGACGTCGCAGTTACAATGACCAAGGTGCAACGCAACATTGCAGTAACTGTGACCTATTTATTAACAAATCACAGTGTGTGATTTTCGATAGTGAAAACCATATGTGCTTCTTTACCACGTGTCGTTAGCATTTCATATTTAGATGACACTATCATGGTATAATGTATGTATAGTACTACCAGTGGTGTAGCTTGGGTATTTTTTGAGTGTACGCCACGAGTGAACAAAGCGAACAAGCTTTGAGGAGGTTTGGGGGGAGAAACCCTACAAGAAAATTTGAAAATGAGATTGCATTTTAAGCATTCTGGGGCATTTTAAATAACGAAATTCCATCGTATATGGATCAAGCAACAATGGTCGATACGACCTGTAATAAATATTTGTAAGTGACATTACCATCACAAATTCAATGTCATTGCTGGTTATTAGCTCACATGGTAAGCTTTTGCAATCACTCACTTGTCCGTCTGTCCGTCCCCCCGTCCGTCCGTCTGTCTGTCTGTCTGTCTGTCTGTCCGTCAACAATAGGGGCACGTTTTAAAACCTCTGTCGATAGGATTCCTGTTTTAAGTTATTTCTGTTCAACATCAATACAGAAAACCCCCCTATGACTCCTGGTTCAAAAGCTCGCCTATTTTCAAAATGGCCGTCACTTTTGTCTCGCGAAATTCACTTTTAGCCCATTTCCTTGCTAACCTCTGTCGATAGGATTCCTGTTTTAAGTTATTTCTGTTCAACATCAATACAGAAAACCCCCCTATGACTCCTGGTTCAAAAGCTCGCCTATTTTCAAAATGGCCGTCACTTTTGTCTCGCGAAATTCACTTTTGGCCCATTTCCTAGCTTTACTAGGGGGGAGTAATATTAATATTGTAGTACAGCCTTTATAAATAAATGATTTCGGGTTTCTGTAAAAAACCGGATGACCGGGTAACTGGGTACCCGGTCGACCAGGTACCTAACGTTCCTAGCAGGGTTACCAACTTTCAAAGTTCCACATTTCCCCCGATATATAGTAGCGAATTGACTTGACAGACTATTGAGTGCACTGCTGTTCGATATTTTTACCCTATACGAGACAGAGCACTTTTTAAAATAATCGATCCAGCAAACAGAGACATCCATGTCACGTTGCTCATGAGTAGCATATAAGTTCCTAGAAGACGTTGCACATTTTCGTTCTTTACACATCAAGGCAACGTAAACATGAGACATCTATTGATGGTATAAAAAGAATGTTGTTGTAACGTGTCCGTAAAGTTCGTTAGTGTGGAAAACATAACAAACAGGAACGTTTGATTTTTTACTACATTGGTCCATATGTGACGTAACTCAAACATTGAAATTCAACGTTGTCAAAACAGGCTTTTAATATCAAAATATTTGTTGGTAGAAAAAAATATGACAAAAACTTTGTGTTCTCACTAAGTCGGTTCATTTCCGACATATTGTTAATGTTAAGATTTAACCTTGTCGAAACGTTTTTTCGATTTTAAATTACCTCAAAACGTGACTTCAATAATGACGTTCATGGACCGTATTGATCTGACGTTATTTAAATATTCAGCAAAACGTCGATGGATGGTTTAATTTCAACATTGTGGAAATGGCTTCAAAATATTTGTGAGTTAAGGAAATGTTACAAAGACGTCAATATGTTCTCACTAAATCGGTTCATTACCGACGTTATTTTAACGTTAAAAGTTAACGTTGTCAAAACGTTCTTATGATGTGAAATAACCTCAAAACGCTGGGTTCTCCCCAGAATCTAATTGCATGGCGCTCCCCCCTGCTCACTCGTTTTCCCCGCCCTGTTCCCCCCCTGCTTGCTTCGCCCGCCCTGCTTAGCGCCCCGCTTCTTCAAAACTTACGTACATTATTTTATTCTCCTGGATATTCGACGAAATCACATAAACTTCAAAAAATTTTCAAAAAGTTTTTCCCGATTTGCCATTCCAAAGGCCGAATCTTAAATGTCTTCTGATTGGCTCAAAACTCATGATTAGTTACGAAATATCCAATCAAATTATCTATTACTAATCGTGCGTCATCGACATAATCTGCCACAGGTTCGGTTCGATCACTTGATTTGACTACTTATGCGCATGCGCCCAAAACATTCTAACCTATCAAAATCGTTCATTTGATGCGTGCGTTGAGAAAATTAGAAAAAGTTAGCAGTTGAACCTGGCGCAGATTACTGCAACGCGGAGTGATATGATCACCGATCATCAAAATCGCCAATTTGGAATAAAACAAACATAAAAACGACTAAAACTACAATTTGACAATGAAGTATTATTTTTTATAAATAGTTATTATAATTGCGAACGAATTAATGTTCAAATCTTGCTTTTGATGGTTGTCATGATAAAGAAGTTCGACTTCCGGTTCTTTATGCGGGAAACTCAAAAAAATGGGTAAAATTAAAGACTTATCTAAAGAATACAATGAAAGTAGAAACAGTGGACAGGGTCCTCAACATTATCATAAATGGACCAAGGGAAGAGGTGTTCGATTTTGAGGCAGCATGGGGGAGGTGGTTTGACATGCACCCCAGAAGATGTAGGGACAGAAGACTTTAAGGAAACACAATGAACAATGAACACTCATTACACTACATGCATATTATCATGTATTGTTAAATAAAAGGTTTTTCTAAATGAGAATTGGTGTTTATATAGGGAGCGAAGCGAGCGGCAAAAATTGGCCCAAAAATCATGCGAGCGGAGCGAGCGGCGAAACTTGTTAAAAAATCCCCCCCTGCTATGAAAAAATCCTGGGGAGATCACTGAAACGTGACGTCGAAAATAACTTACAAGTATCGTCCAGATCCAACGTTGTAAATAAAAAAATTCCTAACCCTGCTAGGAACGTTAAGTACCCGGTCACCCAGTTACCCGTTTACCCGGTCACCCGTTTTTTTACACAAACCCAATGATTTCAGCTTAATTGCAAAGTAAATATCCATATTTCTGAGATAAACAACAATATAAATATAATATTATCAATTAATTTTGCTAAAGTTAATTTGGAAAAATAAATGCCAACTTATTTAAAATGACTGTTAATGTGCAATTGCATTCACATGCTTCATATGTTCCATGGCTGTTTCTTGGTTAAAAAATGTGGAGCCAATTATCTTTTCCAATATGGAGATTCTAAGTCAGTCATAGCTGTGCCAGATTTTAATAATATCATTCTTTTCATATCATTTCATTCACTTTGATTTATAAACACTTTAAGTCCGAACTGAAAGCAAACCTAGAAGTTTTGATTTTTGAAAAGTGCTTTAGGTAGTTTGAATATAAAGTGAATTCATTTTGGTCCTTGAGATATGTCAACTTATTTCATTTAATGTTATACATGTCATGATCTCCTCTGAATGAATGATTTTCTAAATAATTTGAATAGTACTGAATGCAAGTGAAGTCATCCTAGGAATTACTTGACAGTTCCATTCATCAACTTTATGTATTTTGCAAAACAACTTTTGAGTATTTTAGTTTTTAAAACCATAAACACATAGTTCCACAGTGAGTCATAATGAAATAAATATTCTATTCTTATCTTGTGCTGAGACCATTTTTAACCTGCTAGGAGGCAGTTAAACATGTCATGCAAGATTGACCACATGGGTACAGAGTATAGCCACGTTGGTTCAAAGCATGTGCTACTATCAACCGCACAGTGACTTGTCGCATGGTGAAGCGTCTTTAAGTGCTTCACCATGCATCATAATCTTGTTAAATATGATATACATGTTGTGCAATTTAACAAAATTAATCATGAATCACATTTTGAAATTTCCATATGATTTCATAAAGAAATCCAATTAGTTTAGGATATTTTTTCGAACTAAAATCACTGCAACTCAGTGGGTATCTCTGGTCACTTAAAGGGCAATTTTCGTGATATTTCTTTGAGATGTTGCAGAGATACCATAAGATTGCAATCGCACTAGACTAATGAATAGAACATGACTGCTAAAAAGGAGTTCTTGCGACGTCTCACGCATGCGAAAGTGCTTGCCATAGCTTGATGAATGACCCCTCAGGAGTACAGAATATCAATGTATCAATGACATCACACATCTGTTGGGAAGTAGAATTTGGTGGAAATGAATTATAACATCTTGACTTTGTCAGATTTCATGATCGGTCACTAAGATGTCGTCATAATGTTGTTATGGTATTAAATGAAAGTGGACTGTAAGGGTATGCATAGCCTGTCTTTTCTATTGACTCCCTTGCAAATGCTTAGCAACTTATACAGTACATGCACTGTACTTCATATCAGCTTTGGTATATATCTGACTAAATAATCATAACAAGATATATTATATTGAATTAAATCATTAAACATGTTTTTCATATATTTAGTATGTACTTTTTCATAATTGTAAATATTGATTCATCTCGTACAAAACATGTTGGAACCCAGACGAGATGATGTACACGTATGTCATAATTTATAGACCGATATATAGATGGCAGGGTGGATTGTATATTTTAAAAAATCATAATAATTGTATACACAGCTGTATTCAATGCAATTTTTGTAATATTTTCTAGGCGTCCATTCCGTCAGGAGTTAAAATTGATCAAGTAAAAGGCCTCGTATATGGCAACTGTACAGGAGATGCTATTGGGTTGCTCACTGAATTCATGATCAAAAAGGAGGCTAAAACAGTAGGTTTGGGTTATTTCAATGTTATCTAAATTGTTTCAACTGAAGGTGAACACCCATCATTTTACAGATTTCCAAGAGATTTATCTAAAATTTTGGCGAAGGTGTAAATTGACTTTTTTGATAGCTTAATTCACCCACGGGCTTTCAACTATAATTGAAAGCCCATGATTCACCAAAAAATGGGGCCCCAAAATACACTAAATGTTCAAATTGTTCATTGAAGTATGTCTATACTGAAGAATCAATAGCTATTTTGAAAACATAAGGTCCCATCATATGGTTCATATTTTATATATAGTAACCCTCATATGAATTAATGCCTATTTGACATAAGCATGTATATCTTTGGTCAAATTGTGATATCTCATTGTATACACTGTATTTCAGTACTATGGCAAGAAGAGCAAGCTGAAGTTCAAGTACAAGGTGCCTGATATGCATAGGGAGCGATGGGAAGTGGGTGACTGGACAGATGATTCGGATCAGATGGTTCTCATAATGCGATCCTTGGTAGAAAACAATGGAAAGGTGCGTAGGATAGTTGCATTTCAATGTTTGATTGGCTGTGTTGGTTTGGACACTTAAACAATTGTGTTATGTTCATGTATTCAGTTTTGAAGATAATACAGTCTTAAACCTCTTTACCTCAATATGAATCAAATGTCTTACTATACTTAATGGCAAAAATGGAACAATTATGTCATAAATGTCTTAATATAAAACTATTTTAGTCATCTGTGTGTATTACTGCCTTAAAATTCACTTACTACGTGTTTCTTCATAAATTATGTCTGTGTACCAGTTTTATGATTTTGATTATATGATTTAGGTGGTTGTGACTGACTTTGCCTCTAAACTTGTCAACTGGATGAAGCATGGATTTGAAGAGTTGGGCGACAAAGGTGGAATGGGCATTGGGCAAAACACAGCTGCCGTACTTAATGCTTCTGGTTACGTAGATGACCCACTTAAGGTGAAACTATTAAGAATATTATTGCTCTACTCAAAAGTAGCCTTGCCCAAGTCGGTATTTTTTTACTTATCTGATCTTGAATTATTACTGCCTTGTACAATCCAATACATCTCCGCTGTTATTATGCTGAAATATTCAACGGTTTCGAGATTTCCATAATACCTACGCTATCAGGGGTATCGCGAAACCTTATTGATTGACAGATATCGCGTGGACACGACGTGTGACTTCAGGCTGAATGACCAATCAAAACGTTATCAGGTTGAGCTGCATAAACAAAACAAACTTCCCATCTACGACTTGAAATTCAATGATCTGATCGAGTGTTTCTTTAGAGTTACAATATATTATGTAATTAAATATACATTGGAAGGTAAGAGGCATTAATTAAGAAATATAGACCGAAAAGCAGGGGTTATATCGTCGAATACAACCCGCAGGGCTAGGCACAAACGTTTTCTGTACCACGAACGACCGAAGGGAGTGAGGGGTTCGAAAGCTTTTGTGCCTAGCCCCAAGGGGTGTATTCGACGATATTACCCCTGATCTGAGGTCTATATTACGATTCGAACATGAAAACTCACCAAATTGTTTCGAATATTCATCATGGTCCGCCATTACTACGACCCATCGTTATGACGTCACACATTACACGTTTTAACTGGGTTATTGATCTCGAATATAACCCAGCTGAAGCATTGACTTTGTTTACAGTTTATAGAAGGCGTGAATACAGTCATGTTCGAATATGAATTAAATCATGCGATTCAATGTTGATTTAAAACTGATTTCGCGATGAAAATGCACGAAGACCTAGTCCAATGTAGCGGGTCATGTTAACTATCGTCGATCGGTGATTGAATCTCAGCCAACATGTTCAGCGATTGTTTCAACGTTTATTGTTGAAATCTTCTCACCTTTGGTTATCCGATCGATGCCCCGGCATCCACTAAACTCTCATTGATATTTATCTGATAAAATATTTGTATTTTCATGATGAATTCGTGCTCAGATTCGTAAGATTTGTTCGTGAAAAGTCCCGCTGAAGTGTACTTGTTTTTGACCGTGCATAATAATGAGCTAACGCTACAGGGCCGTCTTTGATTGGTCAAATTTTACCGACATCAACAAACTGTCGGTAAAGCACGCGGCTTTCTCTTTGGTACAAGGCGGTCATAATAGAAATCAAGATAAGTAAAAGAGACCGACTTGGGCAAGGCAACTCAAAAGCTACATTGTTAGAAACAGTTTTGCATGAGATTGAAAGTTAGTGAGTCCTTGAGTTTTGTGAACTAAAAAAATAAAATGAAAATCACAAATCTGAATTTTACTTAATAAGTGAAGCTATTCATGTAAATTATATTATCCTAAGTTACATGTATGTGTTATTCATAAAATGTGCTTCCTTCCATAAACCACTGAAAATATTTACATGATGTCATAGCCTCCTTTTTGTGTTCCGTAGGCCATAATAAATTGTTTCTATATCTATATCTGGTATTATTCTGGAAAGAATTTCACTATAACTATTTGCAATAAGTTATCAGGTGGTGACATCTTGTCATAATATTATTGTTATGAACATCATTCCATTCTTATTTTCATGTCACCACCACAAGTGCTGACATATTGTAATAGTCTCCAACTTTTTTTGTTACCAGTGGTATTTTTTTGTTACCAGTGGTATTCAGCATTCAGCAGTTGGTGTTAGGCATCGGTAACAAATGGCAGGTGGTGACATTTTTCATGTTAATGCTTTGTTCATGAAATAGATTTGTCACCTAGTCTGTGGTGTAATATTTTACACCTGTGTCCTTTTCTACATGTAGGTGTCTGAGAAAAGATGGAACATTGCAGGTAGATATGGACGTTTCCCCGCCCCAAATGGTGCAGTTATGCGTACATCAATATTAGGAGTTCATTGCTATGACAACATTGATGATGTCATAAGAAATACTATTGAAATCTGCAAGACAACACACTTTGATCCGAGGTAAGAACTTCTGCCATTGTTTCTGAGTTAGTATGACCCTCCCAAGGTTGGGCAATGCTGAATTTAAGAAACTTGGGCATATTTGTCAGGAGTGACATAAGGGGAGAACACTTAATGTGGATGTAAGGAGAGTTGAAATGAACATAACCTTTAAAATTCAAGGAGGATGGGGGTTGCTAGGAAAATCATAAAAATACCATATTGGAACTTGCAAGTAGAGATTTACTTGATGGCAATAAAGCCTTTGAATACGTCGAGGGTAATGTAACATAAACAATATGTTAGAAATTTATTTCTCCATAGAATTTTAGGAAAGTTTGTTGACTATAGTAAGTATCTTATTATTAATTAACATTTAGGTGCCAAGCATCATGCGTTGCTGTAACAACCAGTATAGCCATGATGTTACAGAGGGAACCTAAAGGAAAGGCAAAATCAATGAAATTCACAAAAGACATGATAGATGACATAATAAAAGCTGCTTACAATTATTCTAAAGATCTACTTTCCACTGAGGAATTGGTAAGTTCATAGGGGGGTTGGAGTCGGGTACAATACTTCAATTTGAGTGCTTCAGTTTGAGTTCTTCTACTGAGTACTATCTCATTGAAGTGCACTTTTACTTGAGGTTTAAATCTTTTGTTGGACATGTACTTGTACTCCAAATTCCGACGATATACAATAGACTAGATGCGAGTAGAAATAATCTTCATTTATGTCATCAAATATTCAAAATTCGGTCATATTCATGTAAAAGTACATCTACAAATATGGTTTCGAAAATTGTTTATCAACTTTGAAAATTTAATTTCCAGTTCAGGGAGATTCCCCATAGACCCCATGATATAAAATCACAAAAAGTGAATTGTCTTTTCTTGTATTGGACAGATAATATTTTTTACTGGACATATTTTAATTTGCATAACTATCAGATACATAAGGGTGATATGAATATTGAACCATGAAAACTGACGAATATTTAAGTTAAACGGAACTTTCTTTTATACCCGCCATGCCACCTTGTGGTGAAACTGATAACTACCTACTCGCATCTGAGTTATTGCTTTTTGAACATAACAATGTTATAATTTATTATTTCACTACCAGAAGTGGTGACATTTTGTTACAGTCTCCAACTTTTTGTGGACGGTTAATCTTCAGCATTCAGCATCTGTAAGAAATGGCAGGTTGTGACATTTTGCATGTTAATGCCTTGTATTAAATTAATGTAGAATTTACACTAAAATCGTGTTATTTGGTAATCAGTGATAATTTAATAAATCTATTTTTTGACAGAACATCTTTTCTTTGTCTGTATGAAACAATATAAACTGTATTTGAGTTATCCTTCAGAGATGTTCCTCTTTTCTATATATTTTCAATTGACTTCTTTTCAGAGAGAAGAACTATTGTTCTATTTAAATGTGAAGGACCTGTCTGCCTTAGAGTTAGATGAGGCGGGGAAGATTGGTTACACATATAAGACTCTAGGAGCAGGATTTTGGGCATTGAAGCAAACCAACTTTAGAAAGGCTATACAAGCAATTACTATGGAGGTAGGTGCCTCTGCTCTATTACAACATGTATCAATATTTATATGTAATTTTTAATGCATAGTGACATCTTATTTGAGCATTTCCAGGTTAATCAAATGTTGGAAGAGATGATGTAGAAAGTTAAGAGTATTTGTTTATTTGGAAATTAACAAAATTAGGTCGCTTAGTCCCCTTCTTTTGCACAATTATCATGATATTATTAAACTTTGGACTTAGCTGCCAATAGATCATAGCAGATAGTATCTACATAATGTGTAATATTGTTCACTCTGTGTCTTGTAATTTATCACTTATAACCATTTGTAATTGTAGGCGGGTGATGCAGACACAAATGCTGCTGTGGCAGGGGCTCTACTTGGCTGCAAACTCGGCTTTGAGGAGATACCAAAGGCATGGAGAGATGGACTAATACACAAAGACTGGTTGAATGAACAGATGAGAAAGTAACTATCTTGAGAAATGTCCAATGTTCACCCCTTTTATATTATATGTTTTGAAGGATTACTTGAAGTAACTGTCATTACAATGGCAGCAAAGAAACTATTTAATATTTCTTTAAAGTTCAAATTGTGTAATATTTAACATGTCACTTGGGAAAAAAACTAGAAAAAATCTGCTGAAAATTTGTCTGTTACCAAATTATTAGTCATTATACTTCTTATTTTCAGATTTTTCTTGCTTGATGAAGAAAAATGGAAAAACACAAAATGACAAAATTAGAGGAAGGAAGGAGTCACAAACTAAATGGGGTTCAGATAGTGGTCTGCAAAAAATAGTCTGAACAACATACCACAATATTCTGTAGTGATTACAGGGTATAATACAGGCTGAAAAATGCAAAGAATGTACAAATTATGCGAAAACAGCATGGATTATCAGGCACGTAGCCAGCTCTTGCCAAGGGGGATTCACTTTTCAAAAAAACTTTACAGTGTTCACATTTTACAACTTTGACTCAAAATCACTTGAAAAGAGCTCAGAATGGTGAAAAACTCCATGATTTGAAAGAATTTTTGTATTATTGTACAAACGGCAAGACAACATAGTGGAAATATCAGATTGTATACAATTATAGACATAATTGACAATATAAACAGAATTAAAAGTCAACCAAACAGAGATGTCTTTAATTTTTTTGCAAAGGAGACATACCATATCAAGTAATGCTTTACTTACTCTAATACTGAATATATTCATATCCCATGGATTCATTATTTTGTCATTAAATGACATCATTCGCAAACACTATTCACCAGCAATGCATGGTTGACTGTCAAGACTATTGACCAATCAGAATCTCGTATTTTAATGAGGTTCAAACAATATATGTATGACAAAATTTTTTTTTCTTCTTTCCACAACCTTTATTTTACTATAACCAGGACGTTTCGGATCCTGTCTGGATCCTTTTTCAACTGTATAAAAACTGAACTGAAGCGCTACCTAAAAGGATCCAGACAGGATCCGAAACGTCCTGGTTATAGTAAAATAAAGGTTGTGGAAAGAAGAAAAAAAAAATTTTGTGATTTGATTAGCCAACCTGAAGAACATGTTTAAGAATATATGTATGGTATATTTAATGCCATGACATAACAGAAGTATTAATTGACATAGTTCAACAAGTAAAACCCAATTCCATCTAATGTATTTATCTCAATTTTCAGTCAGAAAGATAATATTAAATTATTTGAAAGTTTTTTTAGTTTTAAATCTCTTGAAGATTATGTTTTTTTTATGTGCCAAATGAAATATAAAAAGGATATATCTATAGGGTGTCTCAAAAAATGTACCCAAAAGTATATCAATATTCAAGGAATCTTAATGATTTTGGTTGTGAAGATATAGTGTCCAATGGAGAAAAGATAGTTGTTGCCTCCGCGAAAATGAGATATCTCTTATTTTCCAAGTTGTTGATGCTATGTAAAAGCATACCAATCTTTTATCAATTGATAACTCTATCCATACATAAAAATCATGAAGGTTTCTTAATCATTAAAAAGGTTATTCCAAGATTAGTGAGTGGCTTTTTTGTGTCCCATGGTATAAAAAAATCAACAATTAAAATTGTCAAAGTGTCTCAGTTAAGCCTCTCACATTGATGCTAAAATACTCACTAATTTTAAAGATTATAACTCTACACCCTTCAATTTTCGCTTGCCTTTGCTTTTGGTACAGATATTTTAGTGGCTTCAAAAACAGTATTTTTGTAATATAGCATATATTTAAAAAGGTGCATGCTCCTCTTTATAAGTTTAACATGTGACATACTATTGTTTAATTTGAACCATTTTTTCAAACTAAAACTTTGTAGACTTTGTATCTATTTATTGATAGTGCAAGTTGTGTGGCATTTAGTGTATACTAGGATTTTTCTATAATATTTAGTGACTTAGAAAGGTAAAATGCCAAAAGTGTATACATGTAAATGTACCTATTTTATTGTATAAATGATATGTATAATCTATTTTATTCATTTTTTATTATTTTGCTGAGATACTCGAAAATTAGATTTTAGTTTGTATGAAGTTCTATTTATGATGTCCAATTATTGTTATGGAAATGTTCTACATCAGTATCTGGCATATGAAATCGAAGTATCTGAAATATGGTAATAAGGAACATAATCAAGTATTAAACATTGACAGACTTTGATATGCTATCATATAATAACTTCCAGTGAAGTCAAACGAATGCAAAGGGTAATGCGTGGATTAAATTCAAGGAGCAAAAGTTATTTTATTATCCTAGGGGTAATCAAAAAGGTAATATTACTAAAAAGGTATGCATGGTACATGTACCTTTTTAGTAATATTACAAACTGGAATATTGCTCACCGAATTTGATATTTGAATCTCCTTTGTGCCATCTCCAGTTTCCTTCTTCGTCTCTATCATTGCCGCTGGTCCATATGTCAACATTCGAGGGGAATGTATCCGGAAACTTCACCAGGATCTTTTTAAGCTGATTAAACTCAACTGACTCGGGGGATATGGTGTTTTCAATGGACACAAGCTCCATGCCTCTTTCTTGACAGTTTGCAAGAGCTTCGTCCCATGTCAGACGTTTATATTCGAAGAAGTATCTACTGTTACCTATTACTGTAGTCAGTCCTTCACATCGAGTCTTAGGACAACCTTTCAAATGAAATTGAAAATAGGCATGTTTAAATCAATAAAGCAAGTTTCTTGGAACATTGCTTTGTCTCTATTAAGCAAAATCAACTTATTTTGCTCTAAAACAAAGAATATTGACAATTGTAAAACTTGCTAGGTATATGACTACGGTTATTGGGCGATGTTTCCTCGTCTCATCTAGTTTGGTTATTTGGTTATTTGAGATACCACTGGCGATGCGCGCCAGATTAAAAGCGAATGCCACAATGGTCACTCAGTTTGATTCAAAATTCAACATACTCGGCAGCTCCACCATGTGATATTCTATTGTTTCATTTATCGACAAACCATGGGCTTTCAAGAGAGCCCATGGACAAATTAAGTAATTTTGAGTTAAATTCTTTAATTATCCTACTTCCTTTAAATCTGGTTCAATGACAATCTATATCATAATGGAGTATAGTAAATTCTAAACTTTCGATGTTAAAATCTTATAAAATATTTTAATTGATTTGAAAGATTCGAGAAATTTTTTAGAAAGTCAACCTTTTCGAAGAAAAATGTTATATCCTATAATGTCCTAGAATTGGTCAAAAATTTAATATACAGTTATTTTCCATAGACTCCAGTAACGTTTATAACTCATCTAGCATTCAATGCCATGGCTAAAGACTTTTTAATGATAACATTTCCAATAGTATCATTATTAATTAATTGTAGAATGAGTCTTTATAAGCAGTTAAAAAGAAAACATAAACATTCTCATCGGCAACACTGTCTGTGCCTTAATAGATATTTTATGTCCATCGGTCTCGGCACCCCGCGGTCGTAACATGTACCATTTCCCCAATATAAGAGCAATAAATCGAGAAGTAATGATCAGATTGACTTAAAACTTATTCATACATCTAACACATGTAACTCTAGACATACATCTAGTCGATGTAAGTTAAAAGGACAAGGTGCAATTATTGGCAAATATCCCTATGGTCAAAATGAATCATTCGTAGGTGTAACATGAAGAATAAAATGTCATATAATACTTTGGAAAATATTAAAGTGCTTGGACACACATAAGCTGAGATAGGGATCATTTCGTTCAGCAAGGTTGTATTGACTTACATGGGGCTGTACACCATTGACTTAACATGAGGATATCAGCAGATCCCAATAGAGGCCATTGGTTTCCAGTGATTATCACAGAAATACCAAAAATACACTATGACCTGAATCGATTGCAAACTTAATAATTTCACAATACGACACAAATGGTTTATCTCATCAAATGTGCAAATATGAAGTTTGCAATCGATTCAGGTCATACTTAAAATTAAAAGATTGTACATTTTTTCATCATTTTTTTCCCTACAAAATGGCTATAGAAAAATGCTCCAAAAACAACTTTTACACTTATCAAATATCATACAAGTTTGTAAAACCAAAGATTATACTATTATATTTCAATTTGTAGTAACATATTGGGATAAGATGCAGGGATGCGTAGGATGTAAATGGATTTTGACAGACACAAAAATACTTCCTGGTTTGGAATCTATGCTTCTACACTTCATGATTGAATTATGACCCTAATAAGTGGCCTATACATCAATACAGTGCTGAATATAGGTCAACAAGATACTAGTGTGCATATAAATGTAATAATTGAAGCAGAATACTCATTTTGAAAAATCAGATGAATTATTTTTTTCCCATGGGGAGATCCCAATGGAGGGTGTATAAGGTCCTTTGTAGCATAAATCATGAACCTCTATCTATCCCCACCACGGTCCCCTCCGAGATAAAACACTTGATAGCGCCCAGGGGTGCGATAAAATGCTTCAAGCTACGGGAGAAAAACTACAGGGAGAACCAGAGGAGGTCAGTTGCTGCAGGAAACCCACAAATGGACCAAATGCTTAAATCTTCTGACATATATATAAACCGACATCTTTAACCCTACGCACCCCGTCTCTAGCTCTCACAGCATATGATAGACTACCAATATTGCCCATACCTACCTGTTTCGGTAACTCTCTGATTTCCATTTTTATTATAAAGAGACCATTGGCCAACCCCTTCCCCGACTAGTGCCTCAACGGTTATATCATCTACCGAAAGACTGGCACCCCACATCAACAGGAGCACACAGCTAGTTTGTGAATCCGCTGACGTTTTATTCCAAAGGTACTCGCAGCACTCTGCGTGACTCGTACATTGTAATGCACAGTGTCCAATAGAGGGTGCGGATACCATTACCTGCCGTCGAGTGTCAATAGGATTGCTTGATTTTTCGTAAAGACAGTTTTGTACCAGCGCCTCACAGTGTATTGACACGAATACATAGTTGAGTAAAATATAAATAATCACATTCGGCAAATCCATGTTTCAAATGTCAAATTTTCGTATGTCATAATTGAAATGACTAAACATACTTTATATAATCATATCAATTATCAAATAGTCCATTCTCTATCATCTAAACAGATGCACATGCACATCTAAATAGTGCACATGCACATAATCCAAACTGTACCATAAACGATTACGCTATCCAATTATAGCATTTCCAGGCAGCTCCCCTACTCCAACGCACACTGATCAAGTGAAAGTGACATAAGAATGATAATACAATGTCGTTTCTAGTAGGGCATAAAGTAAAGCAATTATCATTCGCTAGTTTTAGTCTTCCCATGATCCTCAATAGCGTTTCGTGTTCGGCGTAAATCTTGAACCAGAGAACATGTTAGTGACATTTGCATAAAGTTTAATAGACAAGATTATCGGATTAAACGTCATAGCGTGTTATTAGGGAGTTTAAGCATGCGCTGTTTTCACAACCTAAACGTGAACGGAAGTTATTTAAGCCATGCATTTGTATGGGCGATTGGTCAAACTCCCTATTGTTAGTATCATACAACATATTTTAAGAGATAAATACATTGCGACATTCAAACAACTTATCACAGACGAGAAGGTGATTTAAGGTATATAATCAGAGACACAGAGCAACTTATCAAAATTAAGGTTTTGTCTGTATCATTTCTGTCTCATGTTTCAGAACTTATACATGGAAGTAAAAACAAATACCTTAAAATGCATGATTTGTTAATTTCTCTATAAATCATATTTGATAGTCATCGTGTGAACTGTGGACACATTTTAGGATCTTAAACAACTGTGCATTGCAATAAGATGTCAGTAAATAATGGATTTGGTGATAAGACATAAAGATAAAATTATAGATAGTTGAAAACAGATCGGTTGTTTATAAGAGAACGCCCGGTGTAAAAGGGTAGGAGGTCCTATCAGATTATGGTCCTACTTTCCATTGATTTATATGGTGACCTAAATACAACTCTTTCCCTTATTATCGTATCCACAATCAGGGCCAGAAAGGGCCTTTAAGAAAGGGGTCCATAATCCCCGGGGGACTATAATTTATTTCGCACCGGTCCGTCCGTACGATAATGGAAATATCAATGTGGGTATTTTGGGGTATTTAATGGCCAAGTCATTTTCGAAATGTATATTAAAATTCATATCATTGAAGGATTTGAATTCGTTTATTGTAAAATATAAGGCTATTTTAAATTAATTTCAAAATCGTATTTCATCAAAAATCTGGTGGTGGCCATTTTGAAAAATTACCATTTCTTCATATGCGTTTGTCGTAAATAACATTTAAAACAACAACTCGAAGGCGAAAGTGTTGCTCAGTACGATTTATCAGATCGGGCGCTGCCAATGAAATCCCGTGTAAGATTAGTTAGGGCCATTTACAATAAGCAAATATGTTCAAATGACAATGAAAATAAAAAACATGTCATTTCGATCTACTCCATACCGAAGGGATTATTTGCATAATCGTGGCCTTGCATTATCCTCTTTATTTTTACTTGCCGAAGTATTGACGTAATCCGCGCAACTTTCTTGTTATCAGGACAACCAAACAGAATCACTGCTAATAAATAACAAAAACATAGGTATTTATCTTCATATGTTGTTTAAAGATAAGAATTCTTCACACACATTTCATTTACTTTACTTTGCAACCGACCATAAAAATGGATCGATATATCCTTATCAAATACAATTATTGTTGTGATTGTTTGAACATATAATTCAGCTAAGTACAAATTGTCATTGAATTTGATCATCGGAGAAAACATATCCGTCTTCCTTCGACACATTTTTCTGAGCTATATCTTCTTTTTACTTATCATATTTTCCCGTGAAATGACGAGTAAGCTACTTTAATCAGTAACTTGTCAAAAATTGTCTCAAAATTCCTGAATTGAATATTTCAAGCAATGAAATACATAAAAATGTACATTACTATCGGTATATAAAAATATATAAAAACAAAATGAATGTTAATTGATATAACTATGCATTTATTGAAGACTTGAGATATAGAAAGCGTTATACACTCCCCTCCATAAGTTTGGCAACCTAAGCTCCCCCATTGAACTACGTGTTAAAGTCTCATTACGTTTGAACTTTTATTTACTCAACCTGCTATGAAATATTGATGGAAACGTAACTTGACTTTTTTCTAATACCTCCAAATTTTCCCAATTCTTTCCTCGATTACAATAGGTCGTCATTACCATGTAAACCAATGGGAAATTGTGTGTTCGGGGCAAATAAGAAATCAGGATATCTATTCAGTAAAAGATTCAGCAAAAATATTTCTATTTAGAAAATTGAATTGTTTAACTTTTTCTACACTAAGTGTTTAGTTTGCTTGATGAGTACTAAAGTAAAATTAGTACAACAATGATGAGATCTCGAGAGTGAACTGGTTGTTAGGGGTTCTAACTTCCGACACTGCCCTTGCAGATGATGTATCTCTATTTATGAATCATCACAGCTTCGTCAATCATAAAGAGTTTCATGGAATTAATTGGTAAATTGAAGAAAAACAAAATGGGGAACTTTTATGTGTATTTGTAAACTCTGAAAACTTGGGCAAGAGTTGTTGACCATGAAAGAATGGAACCCTTTTCTATATCACCCTGAACTTGTCTATTCATGGGATTAATAAACTACTTCATTCATAAACAACTTAATTCCATTTTGTATCAAAATATTTTTCCTAAAATTTCCTTTTACTCTTGTTGTTAATGAACGTTATCGGCTACAGCTAAATGTCAGACCCCCGAGTGCTGAATGTTGAATCGTCTTTTATTAGCACTGACATAGCAACAAATACGATTTGATCCTTATCCTGTATCAAAATTTATTTCCAACTTTTAAATCCGGTTAATCCATCCATGTTAAGTAGATGAATTAAACCTTCGGATTAAACTTGATGTTCTTGGAAACTTACAATGAATTAATCGAGATGCGAATCAAAAAGAATTAAGGACTCATTTGGCACTAAATGGATTGCCGATGATTATATCAAGAAGCTTTTGTTATGAAACATTGATTTCCGACATTGACATTGAAAAATATTCTTTAAAAGTTTGGTTGGTGGTTTGATTGATTTGTTTTTAGGGTATGCATAACTTCGCCATCGTTCCTCGATAATTTACAGAGGCTATAGAGGTGCCTATCAAACAATGGCGTTTACAACAAAGACACAATTAGTATTGGAGGAAACAACAAAAGTGGCATACTTTCTACAACGGTCAATTTGTTATTTACTCTAATTTCAGAGAAGAATGTATCATTTTGTATGAAGGATTATCAGTCGAAAAACATCAGTTAAAATTATAACATTCCAAGGATTATTAAAGACAGAAACTAGTGTGTTTTCTGTCTATGGATTGGATGTAACATTACTTGGTCTATTGGCTCTGGCGTTGATTAGAGAGCGGAACTGCATCAATATAATATACTAGTAATTGCGTCCTGACTTTGGAATAGCAGGAAACTCTCATCGACCCCCCCCCCCCTTTCGTGATGTGGTGATATCACTAAATAGCATAACAAGTATTCTAGAGAACGAAAGAGTGGATGAATATAGAAATCACGATGCCTCAAGTACACAACCGACAATTAATGATGGAGATGGATTCCAGTTCGTTCGGGAAAACCTCTCGCTATATGGCCGTTACCAGTTTTACAGAGGACAGTCGTAAACGCGTCGAAATACTCAATTTCCACGAAAAACTCAAACAAAAAACAACACTTTCAAGGATGGTAAACCGAAATAATCTCGAGCGTATAAAATACAATCGAGCCACAGGAGTCCTAAAGGAGCGCTTGAAACATATACAAGCCTACAAGAAGGTGACACAGAACAATAGTATCCTAAGATCTAAAGACTACAAACAATCACTGAACAAGAAGTACAGCTTTCAAGCACTGAAACCTGAAATAAACTCTACCCTTATCGAAATGCAACCGGCTGTTCGTAGAGAATTAATGGCCAAGAAGAAGATTGAACGCAATAGGAGTGAGTGTTTGAAATTGATAGAGAAGAACCTTGATGCGTTCGATACTCCGGAACAACGCGCTAGAGAGGAGCGAAAACGACAAATGTTGACAATTAAGGATGAAGATGATGAAGATTCTGAAATATTAGGTCTTAGTCGACATCCAACTAATCTAAGTGTAAGAAAACCATATTTCAAAAGGGAACGATCAAAAGTACAAACAATGAAACGTAAAGGTAGTTTACGGCCCCTCAAACCACTTCCAGGACTCGAGTCCAAAGGCCAACATCCTATATTGCCAGATGTGCGAAAAACACATCATAATCTGCCTGCCAAGGACCATCCTTTAGATACCTTACCTCAAAAAGTCACGCTTCCCCCGCTTGATCTTAAAAAGACTTTACCAAACCCCTAATGAGTCAACATTCACAGGACAACATAAATACTTTTCCTTTGAGTTGTACTTCTCGGCCGAATTTGATACACGACCAAAGCAATTCTGATGCCATTTAAAACAATCCAGATCTCAATCATTGATCCAAATTGACCTGAACGTAATTCACTTTGTATGACAGCAATCTGGTGCTCAAACTGATCTTCGTAGAGAATGCGCATACTCAACTGTATCCATTTCGCTGTTTAGTTTCATGGTGTTCAACCTCATAAAATTAATATAAAAATACAAAATTACAGGATTGCATTTTGTGCCAGATTATCTAAAACTTGGTATGCAAATACCTATAGATAGATATGTATTTTATTTTATACCGACCACATGTTTGATACAGAGGAAATGAATAAGTCCAATGTCAGCAAATGCATACATGTATTGACAATCTGACATATCTTCGTTTATCATCCAATGTCATATATCAAAAATAGGGACATACTCAGATACTGAGGCCCAGGAATACGTTAAAAATGTTTAAAAAGTCCCCTAGTGTACTGAGTTGGTAATGCGTGGTGTATACATGTTTATTCCATAGTTAGCATGATATTCATAGGATAACATGTGAAAATAAAAACGGTATTTTTGTAATCAGTGGTAAAATATGATATTTTTGAGAAATTTTCACTTAACCATAGCATACGGTTTTTTAGCCATGACATACGACGTCGTATGCGATGGTTTATGGATTTTTGCTACTTCAGACTCAAAACGAGGCTAAGTGTCAACATCGCCGGATCGTTTGGAAAATTCGAATTAAATGACTTAATTTCCGAAGATTCTGATGATGACTTTAACTATGGAATAAAAAGAACATCCTATGATTTACTCATGATATGATTTTAATCCACTCATGGTCCACTCCACTCCACTCGATATCATATCCATTCGTGGATAAAAATCATATCACTCATAAATCATAGGATATCCTCTATATATTATACGGACTCTTTTACGATAGAATACTTAAATGTATAAGAATAAAGACTGATTTTTTGTTAATGACTATATACCGGTGTGAAAGAAATGATGGTCCTCCAGGGATTATGGTCCCCTTTCTTAACGGCCCTTACTGGCCCTGATTGCGTATAAGATAATGAGGGAAAGAGTTGTATTTAGGTCAGTGTCACCATATAAATCAATGGAGAGTAGGACCATAATTTGATAGGAACTCCTACCCTTTTACACCTGGGCCTCAGCTCAGATATCATGATCAGAATAGATGGCACTATTGCATAACAGGTTGTCGCTTGTGAGGGCCATTTAACAGAAATGGTGTCCTCCAGTAGGTTTCTTTATCTAAGAGACAATGTGACAATACAGCATTCTATACAATGAACAATAAATAAGTATTAGAATAATGGTATATTATATTTTATTTCAATTATGTTATAGCTTACAGATACTACATGTCCGCAATACCATCTATATTTTGTAATCATCTTCAAGTACTTATATTCTTCATCATTGCGAAAGACAATCCGATAGAACTTAATTTAATTTCCATAATTCATAAAAAGTTCTGACTTTTGGGAATTAATAACAAAGCTGCAATGCGATATCCACTATACTAACATTTCATATTTCATTATAGTTCATGCAAAATATAGTTCACACATAAATGTCAGACGACAAACGTCACCTGAGTTATATTAAATTTTCAGTTAAATTACAGTTTAGATTTTAGGCTAGGGACTAAACGATATTAAAAGTTAGACTGTGAATATCTACTATCAGACTATCAAGCTACATGTTCATGTTTATTGAGTTTTCACATTCATAAGAGTTTATACATAACATATTGCACACAAAGCATATATATCATATGGCAATCAGCTATATTTAATTTTCACCTTTCATAATAGGCCAGATGACAAAAATTAATGCCAATGGAAATATCCACATTTCATTATAGTTTGGACTTTTCTCTTGAAAGCCCATGAAAGTGCCAATGAATTTACTGAGCTATATTCAATTTTCACATTTCATAATATTTTAATTGGCAGAACATATTGCACACAAAGCCTAGATTACACTGAGCTAGAGAATATATCAACATTTCATAATACATGTAGTTTGGACTTATGGGACTAGACGAAAAAAGTACCAATGAATGCACTGATTTCCCCAACATTAAAGTAAGTGGCCGCAACACCCACCTGAGATTTTAAAAACAGGCTTGCAACCACCTGAAAATCCATTTGCACCCACTTGAAAATAAGAATAATCATGAAAATTAGCCATATTTTGACTAAATTGGGTTTAAATTTTGAACCACTTGGGATATAATCCTGGGGAAATCACTGGAATGTATATTCAATTTTTATATTTCAAAATAGCTCAGACTTTAGGACTACATGACAAAAGTCCATCGTCATAACATGGAGATTGGTTCAGAGGAGTAGTGCTATCCATTTCTTTGCTATCTTGATTCATGGAGCTACCAATATCCTCAGATCTATCATTTAAGTCCACTAAAAGTTGCGTTTCATCAGTAACTTCAGCAGAGTGCTTAGGATCCTCATCTACTGTTGAATTACTTGTTTCATGTTGATTCACTGGAGCTTCACTGGCTTCATTTTCTTGGTCATCTTGGTCATCATTGGAGTATTCATCCAGGGTGTCCCCTTGTCCAAGCACGCTATACCCTCCCTTTCTCCCCCTGGTTACCTTACTGATAGCATTCCCTATAAGGGACTCTAGCATGGTGCTGCTATTCTTAGCTCCTGCTTCACCACCTTCATGTTTAAGCTCATCTTCATCATCATGGATCATCTCAGCTGATTCATTGTCTGAATGATATTCATCATTAGGGTTGTCATTCTCCTCACTGTTCACCTGTTTATCTTTATTGAATATTGCAATATCAGTTTTGTCACAATCCTGTGATTTTACCATTGCACTTCCCTTCATTGCACTCTCACCAGCCCTTTTGATTACATCCCCTTTATCATTGGCCTCTCCATTCTCATCACTTCCTCCTTCAATATCATCTGCTTTAGATTGGTCCATACTATTAGAATGGTACACATTTTCCTCAAAACTAGCATCATTATCTTCAATGTCTTGCATAAATTTATCTAAGTTCGCTTCGATTCTGGAATGTTTCAGGTGAAATTCTTCCTCAAACTTTTTGCTGATTTTATCAAAAAGCTGATCATTTGGTGTTTTGGCTACAGACTCAGGTAGATCAGGTTTGGAATTATTGGGTATCTGCTCAACTCCTACTTTGCCTACAAGTAAAATGTGTTTTTGCTGTTAGTAAATAGAGTTAAATTAATGTTGTTTGCTGTGAAGTATACATGGTATTCTAAATCTACTAGTTCATGGCACAAAAGTACAACAAAAACAATTTCTCATATTCTAAAACTAACAAGGCATTCACACACAAAATGTCACCACCTGACATTTGTTATAGATGTCTAGCGCAGAACGCCAACCACCATCCAACAAAAGGTTGTTGGAGACTATAACAATATGTAACCAATTCTGGTCGTGACATTAATTTGATATGAGATGGAAACCAGCATCAAAGATGAAAATCTTGTTTGTGATCTCACCTGAATCATCTTTTGTTGGCAATAGATCTAGATCTTCTAAACAAAGTCCTCCCATATGTTTGCTTCCTGTGTGAGTGTATTTGTCAAGGGGACTCGTTGGAACACTCTCGCAGCTTTCAAGGTCATCCAAATCCTGCAATTTCAATTTCAATCTATTCTTTAATAACATTATCATACAAAGTACACATAATAGGGTTGACAATAGTCTTGCATTTTTCATTGGTGGTGAAATTTCTAGACATCCGGTGGCTACAAGTGACATAAATATATCACATCCTTAATTTTCATAAATTCGTACAAAGTACCATAGATCATTTAATTAAAAGCGTTATTCAATGATTCATCATTGTGCTCTTGTAAGAAATTCTTTGGAAATTATATTTTGCGCAAATCACTAAACAATCTAAAGTGTTACAAATAATATCTCCTCATACAGTTCCCCATTCAATACTGTAGTGCTAAATTGATTTACTGTACGCCCGGTATTATTCGCGAGCTTTAATTTCGCGAATTTTGCGAAAACACGGTTTCGCGGCTATTAAATTTCGCGAATACTGTATTTTATCGTATTCGGGGATTCCCCAGTATATGAAATTCAGTTCCCAGTATATTCCCCAGTATATGATGTCCAATCAAAATGCAGGCTACGATCACGTGAACAATCGTGCGCACGTGCTCTTTCATTGCCGCGCATGCGCATAGCAAAGTCATGGAGTTGCACAGTACTATTGAAGTACTATAACTCGATCCAAACTAGTAGACAAAACGAAATGCATCAGAGCCCCGGGTAAAAACAAATTCCCGGGGATTTAATTGGCAATTTCGCGACGATAATTTTTCGCGATTTTAACACCCTCGCGAAAAGCGCGAAAGTTAATCGCACGCGAATAATACCGGGCGTACAGTAGTCCTTAAAACAAAACTAGGAAGGACCTAGTAGAGGGGATCATAAATCTTGGGATGAATTTTCATCAAAAATCAAAATTTCTGCATTTTAAATGTGATAGGCAAAAGTGTATGAGCTAAGAAAACCAAATACTCAGCATTCTAGAAAATCAGAAATAAGAGAAGTTTTGCGCAACAGGTTATATCTAAAAGGTATCCACAACCGCATCTCGTTTCAATTGAACTACAATGCATAAATGTGGTGAATACGTCATAGATTTTAGTTACGTTGGGATAAAGCAAAACCTCTCTATTATGCATTTAAAGTTTCATTTACCTTTTCAGATGCGGTGTGACTGGACACAGAAGCTTGTCTGGGGATCAGTGTCTTTACATCTGCACACTCTTGCTGAAGCTTGTCCAGATTGTTACTATGTCCCCCTGATATAACATACAAGACATTCAAGTACTGTACAGTGTAAACCACATGTATCATTCAGATGTCACGTTATATGTTTATAAGTGTTAAAAACATTTTCCTTATTCAGATTTCAGATATCTATTACTATTTTGAAAAACATACATGACATTCAATACAACACAACGCTCTCAAGAGCATGTACGTTGGTTTTAACTGGACAGAAGTGGAGCGGTGAGACAAATAGAAATGGATTATTTTCTCCATCAAATAAAAATAGTTAAGAATTCATTTCAAGTATATTTCCTCTATAGGAATATCTGCATGTAGGAGGAGCCACAGCCCAAAAGAATGGTGGATTGTGAAAAGCTTGGTAATACATGTATGTCAAGAACTGATATCTCTAATATTTCAATGCACAGATGTGCATGTTTACATTGTAACTATCACTGGTCCATCACCATATAGTATGTACTTAGTAGCATAACCAGGTGGGGACCAGTGACTATTATGAGCATTTTGGAATCAACATTTCTCTGGGGAATAACAAGGTACACAGTGATAGATATCACACTTGTAGACCTAAAAACCAAGAGTTTCCAATAATTAATTTATTCTATAATTACACACCAAGCAGATCCATATATAATTGCAGCATGAAAGCTTACCTTGTCCATTTGCGGGAACATTCCAGAGTCCTGATACTTCTAATGTCTTCAACTTCTTCTCAAGTTCATTCACACGATTGCCAAGTATCCTTGAAACCAAATAAAGAATTATATATAAACAAATATAGTTTTGTAACATATAAGTATACATGTATACATACATGTATAAGACTTCAGTACAGGTACATAATAACGCGGTTCATACAGTTAGTTTGAATTCTGTTAAAAGATTTAAAGAATACATGTAGTTTAGGCAGATTTGGACAGATAATTAAGATTTGGTTTGTACATACTGTAAAGATTCAAAAGATGGTTTCAAATCCTGGAAAACTTGTTTCAAAATTGCAATATTTGAATATGTACATACTTGTTTGTTTTCCTCTGATGCGAGAGAGCCATATTTTTATCATTGACTGTTTCAAGGAGAGCAGTGGCGAGGGCTTGCAAATCAGCGAGGGCTTGAGGACTAGTCATGTGACTCTTATCTTCTAAGAGCTGTTGGACTGCAAAAAAATATACATATACATTGGGACATGTTTATTATTGTGCAAATATTTATTTGTGTATGTAATGAAATAAACTATTGATTTTAGATACAATGCTTCCTAGAGTGAATACAACATTGTGTTAACTGCAAAAATCTGATCAATATGCACAATTTTCTTATATTGAATCGGATCTTACTTTTGAGGATGCCATGTACAATGTACATGTCGCTGATCAGAATGCAAACTTTACCAGTTGATATTGGCAGTATGTGCTTTGCCATGCAAGACATGCATATATGGAGATGTAGAGGATCATTCAAAATGTAGGTGCATTGATGCCTCTTTGCATATTCAAAATATACAACAAAATAATAAAAATGGTGAAATCACAAATATGATATCTGGATATTTAACACCTCTATTATCTGAACACCTCTCAATGTGAACACTTTCTCTTGGCACAAAGGACCTTTGGGACCATTGGGATCTCCCCATGGGAAAAAAATAATTCATCTGATTTTTCAAAATGAGTATTCTGCTTCAATTATTACATTTATATACACTAGTATCTTGTTGACCTATATTCAGCACTGTATTGATGTATAGGCCACTTATTAGGGTCATAATTCAATCATGAAGTGTAGAGGCATAGATTCCAAACCAGGAAGTATTTTTGTGTCTGTCAAAATCCATTTACATCCTACGCATCCCTGCATCTTATCCAAATATGTTACTACATAATGAAATATAATAGTATAATCTTTGGTTTTACAAACTTGTATGATATTTGATAAGTGTAAAAGTTGTTTTTGGAGCATTTTTCTATAGCCATTTTGTAGGGAAAAAAATGATGAAAAAATGTACAATCTTTTAATTTTAAGTATGACCTGAATCGATTGCAAACTTCATATTTGCACATTTGATGAGATAAACCATTTGTGTCGTATTGTGAAATTATTAAGTTTGCAATCGATTCAGGTCATAGTGTATTTTTGGTATTTCTGTGATAATCAATGGAAACCAATGGCCTCTATTGGGATCTGCTGATATCCCCATGTTAAGTCAATGGTGCACAAATCCATGTAAGTCAATACAACCTTACTGAACGAAATGATCCCTATCTCAGCTTATGTGTGTCCGAGAACTTTAATATTTTCCAAAGTATTATATGACATTTCATTCTTCATGTTACACCTACGAATGATTCATTTTGACCATAGGGATATTTGCCAATAATTGCACCTTGTCCTTTATTTTCTCTCGTTGATTTACATGTTAATAAAACCTTGAAATGTGAACACCTGCTACCTAGTAATCCGAACACTTTGGATTAGACATGTTTTACTGTACCTTGTTTCTGGGTGATAACAACTCCCCCACTGCGACTTTGTGTTTGCCCTAACTTTAGTATTCCCTTATTCTTTTTCCTTTCCAAAATACTCTGAAATATACAACAAATTGAATATGAGATTAAGTAAATTGTTCTCTACATCAGGTATCTGGAAACTAATAATACAAGCTCTAAATAATATACACTTGAGATTTCCCATTTGGTTGTGGTATGTGAACAGACCTCTGACATTTCATGGCTAGATCAGTGAGAAGAAAGTATTTTTGTAAATAGACTACTAAAAGTTCTGTTCCATGCTATAGAGAAAAGTGTGAAATAAAACTGCAGCATGAATATATAGCATAGCATAACAGAGCTAGGGTATACAGAAAAATGTTACTGATGATGATCTTAAATTGCCTTATTTTCTGTTTGTCTATAAATCCACCCTTACTTTGTACTTTGATGCAGTTGCCATAGCAATAGTTTTTTCTTCCTCCATTTGTTTCAAACGTTCATGCAAGTACCTAAAATTAGATATTATAACAATGTAGAAGAAACCATGAAAACAGACTGCATCCATGACAAACATAATAGATAAACTAAATAAAATGGATGTGGGACATACAATCTGTTTCAGTGGTGAACACCATCATCTGATATAACATACAACACAATGATCTCCAATGGATTATTACCAACAGGATGCTTACTCCTACTTTTCTTTATTTTGAGCAAATTATTCTTTAGAAAGGGGGCTTCTTTGTTCAAAAGGGTAGAATATAATTTCAGAATTCAATTTTTAACATATTGCCCCAATGCTGGTGAGCCAGCAGTAACATCTGATAAGCCTAGAAAATTGAGATCTTTTCAGTGTTATGATTAATAGTGCCAAGTCTTACTTGTTATCCATACTAAGTGCATCAATGTCTACAATGCGTTTCTCATCTCCTTTCAGTATATAGTTGAGCTCTTGGTTGAGCCTGTTGTACTTTGTCTTGTAGGCATCCCTCTCAGTTTCTAGATCCTCTTTCTCATCTAGAATCCTCTGTATATCTTTCTCTACTTGAGCATACTAAAATAAATACATGATACAAAACTAAGCTCTAATTTTCTAAAGTTGAGTTTTGATAATGTTTTGTAAAATGGCCAAAGGATTGTGACCATTTGGAATAGACCAACAAAACTTGGAAGGATAAAATTAAGGAATAAATAATGATAGGCCATTCAATATGGTGAAATTCAGCACGAGTTGGACAGAATGTTGTACAAAGCACGAACCGAAGGTGAGTGCATTTGTACTAACATTCTGTCCAACGAGTGCTGAATTTCACCATATTGAATGACCTATCATTATTTATTCCGATTCAAACATAAAAATTAGTAAAAGCCGTGTCTGTGGAATGGGCATGAAGGAAGAATACGCATGCTGTCAAGATTCTGAAGTCGGCCGGAAAAATTTTAGAATTTGTTTGGGCTGTTCTATTTTACTCCCCGTTTCAGATTTTATACGGTGTATGCAAACATGGGGTGTTGATAAAATAAAAATAAATAAAGAGGGAGGAGGGAGTAAAAAAGAACAGCTATCCCCAGACAGAGCCCCAGATGTGCAGCTGAGATGTGACGTCACTCAAAACAATGCAAATTGCAGATTGAATAGAGCATGGTCGTGCATCTATGGAGAATTAGAGAACGTTCTATATTGGCTATGCTGCATTCTAATTGGTTGAGAAATTCGAATAGAGCACGGTCATGTTTGAATTAACATTAAAGAACGCTTAATTGTGCAAAATATGACCTTAAATCCATGCTGAATGCTTAAATCCATGCTGAGTTATTAACAATTGTTTGGGTAACCTTTTTTTGCTCACCCTGTAGTAATGTAACTATGTACTTGTACATGTACCTGTTCACTTGCAGCCTCCAGCTGTTTGACAAGGTCTTCTCTCTCATGTGCTGGGAAATGACGAGTGTTCATACCTTCATCAGTTGTCCCAACACGCTGCCTAGCAATCTGTTCACGTAGTAACTAAAAACAACAAAATATATTAACATAACCCCTTCAACAAATGTGAATGATTAACAGTAAAAAAGGTCTTACTGCACATTAAAAATATATCATACATTTGTATTTTGAAGAGCTCCCTGACAGAAAGAGGGTTGATTAAAAAATAATACATCTCACCATGGGGTCAATATAACCTAGTTCCAACATTTTGACCCTTTAAACCCACGAAAGACCCAATTTTAAAGGGACGTATTCAGTAAACCTGCACAAAAGACAATGCTACTTGAACTAGCCATCAGAAGTTCATGAAAAACGAAAAATCAATGATGTTCAGTTTAGTAAAGTAGCAAATAGTCCTACTTATGAGAGAATATAAATCACTTAAGCAATTTGTACAACTTTAAACAGCTGTTTTAAGTAGATTAGTATCGTTATGGGCAAAAATCCCCCAAAATAGCCCAAAATTTGTCCAAAAATTCAAAAATTTCATGCTCAAGGCTGAATTATTTTGACTATTTTGCTACATTTATCAGTGCAGTGACAAGAAGTCTTGTGGATAGCGCAACTTTTCCTGAACGTTTCTCTAATAAGATATTTTAATGACAAAATAACTACATTTAGTCTGGAATAAATTGTCACAAAATATAATGACCCCAGGGGTCAAGAGAACCCTATAGAATCAAAAGTGCTGAGGGGATTTGAGCAAAAATGTACATATCACTTCATAAAACCCCGAACTTTAAAATTCATATTGAATAAAATGCATATTCAGTCAACCATGACACTAATAGGGTCAATATAACCTACTTGAGATTTGTTTTGCTCATCGTATAGGAAAAGTAGTACTTAATACACTAGTTCGCTACTTTGTAGATGTATGGCACGTATATGTGTACATGTATTGGCAATTAATGTTTGGTGATAGCTAGTAGGAGTGTCAGGGACCGCTGACAGATTATTATTTTGAACCAAAAAATTGAATTAAATTTTTGGCGGTCTCAGTAAATCAATGGGGTAATCAGGTCCTACGTGCTTTTTACAGGCCCAGAAATCAATGCTCGCTTATAAATGTAGCAAAATCTTTTTTCGTTCGTGGGATATTTTTTTCACCATATAACCGAACGGGAAGTTTTTGAATAGGACTACATGATCTGAATGGATGTGAGGATTCGATGGGCTGGGATTTGAGAAATTATGATTTGAACTTTGCCAATTTTACATGTATTCCAATGGGTGAAAAAGTAAGTTGCTTTCTACCATGGGCTCTTAAGAGATTTAAAAAAAACATTAAACTAATTCACTTTTGTTTGTACATATTAGAAAAATAAGTTGTAATTTCAAATATCCAAATACAATAACAATGTCCACAAAAAATCTTCAAAACAATATGAGTAGCCTATCCGTCACCTTGATATCTCCCTGAGCATCATGCAGCTTCTGTTTATAGTCATCGGCCTGAAACTGTAGCTCTTTGTTTGTTTCCTTAGCATCACAAAGCAGTTCAACGAGGTTCTGACTCTTCATGCCTCCATAGCTAGCAGTTGTGTATGGATCTGATCTTGGAGACTTAACAAAATAATGTATAAAATCAATATCAACAAGCATGTATGCTTACAAATACACGCAACAATGAACAATTCTTATGAGACACCTGCATAATAAACAAAAATTAGACAATTACACATGAACATATTGCAAAATACAAATGTATACAGGCACATCACTTCTTTAGAAATCAAGTCAAAAACAAATGCACTGTATCGTTAAAAATGTTTCATTACCAGTCCTGCAATTTGTCGCTTGAGACCCTGATAGCGCTCCTGTATCTGCTCCGCCATCAATTTGAACTGGTCTCTCTCGCTGCGACATTGTGCCACTTCCTTGCTGAGGATTAGTAATGCCTCACATTTACTGTCAAGTTTTTGACGACATGCTTGATACTGAAACATAATGCATTCAAAATATGAGATTGGCTAGGTTTAGCAAGTTAACAATGGTAGATGTAAGCCTAACACTGTATATCTACATGTATATTGCTGCAGCTGATACAAATTTGCTTTGAATAGCTTTGAACTAATGTGGCAGCAGGTGGCAAAACTGCAAAATATTTCTTGAAAAAACCTATGAACTAGAAAGATCTATACGTCCTAGTCTAATCTGTATTGAGTAATGTATGAAAATCAGCAACTCGAATAAAAACGTTTGTGGATCTCACCTCAGTTGTAACACTTTCTAATTCTGCAGTTAAGTGCTCTATTAAACTCATTTTCCATCTGAACAACTTGACATAATTTTTTAATTTTTATTTCATGCAAAGCTAGCAGCAATCAATAATAATCAATCCGATAATAGCACTTCCTGAAAGTAGATATTGCACCACATAAAATGGTTAACAAAAACATCAACTTAATTAGTTCAATCAAATTTAATAGTTTCTTAAGCACTCCAATTTATGCCAAATAAAACAAATCATTGAAACTGCTATGGATGATTAGTTTCGTACTCTACGTGGCATTAATACGCATGCGCCTCAAAACCGGAACAAGGACGTGGAATTTATTTTATAAAAATGACTACAATACTCTCATATTTCTGCTGTATTCTGCTTATTCCTGTAATTTCTGGACTTTATTTCCACATCGGAGAAACTGAGAAGAAATGCTTTATCGAAGAAATTCCAGATGAGACCATGGTTGTCGGTAAGAAACACAATATCATCTCCCATATTTTTCAGATTTTTTGATTTTTCTCCGATGCCATTGACTGGAGATACAGATTGAGAATGATTGAGAAACTTTAGCTCTAAGCTTAATGACTTTTCAAAATTAATTAGCCTGTATTAAAAGTAAGTGGATGTGGGATAAGTTTTTGGAACCATGGTGACTTACAATTTGATTGCATCGTTCTTCTAAAAGTAGATAATGGATTTCTGTATCGTAAGTTACGATCTATGTCTATGTCAATAATCTGCAAAAGGCTAATAAGCCCATATAAAGCAGATATCGTACCCAAAAAACCTGGGTCGATTTTTATGACTCACCCTTATTATTTTCTTGTGTTGAATTTGTTTCTGTTCATGCATTGAAGAGTATTTTATAGGTATTTGCTAACATACATTTTATTTGTTTATTTTTATCCCATTTGTAGCTCGAAGATCAAAACTAATCATTCATGATATTATTAAATAAACTTGTAGAATATGTAAATTTGTTATCTTGGTATCTGTATTTTATTATGTGAATTATTTAATAAATGAGGTACATGGAACTTATATTATACACATAACGGTTCATTCTCTGTATTGTGTTTATACTGAATGAGTATATGATATATCCATGATGAATGAGTACAATGAATGAATGAATTAACAAACGTTTATAAACAGAATATGCAGAATTAACCCATTATCCCACTCTCACCTGCTATTGAATTTTGGAGGGAACAAAGATTTCAGGAAAATGTGAAAATATTGGGAAACATGAAATTTGACCAAAGTGGAAAAAATGAAATATTTGGAATGTTGTCTATGATATTATTTGATTATATACTTATATAATTTTCATACAGGCATATTATACATTATTAGCACATAGAGTTAGATTGGGTGTCCTGTAGACTATCAGTGGTCTTAGACGAATGCTAAAACTAAATACAATGCTTAAAAATAAACCTTTTTCAGGAAATTATAAAGTGGAAATGTATGACAAATCAAGAAATGAATATGTGCCTACCGTATCAGGACTTGGCATGCATGTTGAAGTAAAAGATTCAGATATGAAGATTATAATGTCACGGGTAAGAGTTGTAGGATTAGCTACATATAGCACTTTCCAGTGAAGCTGTACCATCACCATCTGGCAGACTACATGTATCACAGTCACATCCTGCTTCACTACCTCACCGCTATATAACATGCTTCAAAATGGCTTCACAATTGTTTCAAATTATTTTCAAAGAAGACTTGACTGAAAGTTAAGTATTTTTCTAAATTGACATTGTTGTATAAGAGAATATGCATATTGCACTGTGATAGCTGAAATAGCCTCAGATTCAAAATTTGTCTCTTACTAAATTTTGAAGCCATGCTTCTTATGCTTAGCTATACTACCAACTAACCATTTGATGGCTTTTGTTGTGTCTGTTAATTCTGCTATTTTTATAGTGTCGTTGGAAGACCACATCATATGGCAATCAGATTTTGTCTTTATGATGTTTTTGACTGCAGGTGTCTTCTATTATCTAGTATTTGCTTGTTTGATTGATTGTTTATTGGCATGAGCTTGGAAATATATCTGAAATGGTATTAAGATGGAACCATCAACATATTGTTTATGAGGCCATGTGCTGTTGACATTCAGGGGCTTACAAGTTAGAGATCAAGGACGAGGACACAGATAGGTTTGAACAAGTGGAAGATTTGGCTATGCATGTGACTGTTGAAGATCCTGATGAAGAAGTTGTTTTGTCAAGGGTAAGAGATGGCAAACGCTGGAGTTTGCTCGTGTTCATTAGCATTTGATTTTGTCAACTTAAGGGTACCTGGTTCTTTGATTGTTTCAAATTAGTTCTTTGTGTCAATTCTGAGACGTTTCTACACATGGCACCCTTAGATTTTGATTCTTGTATATGTTTTCATTTCTTTGTTGTTGTGTAAACCATGTATTTGTATACTAGTAGGCATTGCTTGATTGTCATCTGTTTGTTGATGTTTCAACATTAGTAGAATACAGTACTCCTCATCTTATATAGCATAAGACAGTATCAATGGACTGAACTGGAAAATATTTACGAGAATAATAAGATTACATTGGAATAGCTTGACAATGGTAAAGTTAGATACTAGGGATGGGACGGAACAAAAAAACTTTGGAATGGAACGGGACAATATTTTGGCCTTCGGAACTTCAGAATGGGACAAAATTGAATTCCAAAAAAAGACTGATAACGCTACTGTGCATTATTTAATGTGAATATGGTAATCTTTCTATCTACCTGATCATATGAAACTGAAAGTGGATTTGTTTTCATACCTAGTATATCATCTGAACCCCCTTTAAATATTCGATCAGCTGGATCTCCATGTGCCCGGTATCAGCCTTTATAGGAATCGTTCAGATCTAGTGAATTTAACCTCTCCTCTTGAGGGAGTAATTCAAGATACTTAGCGACAACTCTCGATAGATCAGGTCACTGTGGCCGGCATTGATAAACCTACTGCGCAATGTGTCTGCGCAGGGAGCATCTCAAGGAATGTCAGCTACGCTGAAACTTTTTATATAACTAGCGAAGGTAACTTAGGATCATAAATCTAGCGGTTTGGCAATTGGGGCAGGGTTTTACATGTTAATTTGAGATACATATACGATCGCTTACACTATTGGAAGGGAGTATGAACTTACGTCTTGTTCGGTCTAGGTTTGTTTTGTTGCATTTTTGATTCGCCCCCTAACCCATGTGCTTCCCGATAAACATTACCAAGGGATCGGTCAATTTGTTTAGGTTTATCATTGCAATTACTTAGTCTATCACAGAAATACCCTAAGGAGAAAATGATCGGTCAGCATTATCCAAGATGGCGATGTAAAATTCGATAAAATTAAGTTTTTAACCTCAATAAAGTGACAAGTGGTCATGAAGATCACTAAAAAGTACTAACCACTGCTTCTGGAAGAAAACAGGTAATGATTCAGAAACACTTGGGAGTGAATAGCCGCTAAAACTACGCTGGTTTTGAGCCCCTTGTCCCGTTCCGAAAGTGCTGCCTTGTGTTCCGAGTTCCGATACCGAACCCAAATACTGCGGAACTGGACAGTTTTGGGTAACCGTCCCATCCCTATTAGATACCGTTGTCACAAAAAATGGTATCTGACTTTACCGTTGTCAGACTATTCCGGTGTGAAGATGGACATGCACAAAGGTTAGCTTGTGAAAACAATGCATTAATGATAAACAATAAACTGAAATGAATACTAATGTTTCTAAATTGTTAATGCCTTGTTCTATGAGCTTCTTACACCTTTCACATTGCATCCACGGCCACGTGCGATGGAGGCAGTGTATTTTGCACATCATTTTTTTGCTTTGCTTTGCTATTTTCATTTAAATCACAGATTTTTCATTTATTTCAGCTTGTGCTTTTAAATGTGGTGTAGGATATGTACCATATACATGTTGTACTTGTTACTCTGTAGCTGTACTATACTTAGTTATATTGTAACACCTATCCTGTTTCTTCAAGGTAACTATAGAGTATTAGACTATGATCAGGATGCCAACGACTTTTTGGCAAGGTCTGACGCTGGTGTCCTTATTGAAGTCACAGATCCTACTCAAAACATAGTTCTAGCAAGGGTATTAAGTTTATTTATATTTGGTAATATCGGATGGTGTTGGGAGATTGCAATGATGTTGGTTACGGATCAGTTCTGTTGTGTGTCTTCAGAGTTTGTCTTAAATGCAGTTTTTAGTGTTTGGTGTTAATTAGAGTTTGATACTAATAATTCTTAATTTACTTAAAGCAGCTCTGCAGCAAACAAAGTCTACATTATTCTAGGTCACACTCTTGATAAAATAAACCCCTCCTCTTTTCTTTCTTAAATGAAATCAAACATCGTGCATTTGACTTGATCATCACTTATATCTTTCCCAACCTCTTCTGTTTATTTTATCATATGGTTTCAATAAGTTTAATGTTACACAGTTGCAATCAAAAACATTTGAATATTTTTTCCTTCCTTTCACAAAACATTTGGCAAAATTTAACCAGGGTGAATTTCCAATAGGTGTCTCTCCTGGTAGCTTTTCATTTCTGAAAAGTGAACCCATTATAGGTCATAAAATTATGGCATTTCAACCTGCTTTGCTGAAGTAGCTTAAAGGACTTGGTTGACTGTGTGGCATTAATACTCTTAAATCTTGAATAGAGTACATGTATATGAGAATATGCAATTATGATTAAGCTATCAAAGTTATTACTATACCAATTATTTTGCAAAAGTTGTAAGTATCAAAATAGAATTGTACATTATATTTATAGTACATATCATTTTAGATAAAATATACAATCTTTTTATTGAAATGTAGTTGATCACTAGAATTAATAAAATCTTTGTATCAATATATCTAATATTTTATTGCATCATAAATACTTTCAATCTGTTTGTATAATTATAGTATAAAATAAAATATCAAGTACTGTACAGCTATACCTGTACACCTGTTGTCATATGGGTAATTACAGTGGTTTCATGAACTGTATGCAACAGGCGATTTTCTGCCATTTTATTCCCAAAACCACTACTGTTTTGAGAAATTTTGTAATTGTTTCAATGTTAGAATTATAATTTCAAATGATTTTGTGTTGTTTTCATTCATTTTGCCTGTTGTCAGCAGTTCAAATAAACCCCTTTATTGCCCTTTTCACCTCTGAAGGGCTGTTATAACTTGTTCACCACTTATTGTAGACATATGCAGCAGAAGGAAGATTTACATTTACATCTCACACAGCAGGAGAACACATCATCTGTCTCCATAGCAACTCATCAGCTTGGTTCGGTGGTGGACAACTGGTGGGTAACAACTTTATTTTAAGTTTATATCGTTCCCAGAATTATAAAAATACTTGATGTGCTCCTATAATAACTCATCAGAATGTAATGCAATATACACCGAATATTGAATATGAAAAAAAGTAACTGATTTATATTTTTAATCTTGTTGATCATTTAATTTCAGAAAATCACCCATATTTGCATCCACCTTTAGGTACCCAAAATATGTCATTTTCTCCAATGATTCACAAGTATTAATATTAGTGCACACATACATCTTGTCATCAAAATTCAAGGAAAAAATACATGTTTATCTTAAAAGATGCAAGAGCAGACTACTGCGAATATCTGATAAGGTTTTGTTGTGCATGCGCTGGGTAAATTACTTTGTGGTAAAAAACTGTGATTCAGTCTGTCTTGTTTATCTTTTTCCCTTAGTGGTTTCATTTGGAACATATGTTTAATGGTGGTATTTCATAAATTTACATTTGTTGATGAGGTTAGATTCTTTACAGCGAGTCCACTTAGACATCCAAGTAGGAGAGCATGCCAATGACTACAAAGAGATTGCACAGAAGGACAAACTGACAGAGCTCCAACTGAGAGTAAGACAACTGCTAGACCAAGTGGAGCAGATCACTAAAGAACAGAACTACCAGAGGGTCAGTAATCTCTATAGTAACCAGTCCTCGTGTGATAATTCATAACTCGTGTTGTTGTTTTATATAGCGGGTGCATTATGACGTAGAGATCAGAGATCCTTTGTATGAACCTATACCAACCGAAGACAGGCGTGATTTCCTAAGTGACCGAATCAGGAATGTGCAATTACGTTTAGAAATCGTCAAAAGTGAATTAACTCAAAGTCGGGTGAGATTTTGAAAACGCAAAGAGAGAGGTTGATCCGCTGGTGCTTGAAATATACATGGTTTACTTTTCATGTGGTAGATATTTGATATTATTCTCTGTTCAAAGCATTAATCTGAATTGGTTTATGCAGTTTTAATTTCAGAATTACAATGTACTAACAATTTGAAATTACTATACTAGATGACCCATTTTCTCAATTAGAACCTTGGTTCTGATATAAAAGTTGGGCGTATGTTTTCACGTTTCTCCTCATATAAAAGGCTTATCTTGAAAGTACTTTCAATATAGGCCCACTTTGGGCTTGAAAATCTGGACCACTTTGGGCTTGAAAGTTTGGACCACTTTGGGCTTGAAAATTTGGACCACTTTGGACTTGTAAATTTGGACCACTTTGGACTTGTAAATTTGGCCCACTTTGTATTCGGATATTGTAATAAAATCTGAAAAGCTATTACAAACTGAATATTCAGTATTATTATGATTGAAAATTTGCCAGAAGATCGTAAATTAGGTCAAACAAAGGAGTCTCTATGTTTGAGACTTCGTCCTATTTAGACCACACTTGTTGTATGAAAATTTGATAATTTCCACAATCCACCCTTGGGCATTATTTTGAATGTACTTTCAATTGGTGGTCCATGATCCATAAAATGAGTAGGCCTACTTGAATATAGTATAGAACATTGAGCTATACATTGTATTATTTTACTGGGGTGGCCAGTCTTGAGTAGGGCTTCATTTGGTTTATTAACAAAGATTTGGTCACTTAGGAAGGTTTGTTTATGAGCTGGTTTAGATTTTAATTAGCTGTAGAAGAAGTTTTAATGAGAAATCCCTATATTTTTATTTGGATGATCTGCAAAAGGGTAATAAGTCCATTCAAAGCAGATATATACATTTAGTTTGATTATAACTTGATATTTAATTTAATATTAAAATTAATTCAATTATATGCAATTGTTAAATTAAAAATACATACAATGTAATATTGGAATCCTGCCTTTACATATGATTTATTTAAACTTGTAATGAATTTTCTCTTTCAGTACCGTGAAGAACGATTTAGGCAAACTAGTGAATCGACCAATCAGAGAGTCTTATGGTGGTCCATTGGCCAGACATCAATTCTCCTCGTCACTGGATTCTGGCAGATGCGACATCTAAAATCTTTCTTTGAGGCCAAGAAATTAGTATAAATGAAAGTATTACTCTAGGAAATTTAAAAAATGGAAGAAGTAAACAAATTATAACAAGTATTTACATTTGTCTCGCCAAATTTTGGATCTCTGCTACACTGACAAAACTTCAAAATATTTGGACCTATTTTTCATATACTGTATTTGGACAATACTTTATGTTACTATATCGTGGCCATTGGCCATCTATTTGAAATTATATGAAAAACTGTAAAGAGTAATCTAAACTTAATGTACTATGGTTTATATATCTTGAGTTGCATCCATTAAAAATGGGTGATATACTTGTACAGAAACATTGTTCATATGTTCATATATTGTTCATAACATACTATAAAAGAGGACATACATTTTCAAAAGAATGTAAATATTCATACTTGCACATTATTTAGGGCATACCTTAAAAATGTTATCAAGTTTTATCTTGATGTTTATTTTAGCTTTTAAATCATCTACATGTTGAGTATCTCAGTTTTTTTCATTTCTTATGAATGGGTGCAAGGGGTATAAAATAATTATTATGTATATAGTTGTACAGTGTGTCACAAATTATCAAATACCCTATCATATTTATCATTAATAGTACATTTCCTGAGAAGGGTTTCAAAAATATTACCATTTCGCTGTAATTCATGTTTCGATATTTGATTTTGAAAAGAAAAAATGAATTCCATCAATACATGTACATGTGCATGTCAAATAATAATAATTCACCATTTCATGTTTATGAATTTCAGATCATAATTGCTAAATTATTTTATCTATACAGAATCACCAGTCATTATCGGGATTCTACATGTACATACAGGATGTTTCAAAAACTACAATTCTGTATTTATGTGTCCATATCTGCTCAATGTATGTAGATGTATAAAATCATGGGACATCTTTAATCAGATATTTAGGGAATTCTTAAAAAGTTTGATATCTCTCATCCCTCGATGTCGAGAAATGAAATGCTTAGAAATAATTCGAAAAGCTTTAGCGATGATATCACATTTCGAATTTGAAGTGTTTTAAACCTTTCTTTAGAAGGCTTCCCATATCTGTTAAATGTAAATTTTTCATTCGCAAAATTGTACAGTCCATGTGTACTGAATTCAGTTGAAGTAAGTCTAAGATTGTATTTGTCATGAGTTTGTGTAGATCTTTGCTTTATTTAGATATTGCTAAGGATCGTGAACATGTTTTCTATCATCATTTAGAATAAAGTAATAAATATAAATGTATTTTAGTGTTTGTCAGTTAATATTGTTCTTTGTAGGCTTTTGAAATACAATTTACTACATGTTAGAATTAGAATAAGAGTTTAAAATGACCCCATCTAAGGACCTTCGATCTTGACACTGCACTGCTTTCAAAATGCCAGACTTATTCCTGAAATGATGACCCTCCTTTCCTCATTTTACTGTTTCAAAAGTTCCTTCTGCACTATATAAGTAGCTTTTGAAAGGTGGGGGGCATTGAAATGTTATAAAGTTGAAAACTTCATATCCCATGCAGTCCATTGCTTTCAGCCTAATTTTGCCTAATCACCCAATTTAGGCTTTCTACTTTTGAGAAATTATAGATGTCTTCTTGTATAATCTATTTATACAATAAAAATGTGAAAAACAAGATCATCTTTTGAGAAAATAAGTCCGATATTTTGAAAAATATGTTGAGGTAGGGACAATTATTATTAGATAACATTTGCCATCTCACCCTGCTCCTCGCAAAAAAACTTGTCGATCAGAATTTTGCAAAATTGAAGTTATCAAGAAAAAAATTTCAATGTTTTATTTCTTCATGGGGGGGGGGGGGGGGGTGTCGTGTCAGAGGTAGTTTCTGTTACCATTTAAAAGACTGAGTAACTATCACTAAATTTTCGACCTTAATATATATTATCTACAATTATCATTTTACTCGCACCAAAATATTAAAATGATATTATCGTGTATTGAAGAACTAATTGTTTCATTGTTTTTAAATTGTGAGTATTTTATTTTCAATATCACACAATTAAGTATTATACTTATAAAAACATTAATCTTTTTAAATCAAAATACATGTACAATGTATATAATCATAAAGTAAAATATATGAACATGGTTTTGATTTTTATCTTGAAATGGTTGTTACTACCAGTCAATATGTACATATCTACATACCAATGTACTTTTATATCTTTGGAACAAGATACATACAACTTGTAAAATATTAGAAAAAGACGAATATCACATTACATGTAATCACAAAAAAACATTTATAAAATACAATTTATGAATACATGTACAATTTCAAGACTTGACTCACATTAATATTTATAAAGGTATAAAATATATGTCAAGAAAAGTCGCAAAACTTGAGCTACATATAATTATAGTGTAAAGAGCAGTCATGTTAAAGAACTGTAGAATATGGAGGGATTCAATGTAAAGATAACAGACTGCAACATCATATTATAAACAATAGAGAGATTTGACAACTCACTTATAGCATGTTTATTATTCCCCTCTAACTAATGAAGCGTTTGATTACGTCATCATTTACTGCGCAGCTCAACACGTCCATAGGTGTGATATTCTTATAAATTGTCATCCATACTTAAGAATATCACAGTTATGGCTGTGCAATAAATGATGATGTAATCAAATGCTTCATAACTTGTACGTTATACATGAATGATAAACATCCTATAAGTGAGTTGCGAAATCTCTCTAATGAGACCCTGATTATTATTGGAATGTGACATGCAAAACAGTTAAAAATAAGTACCTGTTTTACACATTCAATATAAATATACACACTAAATGGGTTCATTATAGTCATGTACTAAATAAACTTTTTTGTATAATTCACAAAATGACTGAATATGTTGCATTGACAGTTAACAGTGTCACAATTATTCAATTATTTCTGACTTTCATATCACATTATTTCTGACTATAATACCACATTATCTTTTCTGACTTAAATACCACATTAACAAAATATAATCGTGGGTAACTGACAAACAGTGGGCCAGAATATTCCAAAATAACTTTTTCCATCCATGATAGACTCATTGGGAAAGATGTGTTATAGTTAATGCATGAACAGTTCCCATATTTTCACATTGATGCGATTTGTTGTTTTCATTTAGAATACGTGTGACCAACTTTTTGGGGTACCCTGTGGTTTAAGTTATAAGTGGTAAGTTATAAGATATCACAGATTGTCAACATACATGCCCTACAAGGCATGTTTAGGTCTAATGACCTTATTTACAATACAATTGGTCTATAAAATGTGCATTTATAAAAACATCATTATCGACATTCAGGATAACATAAAACTCTGAGTATTATATTCTAAATATACTATGCACATCCATCTCAGAGGAAAATTGTTAAAAACCTTTCTCACAATATTTATGTTAAGAGACAACATGCCCAATTCTTACTATCCTTTACTAAATCACAGTTCAAAAGTATTTTGCACAATGGTTGTATCTCAGATACAGGTGGTGCCTAGTACTAGAACAGTTCAATATGGCATGCAGTTGGCAGCCATGCGGGTTTTATCTGTTAACTGTAACATTAATCCTTCCAGAACTGCATTGTTAGTAAGGAAATTAAATTTCATTACTATCACTATCAATTCATGTACATTTTTAGTTACTTATACTATATATCAACAATAATATGTTCCCAGCCATTTCATTGTATTTTGTAGATCATTATGTCTCTCTTTAAGATGGACCATGGGCTGTTATTATGCTATTTTTCCAGAGACAATGCACTATAATTAACAAGGTAGATTATTATGACTACATTTCCTCGAAACTCCTCAGAGTTCTGTTACCTTCTTCTTTTTCTTCTTGCCACTGATTGGTCGAAGTCTCCTTGGAGCGCCATTGTCATCGTCATAGTCCTCAGGGGTCTCACTACGACCAAGTGGATCTGGTCTTTCTGAAAGTTTCTTATAGCCTAGAGGAGGTAGTGAAGACCCCTTAGTAGCATCAAAGGCATCTTCATCATTATTGTACTGTTTAGATTTCAATGAAGCAAGTGCATGGCCTTTCTTCTTCTTTTTATGCTTATCCCTGAAAGTAAAAAAACAGCTTTGATTATGCATTTTTACCAGAGATTAATAATATTAAACTTAAATAAATTTGGTTTCTGAGCTTTAATGACCAGATAGTGTTCATAAATAATAAGTATTCATCTACTTAATGTTAAATTTATTGCATTTAATTAAAGATGTATTCAACACTTGACTAATTCTTTACTGAAGTGGAAATGTAATATACAGGGTGATTCAAAACATTTTGCGTTGAATTTTTTGTTTCACTCTGTACAGAAATATATTAATGTTAGTAATCACACAAAGTATCAATGCAATACGGTTATGTGTTAAAAAAGAAGAATTCTGAAAGAATAAACATTTATGCATTTTTAAAAGGATTAAAATTCCAGAAAAATCAGAATTTGAATGACACAAGACACCTTAATTACATGAAGTTATCTAGATTTTACATATGTTATCCAGATTTAACTGAGATTATCTTGATTTGGCGAGATATTTGCCTCACTGAGGCATTTGTCTCAACAGCCTCAGCAAAGCAACACCAATGTTATTCATCATTATGTCATATTTCTATTCACTTGGGTTTAACAGACATATAACAATAAAAACTCAGGGTTTAGTGACAATGTTAATTGCTGGAAAGTATAGTGCATGATAACACATCAGGTCAGGTGACATAGTGCATGAGAACACATCAGGTCAGGTGACATACTCTCTATCCCATAATGTCAACTGTTTCAGAGCTCGCCCTTTGCGAGACATTGGCCTCAGGTCATCCAGGTCCATCACATAATCATTCAAACTACTACAAGCCAATAAAATCAAAGAAATATAGTGAATCGTATAAGTGGCTCATGGAGGCTTCAAAGGAATACAAAATCAAATGTTTGTTTGATTCTGTAAGAAATTGTGACTCATAAAACTTCTGGGATCAAAGGAATGAGCTGAAATTCACTGTACAACTTTGTACTTTTAAACAGCAAAACTGTTTCTCAAGACCAGTTGTTCAGTAAAGTATGAGGTTCGTTATTTATTGATCACCCCTCGTAGGTTTCTTTCTGATTGTCATTCCTATAAGGATCCCTTTCAGACAAATTCTGGAGAATATTTTTGGAAAATGTCAGCAAGACCAGCCATCCATAGTGAATGTTTGTATGTAGAGAAATACCTGTTAGTAGATTATCCTGGTCACTCCAAATAAACTAAAGGTGTGAAACTTAACACAGCTATATGATCATTCATAATGCACACAATGCATTCAGTTATGGGTGCACCAATTTACATGTACAATGACAAATGAACTTTCACATGAACACAAACAATGTTAATGACATGCACCAATGACTGACACACAAGTGCTCATGACATGTACACTAGGCTACATTATTACATTGCATGTACTGCTTTCACAATGGATGGCTGGCTTCCCATTGGCTAGGATGTTGACACTTCTACATGTGATTTAGACACAGCACTAGGGGACACTGCAGTGAGTTCTCGTTCAATCTCATCCATAATAGAACTAGAGGGATGGATAGAAAATATTGAAAAAATATAAAATACTTGAATCATTAACATTAACTCCGAGAGACTAAAGACCGAGCAGTTCATTCTTAACTATGGCCATTCAAACTCTAATTTTCTTCCGCAGGATCCCTCCCTTATTTTTGGCTCACCCTGGTATCTTGTTAATAACACCCTTGTAATTACCATGTGAAGTTGGTTAAGCATGATAAAAATTTATGTGTGGATGGGGGACCCCCTTACAAAAAGCTGGCTACAGGCATGCACAGTACTATATGCATCTTACATAATAAATGTACTACTGTATACAGATCTACATTAAACTCTAAATAACAAAATATGAAACTAATGAAAGCATTGCTTAAGTACCAATATTTATGCTGCACAAATAAAGCAGAACTGCTCAAAAATACATGAACAAAATTTAATGTGAAACTAGCTAAAAAGCATGCTGCCGGCAGCTATTGTGTCTTAATAACTAGTACTAAGAGGAAATGTGCATACTACTTAAGTACTAACCTGCGTCTAGATGAGTTGGGTGTTGATTTGGCTTCTGAGAGTTTCACAGCTCTTATTCTATCACCAAGTGTGCTTTGGTTTAGCCTACAGACAGAAGTCATATTTGGTGCTTTATATAGTTACGTGTGATTCAGATGGGTCACTCTACAGGGTATGTATAAAGCAGTTTGATAGAGATTACTTTAGTTACGATGTTTGGTTCCATGCAAAGTTGATATTACATAGAGTGTTAGTATTCAATGGTTTTAAGCTCAATTGTGCATCTGATAGATTTAAAATTACAAGTTTATTATGACTGCACAAATGAATAACAGAGTGAAGCAAAAATATTTATAAATTAATGACAAGTTGATATTATATTACTGACCCAAAAATTGATTCAAGGAATTTAAGAATCAACTTTGAAGGGTGAATTGACTAATGTGTATTGCGCCTTATCCCAGGTATTTTTGATGTTGAAATAAATAATAAAAAGAACACTTTAAATTACCAAGTGTGTGCACTTACATGTCAGTCTCACTGTCTATGGTGTCATTGTCCTCAGGAGGTGGAGCATCTCCATCAAAGAGGACTCTGATCATTTCATCTAACTCCTCCCCAGACTTACGGGGAAACAGCATTCCTAGCACATTCAGAAGTTCACCAACTTTTAGTTTGCCTAGTCGGATCAAACCAGACATGAATTGCATTTCCTAAAACAAAATGGAAGAAAAGTGTATGGTAATGTGTATGGTAACTAAATCACACTAAAGCATATTAAGGGTGCTTAGAGGCTATGTAAATTTGGTAGAATTGAAATATAGCATCATAATGTTGTCATGGTAATAAATGAAATGGGCTATATAGGACTATATGGCCTCCTACTTTTCCAATGACTCCAATACAAATGCTTCAATAGGTACTAGGTATGTAAAGGTAATACATGGTGACATAATAGAAAATATGATTTGTTAAAACATAATTAATGTTTCTTGTTGCATCTTTTATGTCACATATGATATAGGATTTTGAAAGCTTAAAGTGTTAATCAATGGACACTATTATTGATTCTTTGTTACCTGTTCTTGCATGACCTGTAGGCGTCGTGCTTTGTTCTGTCTCCTCATGTCCTCTACTGTCTGACTCAATTCCTTCTCCATGCGGTTCCTACAATTCATAACAAAAATATGAAACTGGGATAAAAATCTTGAGTAAAAATGAGATGTACCTGAACCAATGTCATATCAGCCATAAATGAAAAACCGGAGCCCCTGTGCCAATACAATGTGTTCTATATACATGTACTCTTGTATAACTTGTATAAACAAAATATGACCATTTTAATATCAAAATCATTGATTTTTCAAATCCAAGAGAACTTCAGAAATGGCCTTGACCTTTTATAAATATCATGAATATTAATAAGCATAGAACATACCTAAATTGCTCCATCTGCAGTGTATGTTTATGTACCAGCATGGCACGCTTGATTCTGGCTGCAGATTTGCTCCTACATGAGTCTAAAAGGTTGGAAAGTTCTCTCTCTTGCGTCTGAACCATTGTGGCCTCCCTGGACATCAGGCGCTCGGACATCCTCTTTCTCAGCAACTGCAAGTAGAAAGAGAGCTTAAGTCATTCATAAAAACATACAATATTCGTTTAAAAGTTACTCTATTATCACCCACTAAAATCATCAATGTTATTCTTCAATCAATTCCAAATTTTAAGTTGCTATTTCTGTTTTACATTCTACAGCAAATGGCAAAGAAATAACTTCATCATCAATATTTCATTTTATGCAGTATCTATTCATATCAGAACTGACGTAGGTACATTACATGTATTAGTGACCTGTTTTTGACCAACTGATCCTTAGCTATAGAAGTTCAACCATCCATACATAAATTAGGGATCTGGACCAGGTTATCTTCAAAATGTTGTATATTTCAGTGAGTGAAGTTTGCAGCAGTGACCTCAATTTTGGCTGTCTTGTTTTACCTTCATAATGCAACATATATCCAAATATGTGACATAATGTCACACAGAAAAACATATTGATAATATCGTGATATTACCGAAAGTGGTAAACATGCATACCAAAAGGATGATTCATGTCATGCAACTATCTATATAAGAAATATGACTATTCATGTGTCATGTGACTATTAATATGTGACTATCTGTGTATGGGTAATGTGACTTTTGAGTGATTGTCACCTCAATGTCACCTTCTGGCACTATATCATGAAACACCTCAGCTGTTTGGTTGATGAGCAAGTCATGTAGCAGTGACCTACAACTCCTCTGAAGTAGCTTGTTTAGCCTCTAAGGCATGTTAGAAAAAAGTAACATGTTAATTCCAGACTAAATAGTGCTTTATTACTTGCAAACAGAGAGATAGGTTAAAATGAAAATAAATCTGTATCTGCTTATATTTCTTTAATAAAATTTTCATAATAATACACCACTAGGGTGGAAGCCATGCAACATTTGTCTCTATTGATTGTATCACTGACCATTAGCTTTTTGAGTGATTGCAAGACAGTGTAAAACTGTAGTTACTTGCATCACATTTTAGAAAATAGGCTCATAATATGAATTGAATGTGCACGTTTGATGAGCTTTAACAATAAACCAACATATCTTTTCATTTTTGTTGATTGATAAAGTTTATTATATTTGCACATAGCCATCTCAGGAGATAGCTTTGTGTAAACTAAGTAAGATATAGAGGTTCTTATATGAGTACCTGTGCAAGATCGTCCATTCTTGATGAGCTTTGATAATTCTTCTTTATCGAGTCGCAGACGAGATAAAGAAACATTATCAAAGCGAGTCAAGAATGGACGATCTTGCACAGGTACGAGTACAAGAAAGTTTTTCTCATATGACTCTGTATTATGCTTTATTTTCACGTTTTCATGGCAAAACTGGGTGAAAATAGCTTGAGATTACAGGAACTTCATCTTTCAATTGTTATGACGTCATAACAATATTGTAGAAAATACATGGATACACGAGGCAACAAAGCTCCATTGTTATGACGTCACAGCTTAGTTTTGTAGAATGAGCATGGATACTCTTAGCAACGGTGTATTTGTTGCTATGTTGTTGATGTTTATAGACCAGTGATGTCACAAGTAAATCTCATCTTACACGTGTGACTTTTTAGGATGAAAGATGGCAATATCTTGCATGGGGAAAAGATGGCTGTATCTTTGTTAGTCATATGAGAAAAAGTGATATTGACCTTTCATGGCCAAAACTGGTTGTAGTACTGCTTACTGTATACTAGTATAGTACTTCTATTTGTTCAGAAATAAATATAAATTTTTTCTAAAAAGCACTAACCTTCTCTTGTTTGAGTCTCTGTGCCTCCAGTTTCTCTTGTAACACTTCCTGGTTTTTCTGGTGAGTCTCAATTACTCTTTGGCATTCTGGGTCGGACAAGACACCTCTCTCATTCAGGTCATCCATTAGATTAGACTTGAGGTTATGTATAGCCTTCTGTTGTTCTTCTATCTTAACCATCTAGAAAACAATAAATATGACTCAGTATGCAATTTCTTGGGCTCACCTCATATAATTCAGAAATTCTCATGCTTCTTACTAAAGGGTAAGTGGTTTGATCTCATCTGCTAGCAGATTAAATTCACTGAACATTCTGGACAAAACCATTTAACCTGTATAATGCCAGTGGGACGGGCCAAAAGTGTTTGGATTGGCAGGTCCTATTATTTATTTACCTCCTTCGCTTTTTCCATTTGAAGAGTGGCCATTAGGGCACCTAATCGTTCTTCCTGGGACTTCAAGGCCATAGCACGCTCCTGCATCATCTCAACCCGGATCTACAAAATGAAGTGGCGACATATATAGCCTATTCCAACATATGATAGTTTATGTTCAACATACAATGGCCTATTTCAACATATGATAGCCTATTTCAACATATGATAGTCTATGTTCAACATACAATGGCCTATTTCAACATATGATAGCCTATTTCAACATATGATAGTTTATGTTCAACATACAATGGCCTATTTCAACATATGATAGCCTATTTCAACATATGATAGTTTATGTTCAACATATGATGGCCTAATTTAACATATGACAGTTTATGTTCAACATATGATGGCCTAATTCAACATATGATAGCCTATTTCAACATATGATAGTCTATGTTCAACATACAATGGCCTATTTCAACATATGATAGCCTATTTCAACATATGATAGTTTATGTTCAACATATGATGGCCTAATTTAACATATGACAGTTTATGTTCAACATATGATGGCCTAATTCAACATATGATAGCCTATCTAAACATATAATAGTCTACGTTCAACATATGATGGCCTCATTCAAAAAATGATATCAACATATGATAGTCTATTTGTTCAACATATTATGGCCTAACTTAATATACATGTATGATAGCCTATTTCAACATATGAAAGCCTTATGAACCTTGATAGTAAATAAAAAATAATTTCCGAGAAAATAATACAGTTCTACGAGGTTTAAAGCAGAGAATGTACTATACCTCCTCCAGTTCATCATCTAGTTTGAGTTTCTCTCCTTCAAGAACAGCAATCTTCTGTTTAGCATGCTTCTTCATCAACTCTATTTGGGCAGTATGCTTTTCATCTTCTTCAGCATCTGAATCTTTGGCCTGAGACTTTTCCTGTTTCTGCAATTCAAAATAGCCTTTATATAATGCACTCTATAGCTGTTTTTCCACATGAAATATCTTATTCTTCATTTGAGATTTTTCTAGCGGCAAAAATTGTCAGCAGTATCATACCTTTTTCTCCAGATTCTGTTTTTTCTCAAGTTTCTGCATATGTGCCTCACGTTTTTGAGCTAATTTCTCCTCAAATTTCCTCTTTTGCTGTAGTTTATTGAGTGTGAGGCTGTTCTCAAGTTTCACCATCTGCTTCTCATGTTCCTTTAAGATCCTCTCTCGCTCCTCCTCAGACATCGCTGACTGACTAGCTATCAATTTACTGGAAATAAAAGGAATTCATGACATGAAACATTGTCTCAAAAACATAAAGAAATCATGACAGGAACAAATGATAGACTGAAATACATGAAAGTGGAACTGTGAAAATAATTTACTTTGTATTGCACGGATGAGAAATGGGCATGAAACACAGCAACCAAAAGGATGTCAAATTCATTGACTTTGATCTTAATATTTTTGTTATATACCCTTGAGAACAGTTCCAGAGGATTGCCTCACTGTAAACATGTTCATGTTCTGGCATTCTATACATATGAAGTGTTGCTGACATGCCCGTGTGTTTGAAAAATCACCACCATGACAACATGTTGTCATGGAGATGAGATTGAACTTACTGTACAACATGTTCCTCATGCTCCCTGAGTCTCTCCTGATCTAATCTCTCTTGTTCTTTGCGCTCACTCCACGCTTTACGTTGTTTGGCAAGTTTTTTCTGCAACAAAATTTAGGAAATTCAAAAATATTATGGCTAAATCATTTTTCATCCTTTCTTTATTTTCAAAAGCAGAACAAGTGTACAGATATGTGTGAAGTATAAGTATAGACTTATCTAAGCATTCTTTACCCTGTAATTATTAGGGGTACCACGATAGCAGAAATTGAATATCGATACGTATCTACGATACTGACCTCACGATACGATACAATGATACAGCGTAAATTGAAGTAAAACTGACTTTTAGTTCTAATTTTTCAAACGTGTAAAGCCGGAAGTACTTCAGCCGGATTACGTTAATTTCACATCAAACAAAGAAAGGTGTAAAATATGCTAACATCGATTAAAACATCTTAACGACGTGTGATATTCGGGAACTAGAGGGGCAAACGAAGGTGGCAAGCAAGATACATAACTATGACTGTCTGTCATCTCTAAGTGCTGAGTTTTTCCCTTCCTTTGGGTAAGTAAGACAGGACTTCCGGTCAAAAAACGATACGACCGATATTCATTTTATGTATCGATACAGCTCGTATCGGAGGTGCATTGCTCGAGCGCTCGAGCACTCTAGTAATTATGAGTGTGGGGTCTAATCTCAAATCAAGTTTCAGGTCTAGTGGATGAAACATTGGATCAATTTTTAACCCTACATATTTCTCATTCTACCTTTAATGTATATAAAAAACTGTTCTTACTCGGAAGTTGATCTCTTGCTGATTCTTCTCTTCTTCTTGAGCAACCTTCAGAGCTGTCACTTCTTTCTCATGTTTGGCAAGGATCTTCTTCAACTGATCCTGACTCACTCCTACAAACAGGGGAGAAAATAGCATTATCAAAATAAGAACATCTGCTTCAATAAAAAAAAAACAATAATAACTACATGAATAACTCTTCAGTTTTGAGTTTTGAAGTATGCAACAATTCATGAACTAAAATACTTTTAAGATTTGCAACATATATTGACAGACTCTTAGGGAGATGCTGTAACCTTGAATCCCATACTTCTCGAAATTAACTTTTTTGGTCCCATCTTCTAATTTGACATAGACTCCCATGTTATAAAGTGTTCAAAAGGTGAACACTTGCCGACTTGTGAACACCTGCCGACTTGCATTTGATTAGACAGCTATAACTGTACCTTCTTTTTTTAATTTATCTAGTAATTGTCCTCTAGTGTCTTTGAGATTGTCTTCTGTGTCCTTAGTAATGGTTTTATTGACCTTGGAGAGGTCTTCTGCTTGTTCTGTATCTATCGTATTCTCAAGGTCATTCATCTCTGCACGCTGGCACGAGAACATTTGCTGCTTCTTCACTATTAGATCTATGGTGTCTGAAATAACAATAGCAAATGTACATTAATTGATATATTTTATACATGTATTAAAGCTTAAACACAGAATCAAAAATGAAATTCTTCAATAATTATATTAATTTTGAAAGCACCACACCCACAGCTAGCGAGGGGTCGTGGGTTCAATCCCCACTGGGGTAGACTGACTTTCACATCAGCCCTTAGCACAGGATTTCATTCTGTGTTGTCATTAACTAATACTTGACAATGATGATACATGTATGAGTGTTATGGAACTTTATTTCCGACTTGCACAACATCACTTTCTTTATCTTATTTTACCTTTAATGATACAGTTTTGTAAAATCTACTTGTATATGAGAGATGATAGTATAACATACCTGTTCCAATGGAGCTTGTGTTCTTGTGTTCTCTCTGGAAATTATCTCTCTCTAGTTGGTGCTGCTTTTTCTACAACATGAAGGAAATCTATGAGTGGATGTTTAGAGCAAAAGGTCAGGCCCATAGGCAGGGGGGTTCGATGGGTTCGAGCGAACCCCTCTCCTGGTCAAAAAGTCTTTCAAAATCATGCAGTTTTTCACCATTCTGAGCACTTTTTAAGTGATTTTGGCCATTTTTGGACCAAAATTGTCACAAGTGAACCCCCCCTGGAATTTTTCAAAAAGTGAACCCCCCTTGGCAAATCCTGGCTATGGGCCTGAAGGTTGTTTCTCTTCAGCTATTTGTAAATCTATCAAACGCAAGTTATACATAATGAAACATTATATATCTTTTATCCCTGTTTAGATGGGTGAAAAATTATTTTTTGAAGAAAATAATAATTTGAGTTCAAATTTAAAAAAACATATAAAACCAAGAGGTCCATTGCAATTACTTTAAAGAGATGCCATTCTTAGCATTTTGAGTGTTTTAATGGTCATCATCTAACACAGCTCTATGTTGAAGTGTATATTTTAGGATAACTAACAAATATTTCCTACCAAGTCATTCATGCGCTTTTTCTTGCGTTCAGTGAGTGTCTTTTGTAAAGCTGCCTCCTGTTTTTCGCGTTCTTTATCATGACCTTCCTTTGCCTTCATCATGTCATCCTTCACTTGTTCCATGAGGCGCTCAGCTTCTTCCTGAGTGATACTGCTCTCTCTGAGGTTGACAACAACAATATTATTATTAAATTATGTATATTGTACAATACAATGTTCCCTCAGGGTTTTTCAAGTGGGTCCGAAATACTTATTTTCACAATTTAGACCAAATTTGGTCAAGATACTAGTTTGCCTTTTTTCATGAATTTTCTTATTTTCAAGTGGGTGCAAATGGATTCTCGGGTGGGTGCATGCCTATTATTAAAGTCTAAAGTAAATGCAGCACCCACTTGCTGGGGAGATCACTGTTCTAAGTAATAAATAAAACTAATACCACTGGATTTATTTCCTTTCTATTAAACAAGCTGACTTATGAAATGTTTCTGAAGTCAACAAGTTTACTCAATACAAGTGATACACTCAAGCGGTTCGCAAGTAAAATTAATGATATGATTGAACTCACTTTTTTGCTTTCTGTATAGTCTTGAGTTGCTGTGAGGCCAGTGTATTCAACAGATCACTCTCATTATCATCATTCTGCTCATGTATTGCAGCAAGTGCCCGACGTCTTGCTAATTTTTCCTCCAGGGCCATCCTCTGTTTAGAGATCTCATCATCGTATAAAGTCTCGAGGTTACTTTGGTTTTTCATGTGCTCTTTTATTAACCAATCAGCTTGTTCTTCCACCAGTTTACCGTCATCGATAACATCTTTTAGAAGTTGTTGCTGTGATTCTTTCAGAGCCATTCTGTGTCTTATCACATGCTCCTACAAACATATGGAAAATACAGAAACTGTATATTTCATTTACTATGTATAGATGTACCAGGTATACCAGTATGATTGAACAATGTATGTGCCTTAACCCTTATCCTCCCAGACACAATTTAAAGCGCGGTCAGCTACAACCCCTTGTATAGATTCGGAGACATTGAGTTAAACTGATTATTTTGTGATTTCATGATTATGTCATGTCAGCACTACCATTTCTGGTTTGAAAAATAAAAAACGATCGATTTTCTTGCAACTAAAGCTGTTTATATGACCATGATACTGATAAATTGATAGAAAAGGCAGTTCAGAAGAAACTAGAGCAGATTTGGAACAGGTGAAGTATGACACACGGGGATGATAGCGAAGAAACTAGGTGAAATGTGTTTTTGAATTGGTCTTCTCCATCAATTTAAAATTAAAAAAAATTGAAAAGTAATTATTTCAACCTTGATTTTAAGCTTTCAGAAAGGGGCAAAATTGCACTTTTTCACCATTTTAATCGGGAGGATAAGGGTTAATATTTGGTCATTCCGTAACATTAAATATACATTATAAATTGAAAATCCATTAAAACATTTTACCTTCCTGAGTTTCTCCAGATCTTCATCCTGTTCAAGTTTCAGTCTGCACTTCAGTTCATTCTGCTCTGTTTCATGCTGTTGTTGTATGAGAACTGTCAGCTCCATCAGTTCCTTCTCATCCATTTGGGCACTTGTAGCATTGTACCTGAGTCCCTTCAGCTCTTTCTCCTGCTTCAACAGCAACTCTGTCATCCTCTCCTGCAATAGCAACAATGTGTTGAGATCATGCATGGTAGTACAGGGTGACCCAATTAACAAGGCATTTATATGCAAAATGTCATCACCTGCCATTTGTTACAGATGCTTACTGGTGACCACCGAAATATTTGAATATAAGTGTTAGGGTTCTGCTTTTTGGGTCATCCTGTATTTTTAAAACATTTTGTGATAGTTTACAGCAAGCAAACATAAAAAGTATCTGTATGGCTGATGGTAAATGTATTTCATGAAGAGATGAAATAGTGCTCTGGGGCCATGATTTAGCATCGAATGAGCCATAATACATCAATGAAGGAATTGAATCATACGGTTTGCTTTACTTTACATAAAACAATGACAAGGCAATAAGATATTATTGATGGTAAAAGAGTAATATTACCTTGTTTTTTATGCTGTACAATTTGATAGAATCTTGGATTTGAGTCTTATATTCGCTTTCCATTCTCTTCTCCAGATCTTTGACGACTTTCTGGAAATTGTTGAGGCATTTATCTTCCGTCTGCTTGGTTATGTCATTGTTTTGACGCATACTTTGGACCAACAGGACGGTGGCTTCCTTCGTAGCATTGTTGCGCTCTTTCTCTATATCTTGGTCAATTTCTATGGTCTCTTGAATGTCAAGACTAAAACAAAAATATTGCTAATTATTATTTAAACTTTAACTGAAACTTGTTAAAATTTCTATACACATGACTAGTGTTTGAAAAAAGTAGTCAGTATTTCTTATTTTCACAATTCGTAAAATGAGCTTTAAATATAGATCCTTTTTAGATGTTATGTTTAGAATTTCACAGCAAGATTTACTCATGATGATAATACAGAACAGTAGCCAGGATTTGCCAAGGGGGGGTTTAATTTTTGACAAGGAGGATTGGCTCCCAGAGTGCACCACCGATATTCTGTCCCATATATGGGTATGTCGTAATACAAAATTCGAATTCAAACAGCCGCCATTTTGTTCACTTCAACATTTAAATCGTGAATTTTGGTCTTATTTCCAAACGAAAAATTCCAAAACTCACAAGAAATGATCGAGATATTGGTTCGAATCTTTTGAACTGTTTATTTTGAATTTATAGTCGGTTTTAATTTCAGAAAATAACGACATTTCGACGTTTTCATTGTTGGAAAATATCGAGTTTCGATCCTGGGAGCCAATCCTCCTTGATTTTTGAAAAATTCCAGGGGGGTTCACTTTTGACAATTTTGGTCCAAAAATGGCCAAAATCACATCAGAATGATGAAAAACTGCATGATTTTGAAAGAATTTTTGGCCGGGGGTGGGTCGAACTCATAATATGATATATCTATTCTATATAAGGGCACTCAGAAAGTGCTGTAATTCATTACACTCATAATGCACTCACTTATCTAATTCCCGCTGGCATTGTAGCTTGTCTTTCATAGTGATAATAATGATAATACTATCTGCTGCACCAACCATGCCCCCACTTTGGATGGTGTACCCCCCTTTACCAAGGGCCTCAGGATCCATGATTAGACCCCTACCTCCAGCCTGTCTCACTCGGTTCTGCAAGACAATGAATAAAATAATGAATTTTCCATCCTTTTGGGGTGAAGGTCACCGAAATCAAACTAATTCATTTAGAAATACATAATTTAAAAGTCACAGCAGTCATGTATCTAACACATTTTGTAAAATTGAAATCATTTGAATAAATCAGACCAGGTAATATTTATTAACCAAGATTTACATATCAAAAATGTTATCTTGGCACTTTAATTTAGTGACACACTGACAATTTAAAGAGGTACTGATCATTAAACTATGTTTTTATTACTTGGCCTATCATGTTATCTACTTATCTACCATACATGTAAGTGTATTGAAATATCAAGGCATTCACATGCAAAATGTCACCATCTGACTGCCATTTGTTACAAACCCTGAAAGCCAAACACCAAAAGACAAACAAAAGTTGTGGTGGTGACGTGAAAGATTAAAAAATATTCATAAAAGAAATTATTCAACGTACATCTATGGCAGAGGCTGGTCTGACATCAGCAAATAGTCCTTGTTTCATGAACCTCATGATGATCACTATGACAACAATTGTCAAAACAAATCCAACCAGAACACCAACACAAATCAAGAGCGCAGTGAAGCCATGGTTCAGGAACAACTAAAATGGAATAAACATTATCAATGTTGAGGTCCAAGACTGACAAAAATTCACAATGTCTTGCAGAGCCCCCTGATTCATATACTATGTCCAAAACATAATAATATGTGCAATCTACTATGATTATGCAATAATTCATGTATGTCATTATGTTACAGTGTATAACAATGGATGAATGAATAAATATTTAAACAAAAAAAAATATTATGTACTATAAGATTAAATTTTCATATTAGTTATGTCATACATTGCTGCATCCCACAATTCTCTGGTTTGGGAAATAGCGAACTAGACATCAAGCAAGACTGATTGCTATGTTGCCATGTTGAAACTTACATTTGAGAGTTCATTCATCGTAGTGTTGACACATACAGGACTAATCAGTGGCCCTTTCAGGGAAGGAGTGTATACATTTCCATTCTGAAAAACAGAATGATTGGCAATTAAAAATACTATCTGAAATTTCATACCTGAAAGATTATTGTATATATATCATTTTAATACAATGCAAAAGGGAAATTATAACAGTAAACAGTTCATTTGTGACAGACACCACAGGCCCGTAGCCAGGGGGGGTTCGCAGGGTTCGGGCGAACCCCCCCCTGGCCAAAAATTCTTTCAAAATCATGCAGTTTTTGACCATTTTGAGCACTTCTCTAGTGATTTTAGCCTAATTTGGGCCAAAATTGTCAAATGTGAACCCCCCCTGGAAATTTTTGAAAATTGAACCCCCCCTTGGCAAATCCTGGCTACGGGACTGCACCATCTTACACAGACAGAATAAACAGGAACACGATTCATGAATCGCGCATTATTCCCATTCTGGAAATTCAAGGATTTAAAAAATAATAGAATAACCTCAAAACAAAATTTTGAATTAGGGTTCTTGTATACAATAGTTTTAATTAAAGAGAAAACTTGCCCCATAAGTGCTTGGTTTGGCACTCCTGAATACGAATGATGCATTGTAGTACTTCACGAATTCCACCAGGTCCCTGCCATCCCCACTAGGTATGGCTTCATATGATAGAAACATTTCCGCTCCAACTGCAATATACAATGACAGTATACAAATATAAAACACAATGACAGTACACAAATACAATACTATGACAGTACACAAATACAATACACAATGACAATACAGTAAAACCTGTCTACTCAGAGTGCCACTGGAAGAGAGGTTCAGATTGCCAGGTGCTCACATTTCAAGATTTTTTAAATACGTGAGTCAATGGGAGATCACAAATTTGGGACTGAGAAGTGTTCACATTGAGAAGTGTTTGTATTAAAGAGGTGTTTGGATATACAGGTGTTACTGTACTTTACTATGTTACTTGTCTTTATAACTTTACAGTAGTTATTTGTTCTCACACTTGTGAAAGGTTCCAAAATATTTTAGGATATATTCAATTTTTGTGATTATTTTATTATTTATCCTTATAGAAATAGTTTTATTTACCATCAAGTTTAGTAAGCTCATAGGCGATGGCTTTGTCTTTGTTAGTGATTCTCAGCCCAGGGGTCCCCAGGCCTGGCTGGAAGTCTTTATAGAAAAATATGTCAAATTCATCTGCAGCATCGTAAATTGTGATGTCATAGGCGGGTGCTGTGGTGGTTGCCGCGTGGGATACAGTCACATTGAAGCGAACTGTATGTGGAACGGTTGTATTGTCAACCACCTGGAAATGAAATAAACATACAACCTTACATACAACCTTACTTCTGAATTACTCATGCATAACTCTTGAGGTACAATTAATGACCTAAGTTGGTAAAGCGATGTTCAAGGTTCAAGTGAAAAAATGTCAAATTCTTAAATCTTGAAAAATTTTACAACCAGGCATCAGTCTAAATCTAACTGGTACCAGGTTATCAACTGAACAGAAAAATGGATGAATGGACTATAGCAAACACATACATTTCCATGTAAGATGAAATTCAACATCGGCATTGTCATACCTGCATTGTTTTGAAGATCTCCAATTGTGGCGTGCCAAATGTGCTGTTACCAGAGGCAAATATGACGGGTCCTGACGGGAGCTTGGCGATACCAGAGACTTGAATGCCCCCATCATTTCCACTATATGTGTGGGGAATCACATAGCTCACCTGAAGCACATTAACATACCATACATGTACACATACCTATAGGGATCAGTCTTACTAAAGATCCAGCGCATTTTTAATTTTGCGACCAGAACTCAACAAACGTCACAGATTTCTAGCTGTTACTTCTTATCTTCATCCTAGCTTTTAACCAATAAAACAATTATTGAACACTGTAATTGTGTTGAATGTAAAAACAGAGGATATAATATATACATCTTGGAAAAAAACAAATGAATTGTAATAGACTCATACAATGTGAAAATATAGGATATGATCAAATATAATGTGCAAAAATAAATCGTGCCATTTTGTCTACACTTCAAATAATATTTCTCTGTATCAATATACAAAAACATTTATTTCCACCATTTATGTTCATTTCCATTACTATGTTCTTGAAATAATACTTACTGTAAATTTGAGTGGTGCTGCATTATTTCCACTGGACTTTGGGTTTGTAATTTCACCGATATACCAATTTTTCAATGTGTATCCATTGTTTAGGGCTACTGCACGACGTTTCCTTGAGGAAATTTCTTCAAAACCACCTCCAGTAATGTCTTTTTTGTTAGGGTTGGACATCACTATGTAACTAGGAGCATCTAGCTGACCTGATAACATCGATATAGGCACTGGGCTTATATCAGATTTAAATTCTGAAAACCAAAATGTGTGAGAAATTGAGAAATGGACATACATGAACATCTGGTAATTAAGATCAACCTTCTAGGTGGTGTTATGATTTGTCACACGGTGAACACTGGTAGGTGCTCACATGGTACGAGTTAATTTTTATATATTTTAGAAGCCTTGGTTTTAAAAGACATGCACAAAAGATTTCATATGTTTTATAGAGTCCAAGGATCTTATGTTTAGTAGTGAATATACAAATGTCTAAGGACTTTTCAGAAGGACTTACAAATGCCCAGTATTTTATCTAGTGAGCAAAATATATGTAATATCAAAAGCCTTACCTATATCGATGCTAAAGTCACTCAACATTCCAAATGGCATGTTGATTCTGGTTTCTACGGTGACAACCTCCCCGATACCCTGGTTACCTCCTAGGCTACTGTTCAGTTGCAGGGAGTCAGCAGGGAGGCCAATAGTTTGTAAATGCAATTGTTCATTCATAAACAAAACTTCATCTATAAATAAAGAAAATACATGTACAGTGTAATGAAGAGCTGGATAAAGCAATTCTACATTCTGAATATAATGCAGCAAGAAGATGACAAAAATGCTTAACATAATTAGATGTGTCTAAACCTCATATCATTAATTATCAGTACTTATTATTCCATATTTAGTAGTGTTACAGGTAAATAACATGCAGGAATATATGGATATCTGAAGTGAGGGGTGATATCAGCAGGTGATATATATATATCACCCGCTGATATATATCACCCGCTGATATCACCCGCTCATCAGATCTACGACGTCACAAATTCAGAGAGTAGATACGGAGCTAAGGGACTTGACTATAAACCTAACTATTAAGTTCCAGCTAGTGGAAATCCTGGGGTGGATATAGACCGTTATACAAAATGAATACATTTTGGTCCTGCAATATATATAATAATAAAAAACAACTATAACTGGTTTAAAAAACATTCATTGCAACAAATATGTTTAGCAGTAAAGATCATGATCATAAAGTAGAATTTTTCTATTTATTTGTTGCATTTTTTAATGAATTTAAAGAAAAAACTGTAAACAAGGAGTCAGATTGAAATGAAGTCTCATGATGGTCTGATTCACATTAACATATTTTGTTTCCTGAACAAACCAAAACAACAGAAAAAAACAAAAAGAAGGAACATTATAATATCAGAAATAGGATAATACAAAATTATGGCTATATGTTCTATAGGTTGAATCAAGCACTTATTTCTTTGTATGGTTCACTTTAAGTCTATTGATTTTCTATAGCAGCAGTAGTCTGGATTAGTCCAAATATTTAGGCCTATTTGTAGTTACTATTGAAGTGAAAGTACAAGCAATTGTGTACATTTGTGTGGAATACTAACCCACAGAGGCGGTGTTTGATAAACTTATTATAGAGTAATTTCACTTTATACCTGTACCTTCTGATCATTGAAAGGCGGATTGAAAAGTTAACAAGTAAATCCACGCTGTTGATCAGATACCCTTTACTCAAATGGGAATTCTCTTTTTAAAGAACTTCATTTGATTATTTAGTCTAGCCACTGACTGTATTCCTAGGTACTCATTGGATCAAATAAATACTTTGCCAAACAACCAAAATCAACCACAAAAAGGCTGATGACAAATGTAAGTGCCCACTTTGCCCCCCCCCCCATCTGTTCCTTAAATTCAAGTGGTGGTTAACTATGACAGGCTGTTGTTTTGTTGTTGAATGTTGACTCATAGAAATAAATTGTTTCATCAAAAAGCTTCTTTACTTAAATTTTGCAAAAGGATACTCTGTAACAAAGCAATTGAACCTGTTATATGTAACTCTAACCAATATTTTAGTAAAATGTAACATGCATAATGCAAACACACATTGTCAAGTTGTCAAAGTAACACTTTATACTGTGTTCATGGAGAGACTGACATGATTAGAGTCAATAAAGATGTGTATATACATATTTTGTAATTTACCGTTTCAATCAATATCCCTACTTTCATCAGAATTTTTTTAAATTGTTTTTATTAGCACTATTTATTATTCAATTTTGAGTGAACTTCTCACTTATTTTTCAATCGTTTTTTCCTTATTTTTCAGCATAAAATAGCTTAGGATCTACATGTATGCTTTGCGGTGGACTTTTTAAGTTATATTGAAGCATTAAATAACAATTTGGGATCAAAGGGTGTATAAAAACCACTAAATAAAATCTTAAACATAAGTTTCTCGTATATCACACCTCAAAACATCAGGAAGGACAAACTCAGATCATTCTATAACTTAGGTCAATAAAGTGTGATTTCCAGGGGGAGGGAGAAGGGCAAAAGTTTCCATCTTCTGATTGGCTGTATATCCAATGTGATTAAATTCTACTTACCAGGTTTATTTACAGGATTCCCGCTGCATTGTGCAACAATCGCATAATCATAATATGACAACTTCATGTTATTCTCCATCTGTACTAGCATCTCTAGCTCAATTCTGTTGTCAGTGCTGGTTAATGCTCTACCCAAAGTATCCATTGAGAATGTAATGGTCTTGAAGGGATCACCCTGTACAGATGTGGTCAGACTAGTTTGCACACCAGTGTTGCTATAAAGTGTTGCAACGTGGTCAGGTAATATCGATATCTCATTTCCAGAAGGCAGTTTTGTTGTTCCGTCAACTAGGAAGTATTCACACTGGAAAGATAAATTGAAAACATTGCTTAGATTGAAAACAATGGACAGTCATTTCTGCAACAAGTGAAATGATTGAAACAGTTGAAACGACTGAACTGTCAATAAGATAGAATGGGTGAATTAATGCAAACACTGAAATGATTGAAACATACAGGAGAACTGCTTGAAACAAGGAACATTTCTGTTCAGTTTCATTTAGGTCATTTCTCCATTTCATCTAGAATTTTACCATATTCAGACTCAAATCTTAAATAACCAAATGCCTTGATTTGGTGAAGACATTGAAACTGACAAAATGATGCAAAGCCTTTTAAATATATATGATTGAACGAGTTGAAATGATTGAAACAACTCAAATGCATGTCATAACTGATACAGAGCTTAATTTGACATACCTCCAGATTGAGAATATCGCTGCCGTCATCAAGTGCAGCATTCCTTTCCAATTTGAAGACCACACGGACAACATCTCCTACCTCTAGGTTCACAGACTTGTTGTTTGTCTCATGCATATACAACGATGGTCTCGAGAGTAGGATGTTAAGGTCTGCAGTATCGAATCCCCAAACATCAGTCATGTTATACATGGGTTCATCACTAGAACCATTGAACGGTCTCCAAAGATCGACACCATCTTCAGTATCATTACTTCCTGAGAATGAAATATTATGTAAAACTGCATCAGCCGTCAGGTTAACCAACAGAGCATTGGTCGGGACTTCAGTAGACCAAGCTTGATCACCGATATCACTTTCCCAGTGTTTGAAAGAGAATGTGAATTCAGTCAATAGTGTTGCATATTTTTCATTCTCAGGTGCATTTGGTGGGACTTCAAGGCCAGTATATACAATATCATTAAAATGTACAAAGATATGAGAGCCATATGGATATTCAAACAGTGGACTTGTGTCAACATGCATTGATCCAACTTGGAATTCATTCATATCGTAGTAAAAATCACTCTGTTCTATGGTACTATTTAGGAGGTTTTCCATAATGTAGAACTTTGTTTCTGTGACATTGTACGGTTCTGTATAATTGTACCACCCTGATTCATTGTACCATCCTGATCCAAATTCATTGTCAAATCCAGATTCATTGTACCATCCTGATTCTGAATGATCAAACCATCCTGATTCATTGTAGAAGCCAGACTCATTGTACCATCCTGTTTTAGTATGATTGAACCATCCAGATTCATTGTACAATCCAGACTCATTGACATATGTCCATACGTTCCTTGTTGCTGTTGTATTGATTTCCTTATGTGGTACCATTATGATCAATGTTAAATGCGCTGGATCATCTAATATAGTGTTAACATCAATATGTGCCTCAAGGGTCAGTGTTATGTCATCCTCCCAAAATGCAGATTGATATCCATTAATTGTATAATTTGGATGTTCGACATTGTAATCTAACGAAACGATTGGCTGATTACTCATGGGAACGGCTGTACAAAACGTTAGTGCAAAAGTGCACAAAAGTGCAACACAAACGATGCATGCATTCATCTTGTACACAACTGACTATTCTGTTGTCACTTCTGTAAAAACACACATTGTCATAAGTAATATCCCATATGGACCTTCAATAAAACCCCATGCTTACAGTGCATTGTTACTTGCGTCTCTAGCCAATAACCTGATGGACAAAGGTGTCGCAAGGAGGTAGTATTAGTGCATCCGCTCCGCAACCTTATCAGTAGGTGAAAGTCATGGATGGATGTGCACACTGTTGTCTGTAAATCTGACAATGACTTCTTCAAATGTTCAATTGTAGATTTTAGTTACAAGAACTAAGTAATCTTCATGCAAATGCCGATATCCTTTTGATCCACTTGCCTATATCTGATCATGTGAATAAAAATGTGGCACTTGTTTAGAGCGAGCACTTACAGTTGTTTTTCTGGTTGTAATGCATTTTTTTCTCCAGGTTGTGTTCATATTTTTATTCACTACATGCTTATCGATAGTTTCCCTTAGTCCAGATCAAAGACAATAAGGTGTTATTCAATAAAATCACTTCAAATGAAATATTTCAAACCTATTCAAAAGGGAATGTTTTGGTGATAAAACATGGCGGTGATAGTTTCCAGATTCCCATGACCTATTTTCCTTATGATGTGCTAAGAGTTTGGGAAATCTAGAAACAGATCACTAGGAAACTCCGTAATATTTACAAAATGACGTCACATTGACCATATAAGGTATGCAAAATGGCGACTGCAAGGTGCGCTAAAGGGATTTTCCTGATGTTTTATTAAAATAATCCATATAGAATGATACTATACAGAAAAACAACAACCTCACATTTCAAAAAAAAACAATGACGATAGAAAAACTAGAAATACAGAAGGAAAAGCGTTCATTTGAAGCAGAGATTGACGCAAGTAAGAAAATTATTCTGAATTTTTCATGTTTTTTTAGAACAGAAGCTTTCAACCAAACTCAAGTCAAGTGAATTCAGTTTCAGAGCCATACAGAATCCAGAGTTGCAGTAGATATATCCTAAGCTTTATATTTATTCAACCATGGGCATTGCCTAGGCCTCTGACACGGAGTCGAGTGTTTGTTTCATTCATTCTCAAAATCTTTGCAACGAGACCCTATCTGTTGCAAGACTAACGCCTGGCGTAACCGTCACCATGTTATTCAGTGTTTTTAAGTAGCGCAATATAATACAGCATTGTCACGGTTATACCAGGCTTACATGATAACACTACCACGGTCATGGCAGGATCCTTGCGCTAAAAACACTGACTAACATGGCGACGGTTGTGGCAGGCGTAAGTCTTGCAATAGATAACATGTGTTTACAACTGTCCTGTGTTGTAAGTTTTACACAGTAGGGTTTACAAATGTAACAACCCTTGGGCATGCTCGTCTGGGAGCTGTATTGTACCGAGCCAGATACTAGACTCGAAAGAGAATGTGCTAAATTCAATGCCCCGTATGGGAATTTTACTATATTTGCACATAGCCATCTTTTTAGATATCTCTCTTCTGCTCTCAGAGTCAGACGCTCTGCCATGGGCTTTCAATTAGATGCCCATGGCTCTACCCTTGAGCCATAAAGACTAGCCACTACAGCTGAGACTGTAGTAGTGACTCGCTATTGAAGGTCATCACACAAACAACTGTTTGCTACTCTGACTCCACAATTAGATTTAATTAAATAACCGCTGATGAACTCAGTGAGTTCAGAGTGAAGACAAAGCTATTTTTAGAAGCTAATGCAAATAAATGGAAAGAGTAGCTCTTTTTAAATTGCAAAATACTGTAAAGAGGAGGAAATACATGACATGTACATGTAACTCTGTAAAAATTAAGTCTAGAGGTTCATCTGTGTATGGAGATATGTGTATCACTGGTCAGTATCAATCAAGCGAAGGTTATGGCCATCACCTTCACTTTCAAAATGGCAGACGGGAATTGTCGATTTCGATATTTTTAGTTTTCCACCGCTTAGGGCAGGTTACTGGAAATATTTGATATTGGTAAGGGACATAAAACCCAAATCCCAGTAATCTTCCCTTAAGTGGTGGAAGATATCGTTGAATTGTGGCACCTGACACTTCCTGTCTGCAATCTTAAATATGGAGGTCGATGGCCATAACCTTAGCTTGATACTGACCAGTGATGTATGGAGGACATGGGGTATTTCCCTCTCTTGCCCTGTATAAGCAATATCATAGAGAACCTTCATAGTGAATTATTAAGAGCATCAGTTACAGGGTTTGTGTAAAAAACCGGGTGACCGGGTACTTAATGTTCCTAGCAGGGTTAGGATTTTTTTTATTTACAATACGTTGGATCTGGACGATACGTGTACGTTATTTTCGACGTCACATCGTAAGAACTTTGACAACGTTAAAATGAACGGTAATGTCGGTAATGAACCAATTAAGTGAGAACATATTGAAGTCTTTGTAACGTTTCCTTAACTCACAAATAATTTGAAGCCACAATGTTGAAATTCAACCATCCATCGATGTTTTCACATATGGACCAATGTAGTAATAAATCAAACGTTCCTGTTTGTTATGTTTTCCACACTAACGAACTTTACGGATACGTTACAACAACGTTCTTTTTATACCATTAATAGACGTCTCATGTTTACGTTGCCTCGATGTGTAAAGAACGAAAATGTACAACGTCTTCTAGGAACTTATATGCTACTTATGAGCAATGTGACATGGACGTCAGTGTTTGCTGGATCGATTATTTTAATAAAGTGCTCTGTCTCGTATAGGGTAAAAATATCGAACAGCAGTGTACTCGGTAGGCTAAGTCTGTCAAGTCAAGTCGCTACTATATATCGGGGGAAATGTGGAACTTTGAAAGTTGGTAACCCTGCTAGGAACGTTAGGTACCCGGTCGACCGGGTACCCGGTTACCCGGTCACTCGGTTTTTACACAAACCCTCAGTTACATGTACGTGTTTTTCCATAAACATTAGATATTTGAAGATTATGACTACCCTTCCTTTATAGAAATGATATTCATATGAACATGTATGACAAATGCATAGCAATAATAATATTTTCAGGTTAAAAATACTACAGTTAAAAAAACCTGCCTATAAAAAAACGTATCCTGTTAAAGCACCAACATGGCTACAACAGCTTTAACGCCAATTGTGGACCCCTTCAGTGTGATATATTCTGGTGACACTTGCATCGAATACTATATTGAATACAGGAAAAGCTTCTGGGATGCAGACCAACTTTGGCTAGGTGTAGGGTTTCTGTTAGGATTGCTGATAGGTGCTGGTCTAGCTGTCGCAATAACCAAACTATGTATGAAGGATCTGCGAAAGAAGCGGGTAAAGTTTTATAACCTCTTCATGTTTTATTAATTTTGTTATATTAAGGAAATAAAAAATCCTGTCATTATTGAAAATTTTAAAGCATGAGTACATGCACTCACCCTTACCCATAATGCATGAGGGTCACTAGGAGCTCAAGTAAATTACCAGGATTGGCTCGTACATGCATGAATGCTTATAAGTTGTTCACAAAACCATGATGCAACTTAATGATGTCATTCTTACCAATAAAGGCACTGCTCAGTTCATTATGAAACCATAATGCACTGTGATGATGTCACTCTTTTACCAATAAAGGCACTGCTCAGTTCATTATGAAACCATAATGCACTGTGATGATGTCACTCTTTTACCAATAAAGGCACTGCTCAGTTCATTATGAAACCATAATGCACTGTGATGATGTCACTCTTTTACCAATAAAGGCACTGCTCAGTTCATTATGAAACCATAATGCACTGTGATGATGTGACTCTTTTACCAATAAAGGCACTGCTCAGTTCATTATGAAACCATAATGCACTGTGATGATGTCACTCTTTTACCAATAAAGGCACTGCTCAGTTCATTATGAAACCATAATGCACTGTGATGATGTCATTCTTACCAATAAAGGCACTGCTCAGTTCATTATGAAACCATAATGCACTGTGATGATGTCACTCTTTTACCAATAAAGGCACTGCTCAGTTCATTATGAAACCATAATGCACTGTGATGATGTCATTCTTTTACCAATAAAGGCACTGCTCAGTTCATTATGAATCCACCATGTACTGTAAATAATGTTTCTGCTCAGTTGACCATAAACCTTGAATTAATGCACTGGAATACTCTAAGCTGATTGGCTGAGACACACTTGGTATATCTGAATTAGCAATAGTATTCTGTTATAATAATTTATTGCATTGTATATAATATGGAGGGATGAGGCATGTGAGATGTCAAATCTCTTGAACCCCCCCCCCCCCCCCCCCCGGTCAAATCAGTAAATTTATAGTGTCAAAAATATAAACACCTAACAAAGCATGGAATAGATGCTTCTCTTCAGAGCTTTAAAATCAGCTTGCTATGAGAAAACTACAAACTCTTGTAATTCTGTTTATGCCTAATGTCTCAACATAGACGCATTTTAATTGTCAGAATCTGTTGATCTCCATTGGTTATGCAAACATGATCAATCATCGTAAATCAAGTCTATGATTATATATCTAATCAACCTTTGTTTGCTACATATTAAAAGTGATCTCATATTCATCAATCTTTTCTAAGTATAGTGTCAATGTTTTTGGTAGACTACATTTATATTGTAGAACATCAGATGCCATAATATGACACTTAAGGTGATTTACTTTATAATATGTGCTTTTTGTGGAGCCTCAAAGTAATGTAATGTTATCTTAGTCATACTGTATTTATATTTAATCATTGAATTGTGTAGATTTGGTCATACAATTTTGAATTTTATCATTCCACATAATTTTATTCATTTTGTGCCCTTACCTTCAAACACACCTTCCCCTAATAGGGAGAAGTAGATGGGAGGGGGTTCAGAGACGAAATGTACTATAACTATAATTTAACTCTACATTGGACTACATAAGTACATGTATATTCAGACAGATTTAAGAATTATTACAAGTATTCGTCTACTATAATCACCTTTTTGTTGTTGATTTAGTTATTGATGATCCATGCCTTATTGTAGAAGTTATTGATGATCCATGCCTTATTGTAGAAGTTATTGATGATCCATGCCTTATTGTAGATGCAAGACCAAGAAATGGCCATGATGAGGGCTAGAGGGATACCAATGCACCAGAAGAATAAAGCCATCTATGATTTTGAAAATGACAATGGAAAGGTGAGTCAGTTGTTACTCTCTGTCTGTGATCATTTTACTACAAAGTGATCTCACCAGCATTTAAGCAAGTGGGTGTGGCATCCACCTGAGATTTTAAAAACAGACTTGCAGCCTTGTAGCCGTCTTGCACCTTCCTGAAAATCCATTTGCACTCACTTGAAAATGAGAAAAATTATGAAAATGGGCATATTTTGACCAATTTTGGCCTGAATTGTGAAAATGAGAATTTTGCACCCGCTTGAGAAAAAATCCTTTGGAGAACACTGCTACATATAAGTCACATCCCTGGGTGTATGTAAAGCATACCAATTATAAAACATCCCTCATCTTAGATGCTAACAAATATTTATATAACAGTGATCGAGACATAACATAAGAGATGTATGAATTGTCACAATATTAAATGAAACAAGTGTAAATATCTTGAGATTTTTTAATAATGTACTTTTTCAGTTTTTGTCAATTTCTGTTTATTTGTCCAAAATATACATGCACTGTGCAGTAGCTCATATATTTTTATTATATACGTAGACTGTTGTGGAAGTTGAAGTGGAAGCATCAAGCGAAGAGAGTGATGATGACACAAAAAAGAAAAAGAAGAGGCCAAAGTCAAAGAAGAGAGGAAAGAGTGCCTTGAAGAAGAAGGTAAAGAAAGACCCTGATGCTGATAGTACATCAGTTGAGGACAACCATATTGAGGGCAGTGCAGATTCTGCAGGTGGTCTTGCTGAAGCTCTACTGCAGTCAAACAGGTAAGCCCAGACTGCTCTCAATTCTATGCTCTCAATTCTATGCTGTCAATTCTATGCTGTCAATTCTATGCTGTCCCTGTATAGTATGACATGTACATGTATACAGTAGATCTGCTGTAGTTACTGATATGAATTTAAATGAAAAGAAATTGGAGGAATTACCTGAAATATGTTGTTCTAGAAAATTCCTCTTGTGTTTGCAGTGATGCAGCCAACATGATTTTAGTGGGTTTGGATCTTGAAGCTCTCATGAAACTTGAAGGTCAACTCTGGCAGGAGAAAATAACAGTAAGTACTGTAGGATGGACCAATAAAAGTGGCAGGGGTACTGAATTGGGTATTTCCAAAACCATAGAATTGCTACTTTTACCAAACTTTAAAGTGTCCGGGGTATCGAATCAGCATTACCAAAACAACCATCGGAATGCTTTTTGTGTAGGCTACTCTTACCAAACTTGAATTCTACACACTTTTGCAGCAATCATGAAAATTCCATCTTCATAAATAAGAGCAGTAGGATGCATATTTATTGAATATCTCCTTATCATTCAAAAATATCTTTTATGCCTATAAATTAAAATGTATTGTAGTAATTCGCTTTTTCAGGCAGCAGTTTATGGGTTTACAACATCTCTTTCATTTTTCAGACATACATACAGACGCTTAAGATTCAACTGAATGCTCTATTCCGCGATGGCAAGATCACGGAAAGTTATTACAAGAATTTTATGACAAAAATTGAGTCAGATCTGAATTTAATAGCAAAAATTTGTCAGAGTGAGAAAGATGAAAAAGAAAAAGAATTGTTGGATAAAAAGGTAAGAAAAATATTCTACTTAAAAGCGAGTTTCTATTTTTAGATATATTAATTCACTTCTGCAACTGCATTGGTTAACAAATTACATACATATTTTCAATCAAGAATTTAGTGATTGGCTTTTTAAGAAAAGTGGATCTATTCTAACCCTTTTATTATGTCACCACCACAAGTGACGGCGGTCAGTGTCTGTAAAAATAGCAGGTGGTGATATTTTGCATGTTAATACCTTGTTTGAAAACTTGAGGGTCAATGTCTTTAATCTTTTTTTTCCAGAAATTAAAAGGTGATAAAATTTCATCTAAAGAGGCAGAAGAAATAGAGATTGCTTTAGCCAACCTCCATCCACAGTACGTTCAGAAACTGGTAAGTGCCCCATTTGAGATGGTATACTAGCACATTGAAATTGATGTGTAATAACAGCTTTAAAGTTATTGTCCTAAGTTTATCTTTTAGTTTTTCACAAAACACCATATTTCGAATATCTACCATATTTGCAATTGTCGCTAGTTTTTTTGTAAAACTTTGGCAATTGATTGTTTGTTTATTTTTGTTAACTAAACAGAATAAACTCACATATATAAAAAACACTTTGCAAAATAAGTGCAGTAGACTTTAATGTCACAAGAAGACAATATGTTAAAGGACTCAAATGATTTTGGAGTGATTTAAAGCATGAAGTTCTTGTATGGCAGCTTAAACCATATTACAGTGTTTAGTAATATCACAACTCACATTTGTGGGAATCTTAAGAAAATTATATTTGAATGTTAAATTGTTAAATCCTCCATGTGTTCAATTGATTTCTACTATTTTGATTTGTTTAAAGTGCACATTTTACGTATAATCACATGTTTCAGAATGATGAATTCCGTAAATTTGATGAGAAGATTCAGACTGAATTGACAAAGGATTCTGGTTTATCTGAGAAAGAGATTAATGCTATAATGGCAAAGTTGGCTCGTGACAAGGCAAGATGTGAGCAGGTTCTGGGAGATGAAAGAACAAGGCAAGCTGCGGTAAGTTTTGTTCAACCTTTTCAAATACTGCTAATGTTCGATCCATTAATGTCTATATCACATATCTCTTGAGTGTTGTAAAACAAAACAAGGACAAATGAAAAAAGATTGTACAAATTGCGAGTGAAATATTACTTGATTATTAAAAACAGTATAGAACAAAATGTCTCATGAAGTTCAAGCCACAATTCCTCTCCAAATTATTTGAAGAATGGTTGCTATTTTGAAAGTTACAGATATGAAACACGCAAATACCTTCTGGCAAAATGATTATAATCCATGATTCAATCATCATTTGAACTATAATATGTAACTTTATTGAGTCCTGACAAGTATGTAATATTTTATGAAATAATTTTACAAATGATTAAAATTTAAAGTCAATCATACAATTTGTCACCATAGCTGTTAGAAGAGAGAATCGCAAAGAGACGCCACCTTGCTGAGCTGACTAATATCAACAAACAACAGAATGAGGCTGAGGTTGATGTGAAGCTTGAGTCTCAAGAAGATATGGTTGGGGATCTAATTAAGGATGGCAAGTTGATGGAGAGACAGAAGGATGAGATTATGGAACAGTATGAGAGTGATCTGAGAAGGATACAGGAGACCCAAGAACAGAGTAAGCGCTATTTTTAACTTAATGTTGTATATTGTATAATGTTGTATATTGTATAATATAGGGATACATTCCAGTTTATTAGTTTCAATGCATGTATAAAATTAAGCATGAAGTCAGTATAATTTGATCTCTACAACATGTATCTACATTCACATTTAGCTTGTTAAACACTGTATTATTGGGAGACAATTTATCAGTGATAACCAGCAATGCATACAAGCTATAACACCTCTTTTGTTTTATTCTTACACCTTAAAGAATACATCTTATAGAATACATTCTTTATTACTTACCATTCACTGTATATATTAATTGTATTCTAGACATACTAACACAACAACAAAGTCTGGCAGAGAAGCTGAAGAAACATTAATATATCTTATAGAATACATATCTCATTACTTACCATTCACTGTTTATAATTTTATTCTAGACATACTAACACAACAACAAAGTCTGGCAGAGAAGCTGAAGAAACATTAATATATCTTATAGAATATATATCTCATTACTTACCATTCACTGTATATCATTGTATTCTAGACATACTAACACAACAACAAAGTCTGGCAGAGAAGCTGAAGAAACATCGCGAGGCGAAGCAGAAGAAATTGGAACAAAAGCACCTCAAAGAACAGGCCACTCTGAAGGAAAGTGTTGACAAGATGGTCAATACAGATGACTTCATAACAGCTTACCATGGATTGATTGACCAGCAGCGAATTGAACAAGATGATCTGCTTGGAGAGCTGGACCATAGAGAGGCGGAGGAGATACACAGGGCTAGAAAGGTAAACAAAGAATGAATGTATGAGGATTTACAATATATGCTGAATCGTTAGGGATGTCACAGATTCCCCATATTGTCCCATTCTTCAGGAAGTAAGTCTTGTGATGAGATAGATAAATAGAAATTGATCAATTTGGTTATGCAAGTTAAAGTTGAGTATCATTCTTGACATGCCATTTCTCAAACCCCATTTGACAAACCCTTCTCAATAAGATGTTCAACATATAATTGACTTTGAATGGCATAATGATGATACACATAAATATGAATGCCTTGTAGGAGGAGGAACAGTTTAGACAGGAGCAGTTTGAGAAGGCAGATGAGAAGCTTGGTGAATTACTTGAGAGCAAGGCTCAGTTAACTGAGAAAGAAGCTGCGTCCATCATGAGGAGACATCAACAACACATGGAGGATTATGAACGTAAGTCTAGTTTTTATCACTTTGACAACTTCAATCATTGGTTGGGAATAATAGGGGCAGTGATCTCCCCAGCATTAAAGCCTGAGATTTTGAAAGTAGGCTTGCACCCACCTGAAAATTCATGTGCACCCACTTGAAAATTGGAAAAATCATGAAAAATTGGCATATTTTGACCAATTTTGGTCTGAATTGTGAAAATTAGAATTTTGCAACCACCTGAGAAAAAATCCTAGGGAGATTACGAGGCATTACAACAGTTTTTTAACAAGTTTAATCCCATCATCGCAAGTGGCAAGGAGGGTAATGAGGATGAAAATCTAAATGTTCTTTTGTTCCTTTAAATTATATGCCATTGAATGATTTCAGGTAATAAGAAAGATGAGAAGAAGAGGATGAATGCATTACTGCAGGAGAAACTTGCTGCAAGGGCACAGAAACAGGAGGAGAACCAAGCCATGCATGATGCTCAACAGCAGGAGATCAAGCAACAACAAGAGGTTTCAATCAAGAAAGTTCTTGAAACACAGCTGGAACTCACAGATAGGTCAGTTTAGTGGGTCACAGTTAACACATTGAGTGATTTTTGAGTTTTACTCAGTTTGAGTTTTATCTCAAGGGGTGACATACTGTTATAGTTTCCAACTTTTTGTGACAGCGTTTGTCGTCCAGCCATCAGCATTCATTGTCTGTAATATTGAATATAAGTAATTAAAAATATAGAAAACAATTCACGCTTGGTCTTATTTATTCAAATATGTGGATGTGTGTTTTTGTTGCAGTGCTAAGGACAAGATTATGGCAGAACACGAGACAAACATGACGGCTCTCAACAACCAACTCTCAATGAGTAAACTCAGACAACAGAAACAGTGAGTAGTTTTTTTAGTTTTTAAAATTTTAAATATTTACAAACTTATGATATCAATGTGATACACAGTGTGTGTTAAAAAAGGATCAAGTTTATGTGAAAGTAAAAGAATAAATCAGTGAAGTATTGGAGTATAATATACAGCAGCGCTTGCATTAGGTTAGAAAATTTGTGAGTCCCAAGGACGCAATTTTTTAAAAAAAGTGTGTCCTTTGAAAAAAAGTGTGTCCCCTATTTCTAGCCTGTTTTGAGGTATAACTTTATTTTAAAAGCATTTTTTACCAAAACACCTTTCAGTTTTTGATTTCTTGCCGCAAATCTAAAACGGAAGTAAACGTTCAGTACGGACTGAATAAATGCATGTTCGTTCATTCGACAATGAATACATTTTATTTCATGAATAACCTAATATTTGTTTCTGAATAGGAAAAACTGTGGCGTGTCATGGTTTCAAATCTAAAACAAAAAACAAACAAAGTCGAAAAAATTCGAGAGAATCATGATTATTTGTAAATATTCAACATGTTGAGCCTTATTTACGATTCAAATAAAGGTGAGAGATCATAATTATTTGTTTTTGTTAGGTATCGTTGTAAACACATTGTAGTATTGACCTAAAAAAACTGCCTCCAAAAAACGGAAATATTTACGGGACGCCGTTAATGCAAGCCCTGATTATACATGTATACAATAGTAAACAATGAGTATAACAATACTCCCATTTATATTTGCATTACAGGAGTATATACTGATGTAAACTGTGTTCCACTGTTCAAGTTTATGTGAATGTTCCCTTCATTGCAAATGAGTCCAACAAAGCCAAAAGTGTTTTGATATCAATATTCCACGTAACTTTAGATTTTGGGATCATCACTTTGGCATGTATTTTATAATGCTTTTCCTTCTGGAAAATGATTGAATGAAACAGAGTGATAGGAGCTACAAAGAATGTTCATTGCATGCTTTGTATGTACGTATGATTGTACACATGTTTAATAATTGTTCTAATCCTTAGACTGGAACAAAAGCTGGCTGCACGCAAAGCAAAGCTAGCTGATCTGAAGCAAAAGCAAAAGGAGACCAAACAACAATCAAAAGAAATGAATGACAAAGAAAGGGATAAAATTCAAAAAGAACTGGTGAGTTAATGTATACATTTCCAACAATTTTGTGAGCAGTTGTTACTAGAATTCAGATTGCATTCACTAAACCATATTTACATTTCGTTACAGTAAAATTAAGATAATGTTGGCTGATTTGCAGCTCAGGCCTATTAAAAACCTTATCAACCTTTTTTGGTGTGTTACATTAAATTATTATTTTTTGCATGTGTAGGAGGCAAATATTGCTGAGGAAGAACAAAAAATGAATGATGAAAATGAGAATGCCAAAATTGCCTTCCGCAATCGCATCAATGAGGAAACAGAGAATGCTTTAAAGGCTCAGGAAAAACAGCTTATGATTTTAATTGGCAAATTACAGGTAAGGAATTCATGTCTTTGTGAAGATTAATCTAAGTTTGAATGGAGTAAAATTAAATATTTTAAAATATTAGTTAATGATATCTAGCGTGTTTATAATTTTTGAATTAATGATATCGAACATGTTATGCAATGACAAGGTTAAGAATTGATATCTTTACTTTTTATGTAATTACATATTGCTTATGTGGATTAGCTTTCAGCTAATGAGTAGTCATCTAGTTCAAGGTTTCAGGAGAATGTTTCTAATATTCCATGATTAATTTTTCAATGACAGATAGGGGCATCTAGAAGAGACAACATCATACAGAAGAATGATGCCACAATTAAAGAGCTGGAGGTAACACACACGGTGACATCTATCTGTGGAAAACCTTGACTTCTATCTGTTTGTTTTGATCCTTCTGATTAACCTATAACTCTTAAATTTCTTTTAAAGGATAGTGTCCCATTGTACTTGTACTACCCCACCCTGCACTCTACAATGTACCAATACACAAAATGTTAATCTTTCAGCAGGAAGCAAGTATATCCCTTGGAAGATATACTGACATTATCTCACTTTGGCCTGCTATACTTTATAAGTCACAAGTGGGCTCATTCAATATTTGGTTCGGGATGGCTTTTTAAACTTTACCATCTTGAACACCATTTGGCCAATGCAACCTGTTTTTCACAAACAAATTCTTTTTTGGCACTGAAATTAAAACTCCTTTCCCAGTTGAAAACTTATTTAGACATGCCTTGACAAATCTGCAATATCTTCCAGCAAACATTTTCTTCAATTCTACTTTTGAGAAAAAGAAACACTAAATTGTTAATATAATGAGTTCATTATCCCATTGGCCCAGTTGTCACCTTAAATGGCATTCAATGGCAAAATATATTTCTTACCAAATATTAGGTCATCCCACTTGTCACTTGTAAAGCTTAGATATATACAGGCTTAGCACTGTTAACATACATTTACTTGTCCTACAATTCTTTCTGCATCTTAGTCCATATAGATTATTATCCAATATGGCTACTTTACTCTCAATCTTCTACATTCTTGAACCTTGAATGTAAAACATTCCCTATAGTCTACTACTATTGTAATATTTGGCATATTTCTGATTCATTGACAAAGTAAACACAATGAGCTCACACAACTCAAACCCATCACCTTTTTACTAATGGGAAAGTGAGGCCTCTGCTCTCAGAAATACCTGTCAAATATTACCTGCACTAATGTCTCGATCATCTATTATGTTAACCCTCTGTCTATGCTAACCACTGGGTGATATGTGTTCTTTAGATTGGTGCTGTAAGGCGCAGCAATATAATTGAACACCAGGAAAAGATACTCAGGACACTGGAGGTACAGTAAGCATACTATCCACATATATGAATGTATAGTAGATCCATATATGCATACTTTCCACATATATGATTGTATAGTAGATCCATATATGCACACTATCCACATATATGAAAGTATAGTAGATACATATATGCACACTATCCACATATATGAATGTTTTGTAGATCCATATATGCACACTATCCACATATATGAAAGTATAGTAGATACATATATGCACACTATCCACATATATGAATGTATAGTAGATCCATATATGCATACTATCCACATATATGAATGTACAGTAGATCCATATACAGGGTGATCCAGAAGTAACGTCAAAGATGTTGTAATTTCAAAAGTATTCATCAGATCTTCATGAAATTTGGTATACATGTACCCACAACATTTCTGAGTTACCATCTCAAAGATTGGAATTCAATCATTTCATTGGTTGAAATTATGGTTGCTATAGTAACCCGATATCGCGTAACCCGGGGCAAATTACTTAACGTGTAATGCGTAATCTCAAAATATCAACAAGATCTGAAATTGTTATATCCTCAACATTTTATTTCACAACAATATATTGCACAGTTACTAATAATAGTTCATTCTACATAATTGCCACCATTTGCAACACATTTCTCATGTCTGGATACCCATTCCTTGAACACAGAATTAAATCCATTAGAACTCATTCCTTGTAGGGCTAGTACTACGGCATTTTTCAATTCCTCACAGGATTGAAAATTATTTCCACTAAGGTTTCATTTTAGTTCCCCATACAAATAAAAGTCACTGGGGGCAAGATCAGGTGAATAAGGGGCATGTTCAAGTTGTTGAAATCCAAGTGTTTGGACTGTGTTGCTGGTCAGGATTGCAGTGTGCGTAGGGGCATTGTCCCAATGCAAGATAAACTGCTGCAGATGTCCGGGACGCTTTTTCCTCAGGGAACGTTGAAGATCACGCTTCAGAACCTGAAAAACAAATGTTTAATGGTTGTTAAACCAGTTGTTTCATTGATTGGATTTGGATTTGAATCATGGCCATGGAGTTATAATTATATTGACAGTGAACAACATTTAAATACTTTAATTTAAAAATAAAATTCACAGTATGATGTATTATTAGAACAAATGATATCTTACCTTTGCAATGTAAACGGCATTAATTCTCTGGCCAATGGGAACAAAATGGGTTAACACCATTCCTCTAATGTCAAAGAATGTCACAACCATTTGTTTCTTTTGTGGAATTCCTGGTACTATTTTAGGCTTGGTTGGTGTTGGGGAGTTGTCATGTTTCCACGATGAACTTTGTTGCGTGGTCTCTGGGATGTAGAATGATAGCAATGATTCGTCACTCGTAATGATCTTGTTAAGAAAGTCATCTCCATCTCTCCGATATTTTGCAAGAAAGTCCCTTGAAGCCTTAACACGCCGGTCTTTCTGCTCCTGTGTCAAGTCATGCGGCACCCATTTAGCAGACACCTTCTTTAACAGACAGTTCTTTGTCAGTATCCGTTGCACAGTCCCATAGCTCAGATCGTGTTTTTCAGCCAATTCTCTGATAGAAATTTGCCTATTGTCCATAACATCAGCTTCAATTGCTTTGATGGTTTGATCATCGAATGACGACACTGGCCTGCCTCCTCGCTGCTTGTCTACCACTTCATCATATCCACTGGAATACTTGTTAAACCACCTGTAAATGTTTCTCTCAGCAATGGCAGCTTTACCATATGCCTTCTTTATCTGTCTTATAGTCTCTTTTACACCTTTCCCCAACTTTACACAGAACTTAATGTTTGTTCTTTGCTCTATTTTACTCTGACTTGGCGCCATCTTGAATTGGGTGGGTTAGTGTCCTTGGTCATGTTAGTATTTGTCATGGATGATGGAAGCAATTCAAAGAAATTGAAAGCTTTTTATGAATGCCTATTGTGACATCACAACTATTACATATTTGTTACCATGGCAACAAATATAAAAATCATAGAAAACAAACAATGAACATGTTCAAATGTTACTGACTTTTTAAATTAGAGAAATTCACAAAAACGTTATGGTTTCTCTTCAATTTGCCCCGGGTTACGCGATATCGGGTTACTATAGCAACCATAATTTCAACCAATGAAATGATTGAATTCCAATCTTTGAGATGGTAACTCAGAAATGTTGTGGGTACATGTATACCAAATTTCATGAAGATCTGATGAATACTTTTGAAATTACAATGTCTTTGACGTTACTTCTGGATCACCCTGTATGCACACTATCCACATATATGAATGTACAGTAGATCCATATATGCATACTATCCACATATATGAATGTATAGTAGATCCATATATGCACACTATCCACATATATGAATGTACAGTAGATCCATATATGCATACTATCCACATATAAGTATGTATAGTAGATCCATATATGCACACTATCCACATATATGAATGTACAGTAGATCCATATATGCACACTATCCACATATATGAATGTACAGTAGATCCATATATGCATACTATCCACATATATGAATGTATAGTAGATCCATATATGCATACTTTCAACATATATGAATGTACAGTAGATCCATATATGCACACTATCCACATATATGAATGTATAGTAGATCCATATATGCATACTATCAACATATATGAATGTATAGTAGATCCACATATGCATACTATCCACATATATGAATGTATAGTAGATCCATATATGCATACTATCCACATATATGAATGTATAGTAGATCCATATATGCATACTATCCACATATATGAATGTATAGTAGATCCATATATGCATACTATCCACATATATGAATGTATAGTAGATCCATATATGCATACTATCCACATATATGAATGTATAGTAGATCCATATATGCATACTATCCACATATATGAATGTACAGTAGATCCATATATGCATACTTTCCACATATATGAATGTACAGTAGATCCATATATGCATACTATCCACATATAAGTATGTATAGTAGATCCATATATGCACACTATCCACATATATGAATGTACAGTAGATCCATATATGCACACTATCCACATATATGAATGTATAGTAGATCCATATATGCATACTATCCACATATATGAATGTATAGTAGATCCATATATGCACACTATCCACATATATGAATGTATAGTAGATCCATATATGCATACTATCCACATATATGAATGTATAGTAGATCCATATATGCATACTATCCACATATATGAATGTATAGTAGATCCATATATGCACACTATCCACATATATGAATGTATAGTAGATCCATATATGCATACTATCCACATATATGAATGTATAGTAGATCCATATATGCATACTATCCACATATAAGTATGTATAGTAGATCCATATATGCACACTATCCACATATATGAATGTATAGTAGATCCATATATGCACACTATCCACATATATGAATGTATAGTAGATCCATATATGCACACTATCCACATATATGAATGTATAGTAGATCCATATATGCATACTATCCACATATATGAATGTATAGTAGATCCTTACATGCACACTATCCACATATATGAATGTATAGTAGATCCATATATGCACACTATCCACATATATGAATGTATAGTAGATCCATATATGCACACTATCCACATATATGAATGTATAGTAGATCCATATATGCATACTATCCACATATATGAATGTATAGTAGATCCATATATGCATACTATCAACATATATGAATGTATAGTAGATCCATATATGCACACTATCCACATATATGAATGTATAGTAGATCCACATATGCACACTATCCACATATATGAATGTATAGTAGATCCATATATGCATACTATCCACATATATGAATGTATAGTAGATCCATATATGCACACTATCCACATATATGAATGTATAGTAGATCCATATATGCATACTATCCACATATATGAATGTTTTGTAGATCCATATATGCATACTATCAACATATATGAATGTATAGTAGATCGATATATGCATATTATCTACATATATGAATGTATAGTAGATCCATATATGCATGCCATCCACATATATGAATGTATAGTAGATCCATATATGCATACTATCCACATATATGAAAGTATAGTAGATCCACATATGCACACTATCCACATATATGAATGTATAGTAGATCCATATATGCATGCCATCCACATATATGAATGTATAGTAGATCCATATATGCATACTATCCACATATATGAATGTATAGTAGATCCACATATGCACACTATCCACATATATGAATGTATAGTAGATCCATATATGCATACTATCCACATATATGAATGTATAGTAGATCCACATATGCACACTATCCACATATATGAATGTATAGTAGATCCATATATGCACACTATCCACATATATGAATGTATAGTAGATCCATATATGCACACTATTCACATATATGAAATAATGAATGTATATTAGATCCATATATGCATACTATCCACATATATGAATGTATAGTAGATCCATATATGCATGCCATCCACATATATGAATGTATAGTAGATCCATATATGCATACTATCCACATATATGAATGTATAGTAGATCCACATATGCACACTATCCACATATATGAATGTATAGTAGATCCATATATGCATACTATCCACATATATGAATGTATAGTAGATCCACATATGCACACTATCCACATATATGAATGTATAGTAGATCCATATATGCATACTATCCACATATATGAATGTATAGTAGATCCATATATGCATACTATCCACATATATGAATGTATAGTAGATCCATATATGCACACTATCCACATATATGAATGTATAGTAGATCCACATATGCACACTATCCACATATATGAATGTATAGTAGATCCATATATGCATACTATCCACATATATGAATGTATAGTAGATCCATATATGCACACTATCCACATATATGAATGTATAGTAGATCCATATATGCATACTATCCACATATATGAATGTATAGTAGATCCATACATGCACACTATCCACATATATGAATGTATAGTAGATCCATATATGCACACTATCCACATATATGAATGTATAGTAGATCCATATATGCACACTATCCACATATATGAATGTATAGTAGATCCATATATGCATACTATCCACATATATGAATGTATAGTAGATCCATATATGCATACTATCCACATATATGAATGTATAGTAGATCCATATATGCACACTATCCACATATATGAATGTATAGTAGATCCATATATGCATACTATCCACATATATGAATGTATAGTAGATCCATATATGCACACTATCCACATATATGAATGTATAGTAGATCCATATATGCATACTATCCACATATATGAATGTATAGTAGATCCATATATGCATACTATCCACATATATGAATGTATAGTAGATCCATATATGCACACTATCCACATATATGAATGTATAGTAGATCCATATATGCATACTATCCACATATATGAATGTATAGTAGATCCATATATGCATACTATCCACATATAAGTATGTATAGTAGATCCATATATGCACACTATCCACATATATGAATGTATAGTAGATCCATATATGCACACTATCCACATATATGAATGTATAGTAGATCCATATATGCACACTATCCACATATATGAATGTATAGTAGATCCATATATGCATACTATCCACATATATGAATGTATAGTAGATCCTTACATGCACACTATCCACATATATGAATGTATAGTAGATCCATATATGCACACTATCCACATATATGAATGTATAGTAGATCCATATATGCACACTATCCACATATATGAATGTATAGTAGATCCATATATGCACACTATCCACATATATGAATGTATAGTAGATCCATATATGCATACTATCCACATATATGAATGTATAGTAGATCGATATATGCATGCCATCCACATATATGAATGTATAGTAGATCGATATATGCATGCCATCCACATGTATGGATGTTTAGTGGATCTATTGTAACTTTTGCATCACTAAGCTTGAAAAAGTATATAAACAGTTTTTAGGCATTCATGTGTATTATTATGATCTTTTTATTTTATTTTGAACGGTATGATATAAAAGTAATACCTGCATTATAAGTGATCATTTTGTTGATTGTTGTGTTTATCTAAAGTTGAATAGAATGTATTTCGGATTGTTGTCAACACTGTTGTACATGTCTGTGTTAGTGATGACTATTGTCAATGATGACTATTGTTAATGATGAATATTGTCAGTGATGACTATTGTCAAATGATGACTATTGTTAATGATGAATATTGTTAATGATGAATATTGTCAGTGATGACTATTGTCAAATGATGACTATTGTTAATGATGAATATTGTTAATGATGACTATTGTCAGTGATGACTATTGTCAAATGATGACTATTGTTAATGATGAATATTGTCAATGATGACTATTGTCTATGATGACTATTGTTAATGATGAATATTGTCAGTGATGACTATTGTCAAATGATGACTATTGTTAATGATGAATATTGTCAGTGATGACTATTGTGAGTGATGACTATTTGATGATTATTGTCAATGATGACTGTCTCAATGATGAAATTGCAGGACAAGATGGCTAGCAAGGTTGCAGAGGGAGGGGTGAAGGGTAACAAGGTTGATTTGCTCCTAGAGCAACATGAGAATCAAACAGAGCAACTCACTGAACATTTGAACACTCAGAAACAACGGCAGGAACAGATTCTCAGGGAGAGGATTGAGCAGAAAAAATTGAAACGAGAAAGGTGAAAATTTGTAATAACCTATTACCTAAGAGAGTATTATTAAAATAGAGGAAATAAATAAAGCAGTCTGATTGCCATATACCTCTGATTGCTTCTCTCGGGAATACACATTCTCTACATTTTAGTCATAGATATTTCAAGACATGCAGACATTTAGGTTTTCACAATAAAGAATTATCTGAAAATATCTTTAGGGAAGTTGAAGTTCAGTTGGAAGAAGAAGCCAGGGAAGATTGGGAGGCACAGAAACGCAGAGGAGCAGGGTGAGTGTTTTCAATCGATACAATTAATAGCAAACAAGATAAGGACGTTTTTTGTTCATTTCGCACAATTGTGCTACTGTAGCTCCCGTAAGATGAGGATAAATTAAGTCGCTCTCATATATCTGCCACTGTAATAGCTCATGAGGTATTATATAACGCCAACTCTCTCATATAAGGACACTTGATCCACAAATGACTCCAGTAGAGTTCAACAGGGATGTTTGGATAATGCACCAAAGTATGATGACAACACATTGATGATCATCATGAGATGTAGTCATAGACATAATAAATGCAAGTTGGCTATTTCAACAGGGATGTTTGGATAATGCACCAAAGTATGATGACAACACATTGATGATCATCATGAGATGTAGTCATAGACATAATAAATACAAGTTGGCTGTTTGTGTTTGCAGAGTGGCGACATCTATATTGAGCCAGCACTTATTGGACCAAAGACACAAGAAAGCCATGGGAGACTTGGAGACTGAGATGAAATATGAAATGCAGAAACATAAAGATGAGCTCAACAGGGAGCTAGAACATGAGCTCCAAGCTGAACTAGATGTAAGTCCTCATCCAGTTAATGATTAGTTAGGTGCTACTGAATGATTTTTATCGCGTCCTTGGGTGCTATATTGTGATCATTTTTTATTGATATTATTCGATGAGGGGTCTCTGAGGAAAATTCAAATAAGACTGAAAATTCAGTTTGTAGTATGTGTCACATTACATTTGAGAAAATGTCACATTGAATTTGTGTGTATGTCACTTTGAATTTGTGTGTTTGTCACATTGAATTTATGTGTATGTCACATTGAATTTGTGTGTATGTTCCAGGCTCAGAAGAAGACTTTCCTAGCTCAGTTAGCTACTCTTGGTCACCTCAGTAAAGATGACATCAATGAAGTAGTAAACTCAGCTGTCACTGATACTGGAGCTGATGAAGACACAGCCAAGCTGCTGGCAAAGGAACTCAGGGTTGAAATGAAGAAAGCAAAGACATCACTGGGATTTGAGAATGATGAGAAATATAGTATGTTATTTGCACATTGTTTGTTCTCGTGTAATACTATGCCATTTTTCAGAATCTATTATTTTAGAAGTCTCATACAGTGTATTCATAATCAATTAAATCTAGTGGGTGGGTGGCCCCATTTCATCATCTAAGAAGTGTCAATGGAGTCAGCAATTTTTCTCTCTTTCTTATAGATAAATGCCTTCTTCAAATTGCGACGTCTATTGTAATGTCAGAATTGCATGGAGGACCACCTATTATGTTTTGAAGCTTGATTTAATAGTATCTTAATATTTTGAAGTAGCTCTATAAGAAACTCAATTTTCTCTCATATACTGATATAATCAGAACAAGTTAAATGTATGTGTGGTCAACTGAAAGAATCTTGTGATTAAATGTAAACCTTATATCTACTTCAGAAGGTGATAGAAGCAGACGACCCAACAGTGCAAAGCAGCAATATGACAATGAGGCATTTGATGAAGAAGAGGAGGACCAGGTCCAACGACCAAAGAGTGGCTTTAGGAAGAAAAAGAAAGGATTTATGACATAATAGGACTGGATTATTGGCTCAAGGAAGAATTAGTGATAAACATAACGTGATAATCATAATGTGATAAAAACTGATATTAAGTGTCTTGCAGTATTGCCTCATATATGGAGGGAAAGATAATATACTAGATGTAGTATTTAAAATCATCCATCAAGAACTAATCATTCTGATATCTAGATCTCATCATGATATCTAAATTCATCATCATATTTTATAAAACTGTCATCATGATAACCAGAGCTATAGGAAGTGATGATGTAGCCCATTCGACACATTCCAAATCTTTTCATGTTGATTTTAGTGAGTAAAGATGGAGGATAGGCTTGTTGTTCCATATAGATGAGATATTGTAGTGTACCCAGTCAATTTTATTTTATTCTCATGTACATTGTTATTGTTAATGCCAAATGGAGAGAAAGCGAGAAAGCAACTTATTATATGTTGATACATGCCAAACAGCCTCCTCTGAAAGCAGGAAGTCAGATCAAGAATCTATTTTATTAATTCATACTCTCAGAAGATTATTGATAGCTTGGTATAAGTGTTTTGTACAGTGTACTTGTGAGAGTTTCTTAAGCCATATATGTATATGATTGAGCATCTACTCTCAGGATCCATGATATATCAAAATGGCTGAATATATGCCAATATGAAATTGTCATTTTTGGATTTTCATCTTGAATCCACTGGATTCAAGTCTCAGTTTTTGTTCAGACATGTTTGGATTCACTTTCATTATGGGAATTAAATTACACCAATATACATCAACAAATAACTCAAGAATGAAAATGATTTCTTAAATCTTATTTTGACAGTAATTAACTATTACATGGGGGGGTTCAATTTCCACAGGGTGGACTGACTTTTTCACGTCAGCCCATATATAGTTTCATTTCATTTCTTGAGGACAACATTTTATAATCGTCTCATTAGATTCAATAAATCAAATATTCACTCAGTTAATGTTCATCAAGTTTAATACAAGAGCATGGTGAAGTTTTATGTGATAATGTCACATTGGCACTTTTATTTTGAAAGGTAAATATTATACATAGTATGAAGTAGTATGACTTCAGTGTGTTTAACAGTCTGTGATATTTTTTATATTTACATGTATTAAAATGAAACAAGATTTTGTATATACATACTCTTTATTATTTAATAAATAAAGAATAACATTACAATTAGTCCTGTCTTTAAAGGGACTCAATAAAATTAGCTACGTTGACCAGTGTTTACATTTTCGGATTAGAAGGGTTTATTCGTTATGAAGGGGTGTATAAATTGAACATTTCGTGCACTACAAAATAATTCTCAGTTTTCCTAAATGCTTGCAACTTGACTGTCTCGTTGCTTCCGTTATCCTAATTGATCCGTTGGTCTGTTGACAGAATTGCCGCCTCGGGTGCGGCAGGTCGCCAGTTCGATTCCTGAAGATATTTATCTGTTTCTTTTACTTCTTTTGATTGTAGGCTCATTTGTTATTACCCAGAAATAAACAAGTATCATAGTACAGGGTGGTCAAAAAAATGGAAACCCTATTACCATTTTCCTCATATCTTTGTTATTTTAAAAAATAACTCCTTTATATTTTACACTTTTGTACATCATTCAATTTGCTACCAGCCTACCTTATTTCATAACCATCAGATTGATAGTCACAATGTTACAGTACTTTAAAGAACATGCCCAGTGGCCACTATTGCGTTGTGGGGAAACCTGTACTCATCGTCCAAAATGTCCCTACCTGTGGGGATATGGCAGAGATAGAGTATATGAGAATGACCTCAGGACAATTGTGAACCTCAAAAGTGAGATCATCTGTTTCATTCAGGCCATACCTGCTGAGGAATGCATTCAGCTCATTGACAACTGTGCTGTTTTGCCTACAGCGCGATAATGGTCAAATCTGAAGCATGTTATTCAAAGTGCTGTAAGATTGTGACTATCAGTCTGATGGTCATGAAATATGGTAGGGTGGTAGGAAATTGAATGATGTACAAATGTGTGAAATATCAGGGAGTAATTCCTTAAATTGACAAAGATATAAGGAAAATGCAGGGTTTCCATTTTTTTGACCACCCTGTACTATTATCTTTTTTTGGCTCACCCTGAATATGCTTGGGATGGGTGCAGATATGTTTTATTAGCCTCGGGATAATCCAAATACATTGAACCTCATATATTATAATCTTTATGTATTCAGTTTTCTACAAGTTGTATAGAACAGACACATCATATATTTATTAGTTTTCCATCAAGGGATTCTGTATTTATTTTATCATTCTATTCAAAAATTACAGTACTGCATTTAGTGGAGTAGCATGTATAATATCAAATGCACAAATAAGACTAAAATCAATTTTTTAATAGACAGGAGATATAGCCGCTGCAAATCAATCAAATAATTCATTCAGAACTTCAGTGTCCATTTCGTCTTGTCCTTGCCCAACTGATGAAGGTGGCGATACTCTAGCTTCATAAGTCCATTTTGGATACATACGTTTATAGAGATTCATTAAAACAGTATCCTGAGACTTCATTTGACCATCAAACACACACTTCATGTGTCCATGTGTACCTGAAAAAAAGAAGAAAAACGAAATAAAATACTATCAAAATCTCAAATATTAATTTAAACAAATATCAAATCAAGACATTTTTCACTAGCTAGTGCTACATTTACAAAGATGCGGTTTAAATATAAAAATAATAATTTGGTGAAAGATAATTTTTCCCTTCTAGCCCTTCTACAACATTTATATTTACCTAGTGGCATCTTGATATGACCCCTTCTATACAACATTTATATTTACCTAGTGGCATCTTGATATGACCCCTTCTATACAACATTTATATTTACCTAGTGGCATCTTGATATGACCCCTTCTATACAACATTTATATTTACCTAGTGGCATCTTGATATGACCCCTTCTATACAACATTTATATTTACCTAGTGGCATCTTGATATGACCCCTTCTATACTACATTTATATTTACCTAGTGGCATCTTGATATGACCCCTTCTATACTTCATTTATATTTACCTAGTGGCATCTTGATATGACCCCTTCTATACTTCATTTATATTTACCTAGTGGCATCTTGATATGACCCATTCTATACTACATTTATATTTACCTAGTGGCATCTTGATATGACCCCTTCTATACAACATTTATATTTACCTAGTGGCATCTTGATATGACCCCTTCTTTACAACATTTATATTTACCTAGTGGCATCTTGATATGACCCCTTCTATACAACATTTATATTTACCTAGTGGCATCTTGATATGACCCCTTCTATACTTCATTTATATTTACCTAGTGGCATCTTGATATGACCCCTTCTATACTTCATTTATATTTACCTAGTGGCATCTTGATATGACCCCTTCTATACAACATTTATATTTACCTAGTGGCATCTTGATATGACCCATTCTATACTACATTTATATTTACCTAGTGGCATCTTGATATGACCCATTCTATACTACATTTATATTTACCTAGTGGCATCTTGATATGACCCCTTCTATACTTCATTTATATTTACCCAGTGGCATCTTGATATGACCCCTTCTATACAACATTTATATTTACCTAGTGGCATCTTGATATGACCCCTTCTATACTATATTTATATTTACCTAGTGGCATCTTGATATGACCCCTTCTACAACATTTATATTTACCTAGTGGCATCTTGATATGACCCCTTCTATACTACATTTATAGTTACCTAGTGGCATCTTGATATGACCCCTTCTATACAACATTTATATTTACCTAGTGGCATCTTGATATGACCCCTTCTATACTATATTTATATTTACCTAGTGGCATCTTGATATGACCCCTTCTACAACATTTATATTTACCTAGTGGCATCTTGATATGACCCCTTCTATACTACATTTATAGTTACCTAGTGGCATCTTGATATGACCCCTTCTATACAACATTTATATTTACCTAGTGGCATCTTGATATGACCCCTTCTACTACATTTATATTTACCTAGCGGCATCTTGATATGACCCCTTCTATACTACATTTATATTTACCTAGTGGCATCTTGATATGACCCCTTCTATACTACATTTATATTTACCTAGTGGCATCTTGATATGACCCCTTCTATACTATATTTATATTTACCTAGTGGCATCTTGATATGACCCCTTCTACAACATTTATATTTACCTAGTGGCATCTTGATATGACCCCTTCTATACTACATTTATAGTTACCTAGTGGCATCTTGATATGACCCCTTCTATACAACATTTATATTTACCTAGTGGCATCTTGATATGACCCCTTCTACTACATTTATATTTACCTAGCGGCATCTTGATATGACCCCTTCTATACTACATTTATATTTACCTAGTGGCATCTTGATATGACCCCTTCTATACTACATTTATAGTTACCTAGTGGCATCTTGATATGACCCCTTCTATACAACATTTATATTTACCTAGTGGCATCTTGATATGACCCCTTCTATACTACATTTATATTTACCTAGTGGCATCTTGATATGACCCCTTCTATACTATATTTATATTTACCTAGTGGCATCTTGATATGACCCCTTCTACAACATTTATATTTACCTAGTGGCATCTTGATATGACCCCTTCTATACTACATTTATAGTTACCTAGTGGCATCTTGATATGACCCCTTCTATACAACATTTATATTTACCTAGTGGCATCTTGATATGACCCCTTCTACTACATTTATATTTACCTAGCGGCATCTTGATATGACCCCTTCTATACTACATTTATATTTACCTAGTGGCATCTTGATATGACCCCTTCTATACTACATTTATAGTTACCTAGTGGCATCTTGATATGACCCCTTCTATACAACATTTATATTTACCTAGTGGCATCTTGATATGACCCCTTCTATACTACATTTATATTTACCTAGTGGCATCTTGATATGACCCCTTCTATACTACATTTATATTTACCTAGTGGCATCTTGATATGACCCCTTCTATACTACATTTATATTTACCTAGTGGCATCTTGATATGACCCCTTCTACCATGCTTGGTGCGTAGCTCAACTGGTTTGAACCAAAGTATGTCCTCTGAAACATAAATAAAAATTTTGTCAAGTTTTTTCTCATAAGATAAACAAACAAGGCATTATAATGGACAATGTCATCACCTGCCATTTGTTACAGACACCGACTGCCAAACACCATCCACAAAAAAGTTTCAATTCTAATATGATATAAGTATCTTGATTACATTAAGAATGTTTTAATGATTAAATAGGCAAATGTATATAAAGTGAATTTTCACCTCTGTTGAAGAACATATATCTAACAGTGGCTGTCCTCTTGTTAATCTTGAATGGGTGGCCACTGAGGATGAGACGCTTGGAGATGATGCGGTCTGGATTCACAGAAAGAACACTGCCTGTGGCTACCATATCTTGGCTACCTGCAATTATATGAAGGTATATATAAATGTTTGAAGAAAGAAGTAGGCTAGAAGTTGTTCTATAAGCCAAGAATCAGGATATAATTCAAGGTAATAGGCTATAGATTTATACTTACCATCACTATTGGCTTTGAACATTAGCACCGGGGCAGATGGGAAAGCAATTGGAGCAAACACAGTGGCAACATCCAAGATATAATTCAAGGTAATAGGCTATAGATTTATACTTACCATCACTATTGGCTTTGAACATTAGCACCGGGGCAGATGGGAAAGTGATTGGCGCAAACACAGTGGCAACATCCAAGATATAATTCAAGGTAATAGGCTATAGATTTATACTTACCATCACTATTGGCTTTGAACATTAGCACCGGGGCAGATAAGAAAGTGATTGGAGCGAACACAGTGGCAACATCCAAGATATAATTCAAGGTAATAGGCTATAGATTTATACGTAATAGGCTATAGGTTTATACTTACCATCACTATTGGCTTTGAACATTAGCACCGGGGCAGATGGGAAAGTGATTGGAGCGAACACAGTGGCAACAGCCATCCCTTCATTGGGCAACCACCTATCAAACTGGAAATAAAGCATTTCAATTAACAATTACTTTTCATGTTTGATCATTTAGCATTGACCTACCAAGCATTTAGACCAACCAGGTGGTGCACCTTTTAAAAAAAATTGAAAATCACTTTTATTTGCAGGTTGAAGCATTGAGATATTTTGACCAAATCAAGTAACATTGGAATCGAGTACCCTAATGAGAAAATGTCACTGATTGTATACATTCAAATATCCAAATATTTCAATGATTTCAAAATTCCAAAATAAATTGACTCAAGTTACATCACAAACACTTGATCACCTACCTTATGCTTACTACCATTAGTATGCTCTGAATATATGGGACAAGCTGAGAAGCGTCTAAATCCTACATGGAAGATCATCCTTTCCTTGGATTTGATTGGTTCATTGTAGCTATGGTGACGCTTAACAATAAAATGCATGACTGACATCTTTTGCTCATGAGGTAGTAATCCATACACAACTGCAGGGCTGTCACTGGAGCGACTGGCTGTAATGGAAATATGAGGGGTTAGGAATACATGTGGTTATCAACCACAGGGTAATTAGTTTCTGTCCTCAAGACTCCTTATGATCAATGAGTCTTGAATAAATTAAGTTAATTAGATGTAGATGTGACGCTACGCTAGCAACAACATCAAGAAAAAAATTCAAAATCCACAAATATGTTTTTATTAAAAAGGAAGTAGATAGATGTCACCACTAACACCAGAAATAATATTGTGTAAAATTCTAAAAAATCAGTAGTAATTTCATTCAGAAGAATTATGTGTGAAGAAAATATATAACAAACCCATATATTCTGCAGGTACTCCCTCTATATGTAACCTCACATACCAGCCAGGCTAAAATGACAACATAACATCACATTTTAATTTTAGTAAATGTACATAGTTCAAAACATTTCTTTGATCACACATTCTTAGCAAACAACTTAGGAGCCAATGGTAAGCACCTTGTAGAAAAAATGGACATTTCCCAAAAAATAAAATGCATTCAAAATATGGTAAGACTGCGATACAAATGTTATCAAATGAGACCATGACATCATTACTGAACAGAAAATTGACCATTATTATTATTAACACTTATGAGATTATACTATTCATAACAGGCCCGTAGCCAGGATTTGCCAAGGGGGGTCGCTTTTTGAAAAATTCCAGGGGGGGTTCACATCTGACAATTTTGGTCCAAAAATGGCCAAAAGCACTTAAAAAGTGCTCAGAATGGTGAAAAACTGCATAATTTTGAAAGATCGCTCGAACCCCCCTGGCTACGGGCCTGCTTAAGGTTTATGGGTATAATATCTATAAACTCTAGCCTCTGTACTCCACAAATAAAATGATGATTTTGTATTATTTCTATACCATAGCTCCAGAATCTCTGTCTTCTTTTAGAATCCTCTTCTTGGTTGCAGTGAAATTTTCAAACTGGAATATCCTAGCATAGTCTGTCGGTAGGTTCTCTTTTGGATCCCACACTGACGTCCTGAAGCTTTTTAATCCTCTAAATCTAAAACATATATATTTATTCCTCCATAAAGCAACTCCTCTATTGGAATTTTATCCCCAACCCACATGTATAAAGATCCATAGAAAACATTTTACTTGAGCAAAATATTTCGATATTTAACCCAGTGCAATATAGACCTTTTATGTGCAAGCAATTCCTTTCAAAAAATATTTCATTCACCTTGAATTGAGTAAAATTCATTCTGCAAAATCTGAAAAATGCTTTGACGACTCCAGTGTCAATAATGTCAACCCTTGGTTATGCAATAACTCAAGCTATTCAAGATTTAGAGAATTTGTACCTTTGAAATCTGACCCTAGCAGGCGTGTCTATTGGGGTGTCAACTTCATCTGGAAACATCTGGTCCTGCCTTGCATCCTTGTACTTGGCAAGCCTGCAATATAAAAATATATATAAACACAGAGTATGCAACAGAGCACCAAGTCAAGCACAAGAACATGCATGCAAACACAATGTGACACATATGTAATATCAATTAGTATAGCATAACTAAAAAATGATGCTTAAAATATAATGAGGATTATGAAGTATTCCTAATTAAGTAATCAAACTATATTTAAATTGAGACTCTTATTTTGAAAGAAAGTGATAACCAAGCAGCAACCTTTATTTATGAAATAAATTATTTGATGAATATAATCAACATACATCTACGAAATAAAATACAAAATGCAGAGTGTCCATGACGATAATAAATAACAAAACAACGTGAACATTTTAGTTAGTACTTTTAGGTTGTACTTTTAGGTTGTACTTTTAGGTTGTACTGACTTCAACATCAAAACCAATCTTCATAAAATCCTCTTGCCATATCAAGTAATATTGGATGAGTGAAGAGTAATTCCAAGAGTCATAAAGTTTCTAACCATCCTACATTAATAGTCATCTTTTCAAATAAATGAAACGAGAGGTTAGCGAGGATTTATCTAATAATTTATTAATACTATTTTTATTGGACAATCACTTTTTGATCAATAACGCAGTCCAGGGAGATAAATCAACATTTTGTACTGTATCAATTATGTTTCAATATTTTCAGTCTTAACGTTTTCTTTACACATGGATGCAAAAACACAACAAACTAATATGTTTAAAAACAATTTTGTAGAATAGTATTAAACTATTTAGATGATCAAATTAAGAACATAGATCTCTTTTCAGCAATTAAAATAGTTTGTTTAAAGACAAAAGATTGTTTCACCTTTAAGTTTAGTTTCATAACTTAAGGTTTGTATTTTCTAGCTGTAGCTATCAAGGGAATCATATTTTAAATGTTCCTCATCGGCAAACTGTTCTTTGTATTGCTGCTTGATTGAAAAATAAGAGTCCTAAACAAATTGCTGTCATCTCTAAATGTTATCTTGTCTAAGCCCTTATCAGCAAATAGGGCTATGAATATTTGAGATGTACTCCATGTAAGATTGATTTGTAGCTACACAAGACCATGGAGTGTGTAGTCTTATAGAATAGCATCAAAAGACACACAAAACATAGATTGTGCAACATGAAGTGTGCAATATAGCACCAAGAGACATACATTAACATAGAGTGTGGAATATAGCACCAAGAGACTTACATTAACATAGAGTGTACAATATAGCAACAAACAGACATACATTAACATAGAGTGTGCAATATAGCACCAAGAAACTCACTAGAACATCATATATGCAATATAGCACCAAGAGACATACATTAACATAGAGTGTACAATATAGCACCAAGGGACATAGATTAACATAGAGTGTGCAATATAGCACCAAGAGACATACATTAACATAGAGTGTGCAATATAGCACCAAGAGACGTACATTAACATAGAGTGTGGAATATAGCACCAAGAGACTTACATTAACATAGAGTGTGCAATATAGCACCAAGAGACATACATTAACATAGAGTGTGCAATATAGCACCAAGGGACACACATTAACATAGAGTGTGCAATATAGCACCAAGAGACATACATTAACATAGAGTGTGGAATATAGCACCAAGAGACATACATTAACATAGAGTGTGCAATATAGCACCAAGAGACATACATTAACATAGAGTGTGCAATATAGCACCAAGAGACATACATTAATATAGAGTGTACAATATAACACCAAGGGACATACATTAACATAGAGTGTGCAATATAGCACCAAGAGACATACATTAACATAGAGTGTGTAATATAGCACCAAGAGTCATACATTAACATAGAGTGTGCAATATAGCACCAAGAGATATACATTAACATAGAGTGTACAATATAGCACCAAGGGACATACATTAACGTAGAGTGTGCAATATAGCACCAAGATACTCACTAGAACATCATATATGCAATATAGCACCAAGAGACATACAGGGTGACCCAAAAAAAATGCAACCCTCCATTTCTCGAATATTTTTCTTAAATGGTGATAAATTGCTCTGAGATTTGGCACACAAGGACTTCATTCTATGTGGGATCCTCTAGCAAAGTTTTAATAATCATAGTCTTATATTGATAGAGTTATGGTTGTTTCAAAATATGCTCCAGATGTTGTTAATTTCGCTGAAAACAAACTTGCAATGTTCAAGGAAAACTGTTCATAACACGTATGCATTCTTCCCCATGGGTATGGCTCAAATTTTTGCAGCCATTGCTTATTGGAGTTCTACAATTGCGTTAGGGTTATTTTCATACACATTATCCTTTAAATAACCCTGCATATAGAAGTCAGGGGCATTGAGATCAAGACTGTGGGATGACCATGGGTCCTCCGTCCTAGGAGAGATAATCTTCTCATAGAAATGACTAGTGAGCCAGGTTATGCTATCATTAGAAGTATGAGGAGTAGCTCCATCCTTCTAGAACCTCTGTTCTTGTCTATTGAAGCCTCTATGTCACTCTAGAACTGCCTAGAACTTCCTGGGAACGCCAATAATGCGCTGTGTGTTAACAGTAACATTATCAACCTCAAACCAAAAGGGGCTGATGATTTCATGTTTGGAAATTGGCAGCCCACTGTGCATGTAACAGAATGTAGGGGCCTGTGAAGCACTTTATCTGGAATTTGTTATCCCAGAACACATTATTTCTTGAGTTTACATGTTCAGAAAGAAGGGAATGTGACTCATCCGAAAACCTAACATTAGAAATGGACGACATTTGGAGCATATTTTGGAATGACCATAACTCTATCAATATAAGACTATGATTATTGAAACTTTGCCAGAGGATCCCACATTGAATGAAGTCTTTGTGTGCCAAATTTCAGAGCAATTAACCTCCATTTAAGAAAAAATATTCGAGAAATGGAGGGTTGCATTTTTTTTGGGTCACCCTGTACATTAACATAGAGTATGTAATAAAGTACTAAGACACATAAGAACACATTGTGTCATATAGTACCAAGACTAGAGACACACAGGAACCTTGAGTGCAATATTGTACCACATGACACCGAAGAACATAGAATGTACAATATCGTACCAAGAGACACATATTTGTAAAACATAAAGTCACGATGGGAAACTGAACATTTTGAAATTAATCCTTCGCAATTTTGTTCTTTTCTACAGCTAATTTAATCATGTTAATTGCCAATGAAGTTGAGACACATACTAAGAATTGAAATTAGATATTTGCTAATAAAGGAAACATTCAAGTATAAATCAACTTTATGAGATAGGAAGTGCCTCATTTCAAATACTACTCAGATAGTTCTGAACAATATTCTAAAGAAACATCTTAATATCTAGTAATCACGTCTGTTTAATTCCGCTCTTTCTTGAATTTCATTTTCCATCTAAGCTAATTGATCATTTGAGTAGTTTCTTAATAAACATGTAGATTCTCTTGTAGCAAACCAATTTTGTCAAAATAAGCAAATCATGTAGATTACCATCGGATAAGCAGTTCTCTCTAAGATTGCTGGATGTTTATGCAAACCCCTTACGAAAAACACAATCATAAAACAGAGGAACCATCTAAGACTACACGGAATCAGTTTAATGGTTTGGATAAAGCAATCAAGCATGATATGTCCCGCCAAAGTAAGATATTAAATGGCTGTCATATAATCATGACACCTCTACCACAGTTGATTGAAGTAGAAAGTGCCTAGATTTCTTAAAAGGCAAAAAGATAGAACGTTGCATATTTCCACACTTGTAATTGATTCAGATCAGATTTCTTAACACTGTAGAGTCGAATATTGAATCGCAACAAACAAAAACAAAATATGTTACCAAAATCATTATTGGCTATACCCAAATATTTCTTCTTTTGAATATTGCATATATCATTTAATAGATAATATCATGGTTTAAATGTTGCTATATTAAATTAATAAAGCTCTCTTGTGTTGCTTTAATACAACTGAATTGTGAGAAGCCAAGAGAATTTAAATCACAATAAAAATCCAGTGAAAGCCATTTGTGAATTTCTTGATTTTGAGAAATATCTTTTCCAGATATTCATTCATTTGATATTTTTGCACCTTTTATTCTATTAGAAAGCAGAGTGGACAACGTTAAAACAGTTCTGAATAAGCTAAGTATCCAATTTGTCGTGTGTCTTTAAAAGAAAGGGAATGTCACTTAATGGGGATTTATTCAGGGACTACATGCATACTACGAGATCAATATTCAAAGTTAAACACTCACATCTGTTGTTCTTCTTGCATGTCTATAGTTGCATCATATTTTGCACCATCAGCACTCACAGATACCTACAAGGCATATAGATAAATTATTAGATGGTTGCAACAAAAGACACCAAATTGCAAGGAAATAAATTCAGACAACCAAACTAGATTTTCAAAACAAGCGTTAATGATAATTAAAATTAATCAATTAAAAATATCTTATATCATATATACGAGTACACTGTATATCCTTTAGCAGTACAAGGTGATATAAAAAAAAAACTATAAAAAGTTTTAATAAAGTGGGATACAAATACATGTCTGGATAT